TTTACCATTTTCCAACGTGGGAAACGTGGCCACATTCTCGACGCGTCGTGCGATGTGTTGAACTACTTGCGGCCGCTTGCTTGAAATAGGACACGCTCGATGCTCCCCCCCCCCTCCCCGGCGCTTCTCTACGTTCCCGTACGCGCTCGTTACCCCCGAAGAACCCCTGCCTATTAACTCTCCGCTGCTATGATTAAATTTGGGCCGTACGTAACTACAACACGTCAGTGGCTTTAATTTCGCCCCGAAGGATGTCATGACCTATCGAGCGCGCATTGCCGGCCCGGCTCGCGAAACGTCGTCGTTCGCTCTTCGTTTTTCGCGTCTCTCACTCTCACCTATCTGATGGCTTGAGACGAAATTGCGACCAGTATCTCCCGCCAGTGTCTATCTCTCTCTCTCTCTCTCTCTCTCTCTCTCTCTCTCTCTCTCTCTCTCTCTCTCTCTCTCTCTCTCTCTCTCTCTCTCTCTACGTGCGCGGGATGTGCAGGTTGCGCTGTCGCGACCTTAATTTAACCGAGAGTTTGACAGAGCAATTTCAGGAGAAGTTTTCCTCAGCGAAAACGGTGCACACAGGTTATTGTTTATGGCGACCTTTTCCCACAAACACGCGCCTGCGGCGCGCGCGCGTGTTCTCTGCGGCTGAAAGCCGAATAAAAATTCTCTTCAAGTGCGCTTGAGATCGATCGCAGCTCCCACGCTACTTGGACGATATTCCATATGTGAAAAAATTGCATCTACAGGAGGAGAGTCGCTCGGAGAGAACCCTCCGGAAAATTTGAGCTGTATATATGTTTTCTTCTCCCAGAGCTCAGCCTAAGGCGGAAGTTTCTCCCCTTCCGCCCTCATATACGATCTCACACGTCGCCAAAATGGACTTCCAGACGCGCGAGTGCTCGCGCATTATCGATTGCCCGCGGCTTTCCGCTCCGAGGTCTCGGCCTGCCGAGTGACGCGACGTGCGAAGTGTTTCGTGCAACAAGTATCTAACGATAAACGATTCTCTCCCGGTGGAGGCACTGTGATTCGGATCCCGGCAATAAACGCCCTCCCAGGAGTGCCATGTCTCGTTGCTGCGGACACCGTTAGCGCAACAAGTTACCTGAAGCCGGTCCTCCCCCCCCCCCTCCCCGCATGTAACGAACTTTACCAATCAGCGGCCACTCGCTCGAGCTTGTCGTCGATTGTCGGAGAATTCGCATGATCTACGCGTGATACGAAATAGCGAAACGAAACACCGAAAAGTCTGGTCAGGTCCGGGGCTGGGAAACGATTCCGCGAGGGATGCAAATGAGAGGCTAAAAGCGTTGTCGTTATCCGCACACAAGTCGCATGAGTATGGTACAACAAGAGCGAGGTGCGGTTAATTCATCATGAAACGACAGCTCAGGATTAATGACGACCCGGCGAATTCGCCACGACGCGCAGAGCCTCGCGTGTATGAATTATGGGATTCTCGTAGAAAATTCGCGGTCAGTAGGGCACGAAAAAAAGAACAGGAGGAAGGTCGGACGGTAATGTCGATGCACGTGTAACCGCGGCTCGCGTGACAGCGCGGTACAGGTGGTTTCACAGGAAATCGGAGGCGAAGGGGGATGGAGCAGAGAGCGAGTCCACATCGATCCCTATTCTCTCTCTCTCTCTCTCTCTCTCTCTCTCTCTCTCTGTCTCTTTCTTTTCTCTCCTGCTCGTTCTCCACGACGATCGCGCGAGAAAGAACAAGAGCCAGCCGCGATCTCTATGATCTTATCCAACGAGTTACTCCGTACGCTTCCCTCCGCGATCTCTCAATCAACTCCTCGTCAATCATTCCCTGACTGACAGCTACCGCATCGTAATTTTGCGAGGTGCGCGATAATAAGCGAAAAATACGGCAAATTCGCTCGAGAAAGAGCGAAGAGAGAGAGAGAGAGAGAGAGAGAGAGAGAGAGAGAGAGAGAGAGAGGTGGGAGGAGAAGGAGGGAAAAAAATGCTGCGATCACGTCAGCAATGAAATTGCGAGGATCTAGGGAGTCGTTAAATAACACGCGATTACGTGCTCATGAAGATTTATTATTCGTTCGCTTCGCGTACGATTCGCCCGGTTGCCAACGTCGCACCGACGCATGGCGCTATTAATCATAGATGGGGAAAATAGCCCGAGCACGTCGCTCGTTCGATTGATACGAAAGATTCAAGCTCTATCACACGGGATTCAATGATTCACAGTAGACGAGTATCGATCGTGCGATGCGCTCTTTCTCCTGTCAGAAGCTCGCTTGTCTTTAACTTTTTCCGTATTTAGCCTTTTCAGGCTTCGACGTAGAGGGTCCCGACGACAATGGGATTATCTCGAATTGCAAGAGATTATGCGTGAGCTGCAGGGAAAGAGATCGTGCGACGAGATGTGATTCTCCAGCGTAACGTAACGAATAAGGCTACCGAGGAAAGGCAAGAATCTCGCAAGGAGCCTCGGCTTAAGAAGCTCGGATGAAGGATCTTGTCGCGAACGTATGAGACTAACGATCCCAACTTGGTGATCTATCAGAAAGTCGATGCTGAGCCTTTCAAAGGTGGAAGACCTATCATACCTCGTCTCTTGACTCGATACGACTCGATTTGAGGGACGGCAGAAATGTGCTTCTCTGTCCTTCCGTCCTTATTTTCCTTCTTGCCAGTTTCGATAAGATCACCCCGTCACTTTTCCATCTGTTTTGCGACCCCCGCTAATTTGCTCCACGCATATCGCTGTCGCCTCTTCAGCTCCATCGTTCATTAATTGAGTGTCGTTTGTAACCATGGGCGAGATACATCAGCGCGAAGAATTCGGCGTCTTGCGCTAATGGAAAACTTGACGTGATAACGCGCATCTTCGGCGGGACATGATCCGATAAAATCTTGTAAATACCTATATAACACGTGCGAGCACGTATTTGGGAGAACGTGCGACGGCACGTTCTCAATGAAATTCCCCCTTTCCTCTGCGACACACAAGCGGAAACGCGCGCGATACAGCTGCCGCGGAATCGATACGTGTTTTCGAGGGGACGCTACTCCGCGAAGATGAGATTTTAGTGGAATCAGACTTTCTATGGGATTAGCGGCATTCTCTGCGGAAACCAGTCGCGCGATAATTGCGGAATTATGCGGCGATCGATTTCGGAACAGACGGGTCCGTACGATGACCGGAAAAAAGTGGGAGGAAGAAGATGCGATTCCAAATAGACAGCGATAGAAAAATATAGTTGAATTAACTATATAATCTCACTATATTTTATAGTTCATTTTGGCGTCAACCATACTTTTATAGTTCGTGGAAACCTGCAGAATATACCTGTAGAATAAACACAAATATATATAGTCAATGATTGTCTTAAGTGATTGTTTAGTTACTTCTTTACCACATATATGGTAATTTCTCATTCACAAATACAGTGAGATTTAATATTCATATAGTTACATCTGTCATCATTTAGCGAATGTTCGAGTAATATTGACTGTATATAAAATAGTTACTTTTACCTACCATTTTATGCTTTGCATCCATACAATAATTTTAGTTTAACTTACTAATAATTCTTAGTAAAAATATTATACGCTTGGTTATACTATGCCTATATCGTAATTATTGCCGGCATTATGACAATACTTACCATAAATATGATACTTACTATAAATAACTTACTATAAATATGATATTTCGGACTATAATTTAGTTACTATATATCATTATAGTTCCAAATATCATATACTTTTCTCTCAGTGGCAGATATCAACGTCGATGTCGCAGGCGCAAATATTGTTGTCCAACGACATCAATCAAGTATCGTATGCGTATCGTTTCGTTTATCGCCGTTATCATTGAAAAAAATGCCCAAACAGATCCAATCTTGACCACTCAGTGTGGCCAGTTTCGCGCAATAAGTACCGCGGCAATTCACGGTTCGGTTACTCGCGCTTTGAATTGTATCCTGTTAGCCACTAACAGCCGGTGAAATTCAACAACGAGCGGGCTCGCTTCTTCACTTCACCGCGAGAAGCGAGAGCTGTCCAACGACGAGAGCAGCGGCAGCAGCAACGTCTGTTGCAGCGTCTCGCAAGTCCCACCAATATAGTCGACTGTCGGAGTTACGCTAATGGCCGATAATGGAGCCGCCGCAGCGACGTCGTAATCGAATTATGTCACCCGGTAGCCGCTCGTGATCCGCAAAACAACGTGTTACGGAAAGAGTGTGCGTTTCTTCAAGGTCGTTAAGTGCCCAAACAGCTCGACGAATTTTTCGTCAGCTCGCTCGAAAAGAAGAGAGAGAGAGAGAGAGAGAGAGAGAGAGAGAGAGAGAGAGAGAGAGAGAGAGAGAGAGATTGCTCTGTATAATTACAATTAGGTAATAACTCGTGCTGGCTAACGAGATCCGTTTCTTGCCGGCCGACAAAACTATTTCGCGTCTTGCTTGGTAGGTCTGCCGCGCATGACGCGTCTAATTTCTTCCTATCGAGAGATTGTATCAACGTCACCGTTATCATACGAGCACTTGGTCAACCTAATGATCCGGAACACGTGCACTGAGAGAAAAGTATATGACATTTGGAACTACAATGATATAGTAACTAAATTATAGTCCGAAATATCATATTTATAGTAAGTATTACCATAATATCGGTGATAATTGCGATATAGGCATAGTATAACCGACCGTATAATATTTTTACCAAGAATTATAATAAGTTAAACTAAAAAATTATAGTATGGATGCAAATATAAAATGGTAGATAAAAGTAACTCTTTTTTTTTATAGTCAATATTACCCGAATATTTGCTAAATGATGTAACTGTATGAATATTAAATATCGCTATATTTGTGAATGAGAAATTATCATATTGTGTGGTAAAAGTAACTAAACAATTATTTCAGACAACCACTGACTATATATTTGTGTTTATTCTACTACATTTTGCAGGTTTCCACGAACTATAAAAATATGTTTGACGCCAAAATGAAGTATAAAATATAGTGAGATTATAGTTAATTCAACTATATTCTTCTATCAGTGTGACCTTTCGCGTGGTGACCTCGCATGTGCCATTACGGCGCCCTTGACCGTCACGTGGCACGTCTCTCCATTGTTATCGATATGTGATATTGCAATGCTAATGCTAATGCGAACGCTGATATTGATAACAGCCGGAGCGCGCTAAAAATAATATCGTTTACGCGCCAAGTGCTCGCTGCGAAGGGTGCAAAATATGAGTTTCCCTCGGCGCATCGCTTAATGCGCGAACACACAGAGTTCACCGTTTCCACACCGTGGAAATGCGAAATCAAATAGTGGTCAAGGTACCGGCCGACGCTTTCGCAATGGACAAATGTGCGCTCCGCGCTTACCGGGTTATCTCGAGTCAATTGTTCGCTCGCTGAAATTGCATCAAGTTTCGCTTAAGAGTGCCCGTTGTTACCGTTGTGGATTTTTCAGCCACGGTTACCATCACGATGTTGCAAACGAGGGTCCGGAGGCCCGACGAGGTCGAGCGGTTCACCTGAACGGTCGTTGACCGTCTCTCTTCCCCCCCGCCCCCCGGGAAGGAATATCCAAGACAAAAAGAAAGGACACCAAATACGCGGGAGGAGGAGGAGGAATGGGCCCTTGGGCCTTCGGCGTACCGGTCATCCTCGTCTCAACTGCGGGCCTGCTTCTCAACGGCTGCGTTCTCCTCGTCGTTCTCTGTCTTGGTAAACAGGTGAACGATAACGAGTAGATATATATATATATATACATATTTATGTGACTCATTTTTCTCCTCTTCTCATTGCGCCGTTTTTCGTTACCATGTGTCACGTGCTTTTTCTCTCAGGATCGATTCCTGTTCCACGTAACTCGTGGATTAAAATACGAAAAGTCGCGTTGAAGTCGCACGTGCGAATTGAATAATTGTCGCAATCGCTGGTGTTTTTCGACGAAACGAATATATATGTGTGTACATGTACATATCCGTGGACCGTATTTTCTCCGAGCGCGGATTAACGTTGAAGTTCTTGATGCTCTTCGACTGCGAGCTTGACGGTATTAAAAGATACAACTACGAGGCAAATTGCAAGCAAAGATAAAACGAAAAATTGAAGACCCTCCCCGGTGAAATGGTACACCGATAAGATGAACGATGAGCTCGCTCATACGGGTGATTTGATCCGCGTTCTTGAGGAAGGTGCAGACTGTCGTTGTTTTATCGCAACAAATGGCCGGCCGGCTTTGAATTTGGCTACGTTCTTTGAGAGTTCTCGATGCCACTAAGGGCTCTTCATCGCGCACAAAGTCAGGCAGGAGTCTAGCGGCAGCGTTGCAGCGTGAAATTGCGGCCGTTGTATAGGCTATGAAAAGTTTAAATTGCAAAATTCCGTCGGATATTAAAAAACGTCGGCGGACAAAGCATCCCGATAGCGCGAGCGTAAAAACGACAAACGAGGTCGATGCGAATCATCTGCTATGCCTGCTATGTTCGCAGACTCAGCAGCAGCAAACAGCGAACACCCTGCTACTGATTCATTTGGGTGCCGTAGAAGCCGCGGTGTGTCTGATATTACTAATTTTCACGACCGGCCCCTGGCCCGTAGCCGGCACTTGGTGCGTCCTTCACGGATTCCTCTTAGCGCTCTTACACCCCGTCGCTCTTTGGACCGTAACCGGATTAAATTGTGACAGGTGAGTGTCTCGCTTTTGCCGCTTCTCCCTTCTTTTATCCTTACTCGCTGCCGCCTTTGATTTTCTCTCATCTCGCTCGACGACGAGCTTCCGCGCGCACCCTGTCAGATTCGTCGCACTCTCGAGATTTTTTCGAACGAAGCCACGAGTTTCGAAATTTCGCTTCCGCGTCAATCCCGCAAACTCCGACAAACTCCAAGGATTAATGGGGATTTCAGATTACTGCGATACATTTCGAATTAGTTCGTTTCAGCAAACATAAGTATGATTATCTACGTATCGCAGAGATAACTCGAAACTCTACTTTCTAAAACATGTGTCAGAATTGTGATATGTGATGTGTCTTTCCTAAATAATCTGTTTGCCGACAGTCGTCGACGAGATATAGAGAGATCCTTGAAAAGACTGATAAAAAGACAAAGATATAACAAGACAATAGTTGTTTATACATTCAAACTTGGACTCGATACGATAACAACGATAAATATTTAAAAGCAGACGTAAGGAAGAAGGCTAATAACAATAAGATATAACTCGCGACAAAAGAAGGACATTATTGAACGTAAAAGAAAAGATAAAACTTTGTAAAATTTACAATAGGACTCTAAGACCGATACTCGTGGCTTTTTAAATTATATGCGATCTTTGACTCATCGTAGCTTTTCCTCTCAAGCAAGTAGTCGATCGATGAGATGACTCGGAAAATATTAGAATAAAAATACTTTCGTCCCCTCGGTCCGATCCGAGGCACGAGAGCGCAAGAGCCAGCGCGTGAAAAAACCGCACATTTTGCACCGGAGGGAAGAACGTCGCTGTTGTCCGAGTAAATCGAGGGCGAAAAGCCGCGGAAGACCTTGCTCTTACGAGGAAACTCCGATAAAAATCGAATTCAATCTCGATGTATGGCATCGAGTGACGTAACGCGCGGGCAAGGCCTTGGCTCCATTTGACACAAAAGCCAACAAGATTTCCGATGTGGGATGTCAATAATGATTCCGCAAGCTCAAACAGTATCACCGTGGCTGTCAGATGACGCCCGTTCGATATAGTCTATAACCTAGAATTCACATTGCCCCATTTCAACTTGTTGCTGAACCTTTCCGCAAACTCGCAACGATGCACGTGTTTCCGGACGTACAGCAAATCGCCGCGCCGCACAGTGGGGCATTTTGAAAATTTACTGCTCACAATGTCTAGAACCCTTGATTTTTAACTGATTTGGATCATTTTTTTTTTTTAAATTGTTGGTGAAAGAATTCTCTGTGAAAACTGTCGTGGCCGATTTTTCTGAAAAATGTTTAAAACATTTTTTAAATCACATAAACTGCGAGTCCAACAATGCTAGATTACATCACTGAGCTCCAAGTGTGCGTGTGCGCGTGTGTGCGTATGAAGGGAAGTTCTTTCCATCGTAAATATGTATAATCAGTCACGATTACAAATCGTGTCGTGGATATATGAGCCAATCGCTTCTTTTTCAGAGGAATGCGAAGAAGCACAGCATAAACGTTAAATTAAGAGAATACGCCAGTATGGTGCAAGAAAAAGTTCTCGTGAGGATACGAACACGGATTTAATTCATAAATTGTTGATTCCGTCAGATCCGTGTATCGCTTCGTTCACAAAGTTGTGGACATATAAAATCAGAAACGTTGATCCCGAATGTGAAAAGCTTCTTTTACAACAATAAGTACCTTATCACCGATTTGGAAGATATTTTTATGCCTTTGTGTAGTTGGTTGGATGTCTGGCAGGGACAGTGTTAAGACAGGGCTCAAGGCGAAGGTTCGCTAAAAAAACAACCTAACGCGCCTGTAACGGCACCTCCAGGGTGGTGTGGAAGTCCTTTATCGGCTCACATACCCACGACATATTTGTAATCGTGACTGATTATACAAATTTACGATGGAAAGAACTTCCTTTCATACGCACACACGCACACTTGGAGCTCAGTGATGTAATCTAGCATTGTTGGATTCGCAGTTTATGTGATTTAAAAATGTTTTAAACATTCTTCAGAAAAATCGGCCACGTTTCGGACAGTTTTCACAGAGAATTCTTTCATCAACAATTTAAAAAAAAAAAATGATCTAAATCAGTTAAAAATCAAGGATTCTAGACATTGTGAGCAGTAAATTTCCAAAATGCCCCACTGTGCGCCGGCTGGATCGTGCCGGTTGCGGAGCGACAAATTTGCCGGGGAACGCGATTCAAGAGGAATTTGTCTCGCACGAATTTGATCCCCGCTAATGATCAAGTCGGTCAAGATCGTACAAAAGGAAACTCTGACCTGACCTTGAACTACTTCAGACGAAAGCTCGTAGAAATTCGATTTCCCTTTTCCCCACGAGCTTGACGAGCCTGAAGAGCGGCAGCTCTTCGTCGCTCGAATTCAAGCGACCGTACCGTTCGCTCGTGTAAAGTGGATTCTCCCGAGTCGTCGGACGAGGATTCTCATGCGATATTGAAAAGTGACCGTCGCGAATTTGTTGGCCCGATTCGAGCAGCCATGAGCCCTTCATGAGATATTCATTCGCCCTGACGAGCCCGAGTGGGCGGTGCGCTCACACTCGCCCGGAGTGAGATTCCGCGCACGAAAGAATTAAGCGAATGGATTCCTACAGCGGCCACGTCGCTCGTGCATTACTCTGTACAGGTATTACGCGATTGCCGCACCGTTGCATTACGCCGCTCTGGTCTCCCCGCGCCGCGTGGCCGTTGGATTGGTCGCCTCTTGGACAGGTGCTCTGCTTCTATGCTTGCCGCCATTCTCGGGTCTGGTGCCGCCCTACAGGTTCGTATATACATGTTACACCATTAACCACTACTCCAACGGGTCCATGTTTGCGACGCTGCTTGCGCGTCCTACAGCACTCTCTGTCTCTCTCTTCCTCCATCCCTCCCTCCCTCCCTCTCTCTCTCTCTCTCTCTCTCTCTCTCTCTCTCTCTCTCTCTCTCTCGTAATTACTGCATTTCCTCGCATAACAAAGGAGATTCGATTTACTTTGCGTTCTCTGTTTCTCTCTGTTTCTCACGCGCGTTTCGCACGCAAGTTGAGTCTCGCGTTGAGTAAAGAGCCGCGTCGCGAGGACAATTTCCTCGCGACGCGGCTGGCATCTTTCCTTCCCGCCGGAGCGCGCACGAAAGAAATCTCATTCGGAGGACGGTGTTCCGTGTTTCGTGTTCGGCGGAACGACGCTCGAGTTGGTCGCGCGACAATACGTTTGCGCGGGGCAACTCGACATCTTAATGAGACCTTTCCTATTTACGAGGGTAGTCCCAGAAGTACCTGACCTGACCTATAGAATGCTTAAGTTTGAAGTCTGACGACGCTACGTTGTTTAGTATTTGTTTGGCAGCCATCGATAGTGAAGAACGCTCTCGGTGAATTTGGAAACATGGAAAAAATTGATCATCGTTATGCGATACGATACTTTCATTCGAAAGGCCTCACAGTCCAACCAATATGAAAGCGGAGCTAGATTCTACTCCGGGGGAGTCCGCTCCTTCGTTTGCAACAGTAAAATATTGGGTGGCAGAGTTTAAACGAGAGGCCGTTTAGACGAGGCCGTTTAGACTGCCAACGACGAACATCGCAGTGGTCGACCACGCCAGAAATGGTGAAGAAAATCCACAAAATGATATTGGATGACCGTCGCGACTGAAAGTGCGCGAGTCAGCAGACACAGGTAGGCATTTCAAAAAGTGCTGTACATCGCATATCGACTGAAAATTTGGACGTGAGAAAGCTGCACGCAAGATGGGTGCCGCCGATTGGAACGAAAACAGCGTCGTGAGGATGTTTCAGTGAGGAGCGTTTGGCGAAATTTCGCGGCAATAAAGCAGCGATTCATAACCATGGATGAAACATGGGTCCATCACTTTACACCTGAGACGAAGGAACGGTCAAAACAATGGACCAAGGTGGCTTGATGGCTATTTTGAGGAGCTCGACGATCCCCACTACAAACAAGGGTATCCAAGCTGTTGAACACCGCTGGGAAAATTGTACTGAGCTAAAAGGAGACTGTGTAGAGAAACAAAGATATTTTTTTCCCAAACTTTTTGTGCTTTCTTTGTTAGGTCAGATACTTCTGGGACTAACCTCGTAGCTCCGGCGGCGTTCGAAGATATTGAGAATCTCGTCTGAATGTCGCGAACGGGGAGGCACCTCGCAAAGTTCCTTCCCCGTTTCTTGCTTTCAATCCTCCTATCGTCGGTATCAGGTATAGTCCAGGACTGGGTTGCTGCGCCCCAGATTTCGGGAACGACACCTGGGGCTCCGCCGCGGCGCTCTACGGCGCCGTTTACGCTATCCTGGGATTGGGCCTGCCAGCCGTCCTCGTGACGGTCTGCAATTTACGCGTATTGGGCATAGCGCGGTATCATCGGCATCGTATCGCCAGCGCGATCTACGAGGTCACCCTGAGCGCCCAGGTGACCATCACCCACCAGCGTAATCCGTTTTTCGTGCCGACCGTCACCGCACCCTCGGCCGGCGGACCGCCGCGATTTCACAGCGCCGCCAGCACGGTTAGTGAAAATCAGTTCCCACCGGTTACTTACAAAGGCGACTTAAAAATCGCCAATGGTTGATCGCACAGAGTCGAGAGGTCGAAAGCGACTCGCCCGATTACGGCGATATACCGCCGTAAATCCGCTCTCGAACTTTCGAACGTAACGACGATTCGAGATGATGGCGAGTGATTGGAGCGGCATTCTCCGGACGAAATAATCGAACGGATTAATTCGTCACGTGTCGCTCAGCTTCTATCAGGCTGATCGGGCTAATCAACAAGCTCCGTACTTAAAGCCCCGGTCTGTAACTTCATTCCCCCCGTCCGCGAGTCCGGAGTTAGCAAGTCAGATCGATAGACGCCGCGCCGGCAGGCGTCGGCAATTTACGATCGCCCGTCGGAACTTGCTCGCTCGCGTGCTCGTTCGTCTTGTGTTTATGGACCGCAGTCAAGCTTCTCTATTCTCTGGCAAGTGACGCGAGACGCCTTCCAGATGTAATCGCTCGTTCCCCGATATTGACGGAAGCCCTCGATATTCTCTAACTCGGCGCGTTTATGAAGATAAATAGCCTCGCGTCGCGCGATCGATCGATATCCGCCGTCGCAGCGAGAGAGAACTTGGACAGTGTCATCGAGAGACAGTGTCACGAACGTCCGTGACTTTCCCCAGGTGATGCAACTGGTCGGCTCCCTGTACCTGCTCTACTTTCCGTACTGCGGGCTCATCCTCTGGGAGGCTTGCAGCGCCGCTAACCAGCACCGTCTCCACGCGCACCCCAGGCTCGCCTCTTTGGCTTCGTTTCTACTCGCGTGCTCGCCGCCCATCAACTGCCTGCTCTATGGCCTGAAGTCGCAAACCCTGCGACGATCCGTGCAGAACTACTGGCGGAAAAAGGCGACCAAGTCCGAGCTGCAGCAGGTAATCCGACGCGATGAAGAACGCGGATGAACGAGCGGCTTGAAATAGCGCGCTCGCTTGCTCACGGGATCGTGTGACACCAGTAACGGCGCTTTTCGAACTTTACGGTTATCATTGTCGTCGTTATCGTTCCATGTTCTCTCTCTCTCTCTCTCTCTCTCTCTCTCTCTCTCTCTCTCGAAGCTGCCACGGCCGTGCGCGAATCCTGTTCCAGGAGATACAGGCGAGAACGCCGAGCGTCGCGGGTTCCAGGCGGCCTTCCGGCAGCGGGAACGCTTCCTTCTTCCCTTTCCCGCCCTTGCAACGGCGTCTCAGCGAGGCGTTATTGGCTCTCGGCTCGTGCAGAAGCGGAGGTACTTTCGGAAGCAATAACCTCGGCTTCCACCGCGGCAGATTGCAGCCCGCCGCGTCGTGCAACACCCTCCGAGTGCCAGCCACCGAATCAGGTAGGCGAGGTTTATATGCGACTCGCGACCATCGATATTTGCTCCTGCTCCTGCGTCTGTATCCGAGCGCAGTCACTTGACGAGGTCTTAAGTAAGGCTAACCTTTGAACCCTTAGAGAAGTGACCGATATTTCCCAACCCGACCCGCGATCGGGTCGGATCGTCATTCCATGCTTTAGAGAATAAGGGTTTGCTTTTGCTTCAGTGGAATGACTGATAGACTGATTTAGAAAGATCCTTTGCTGTATATTCGTATGACGACGTAAACCTTTCGACACTGATACGAGCGTCATCCTTTCATCATGACGCGCGAAGGTGAGCCGAGCAAACTGGTGAGGGCGAGTGCGAGCGCCGCCAGTCTGATGGGTCCTCATTATCGGAGCGACTTTATCGGGGCGGATTTGGACGCGGGATGCTCCATAGCTATGTGCGAGACTCCGAGGCGGAGTCCGAGGATTCTCATAACGCGCGCGTACAGCGAGGAGAGCCAGGACGGAGGTAGTCCGCTCTTAAGGAAACCCTTCGCCTGCAATACGAATCCGCCGCCGTGCGAAAGTACGTCCCAGACCATATTAACATTCGTAGTGGTAGATGTGTTCGCTCTGATTTCGATCATCCGAGTCTCGCGAGTTTGAGAGAGATCGTAGAGAGAGAGAGAGAGAGAGAGAGAGAGAGAGAGAGAGAGAGAGAGAGAGAGAGAGAGAGAGAGAGAGACAATAATGTTGCGTCGCTATTGTGAGGCGCGTGTCTCGCGAGGCCTCGGGGGGATCTTACGAAGAGAAAGGATTAGCCGAAGAAGCTGAGATGTGGCCGTGGCAGCTGAGGTCCGTATTGGCATCGTAAACTTGGAACTTGTCTCCCGTAAAGATCTGTATCTACGCACGGCCCGAATCGTTTGTCGATAAACGCGAAACTCGACTGCGAGAAGCTCACATTCGCAAGTCTGAATTCGCGAATCTGAGCAATCTCGAATCTTGAGGCACGTTTCAAGTGACGACAGAGCACCGATACTAGTCCAAGAAGTTTCTCTGCGAAAGAGGAACGGCCGATTCGTCGTTGTTGCCGAAGCTGTTATAATTCATTGGCTGCTTAAACTCGAGCTGCTTAAGCTCGAGCGAGAATGATATATTCATCGTTGCGTGAATGAATAAGATAACAAGAGTAAAAGGGTAAAAAGAGTATATTTTATAATACGTGATCGCGCACATGATGCGATAAGATACGTAAGAAAGACTGCCACTTCTTCAGCTGCTCGTGCTAATGCGCGCGCGCGCGCGCGCGCGCGCGGGCTTCGATTCCGGGCTTGATTTAATTTGTCACCTGGCGGTGAATGCATTCATTTTTTACACGCAACAGCCGGCTCCTCGCAACGACAACCAGGCGGTTAGCCTCTATTGGCAAAGTTCGAATCAGCCAGAGAGATTCAGTCGATGATACTAAGCTACTACTTCTTTGCGTGCACGAATCGATAGAGGGGCAAAAAGGGGGAGCCGTGCGGGAGCCGACGGGAGGCAATATCGCTAATATTACTTCTATTTTCTCTCGCGAGTTCTCATTCTTCCTCCCCGCGCAAGAACCCACACATACGTTCATGCATACCCACCCACGTGTGTAGGATACAATCTTCCCGCTAAGGGGGGAAGGATAAGACGAGTGATCGGCGTAACATCATCCCGGCGCGTCGCAAGTCTCGTCCTGTGGAAATTCGTGAATGAATGTGGAACTTAAGCGTTCCGGCCTCATCTAACAAAGTTCCCCGTTTCGTGTTCCCGCGCGTGTCCCGGCGTGCACAGAACGCCGATGGAGGCACTGCAGCACCGGCAGCGAGAGCAGCACGGGGAGCAGCGACGCCAGTGTGTGGACCACCGGTGTGCCACCCAAATACGTCAAGAGCAACGCGAAGAGCACGGACGGCTGGTCGTCGTCGCGGCGGTACATACGCGGCAAGAATCTGGAAGAAGGCGCGCTGTCGAGCGTGATTAGGCCGAGCAACAACAGCGAGAGCAGCGATACCACAGATACCACGACGGCCACGACTACGACCACCACGCTGCTCAAGTCCCTCGCCATAGTAAGTGTCCCTCGTCGAGCAGTCTTCATCGGCGATTCAGCCGGCGACAGGCGACTCTTATCTCTTCTTCTCTACACTACTCTTCACGAAATGATGACCTTGCGGGTCTCTCGACAATTGCGTTATACTAAGGTCAATCGGAAAGCTCCGTCCGTTTGATTGCAAAACGTACGGCTTTACTTGAGAAACAAAATAGAAAAGGTATCGGGGAGTACAAATTAGTTCGGTCCGTTTTTTCTTTGTGCTAAAAGATGTATTTGTTTCGAAACAAAATGAATGAACAGATCAATTAAAGTATTTTCCATCGCCGGCTACTACTTTCTCCCATTTCTCAGGCAATTTTCGAACTCCATCTCGAGAAAATGACTCGTCTTTCGGGGCGATCCAAGTTTGGAGCCAATTTTCGATATCTGCGAGAGAAGTGAACCGGTGACCTGCCAAATCGTGCCGCATCCTTCGGAACAATCAGTAATCAGAAGGAGCAATATGTCCGGAGGATACGGCGGGTGCGGTGAAACATCCCATTTGAGCGTTTCCAAATATTTTTTTACGACTTTTGCGACATGAGGCCGAGCGTTGTCATGAAGAACGCCTTTCAACGTCTCTCGGTTTCAGTTCGCAAGGCACCCAATTTCTTTGTTTTTGAATAATTCCCATGTCTCTCAATCGTACGGAAACGGCTTGTTGTTGAGTCACTCTCAATGATTCTGCAAGCTCCTCTTGCGTTTGACTCTGATCTTCTTCGAGTAATGCCTCTGATTCTTTGTCCTCGAATTTTTTTGGCTGTCCAGAGCGAGGCTTGGCTTCGACGCTGAAATCTCCATCCTTGAAACGTCGAAACCATTCCCTACATGATTTATCATGTTGGAGCAGCGTCACCATAAACTTCAACAAGCATTCGATGGGCTTCAGCTGCACTTTTCTTCCAATTAAAGCAGAAAATTTTCCTTCCTTGCAAAAACCTTTCCTAAGGCTTTCAAACGATCGGAAATGACAGATTGAGCACAATTTAATGCTTCTGCAAGTTGCTTTCGCGCTTGACATGGTCCACTTCGCGTCCACCAATGCCATTCTTCGTCTACTCGAATACTCTTGGCCGAATACTCCAGAACGCTCTTTGTCCTCTACATCAAAATCACCAGCGTTTTAAAGCGCCGAAAGTATTCTCCGCATGTTTTCTCGGAAGCAACATTATCACCGTAAACTTCTACAAGCATTCGATGAGCTTCAGCTGCAGTTTCCTTCCAACAGAAGCAAAAGACACTTGGCGCAAATGACCCTTATTTGGCTCAAATTTCGACATTTTCCTTTATGTACTGAATGTTATTGACAGATGTCAAGACAAACCATTAAGCCTCGTCGTAGACATTAGAGAGGTTAAACGACAGTTCTAGCTGGATGGACGGAACTTACCGATTTACCTGATAGTACGACTGATACTTTCTACAATTTGGTCATAGTAATTTTATCCGACGAAACGATGCTCAGATAATAATTTTCCCAAAACCTTGATTGACGTTACGCGCAGGAAAATAACGGGCAGGGCGACAGGGGGAAGGAGAAGGTGAACGGTAACATGCAGAAGAGGGAGTACAGCGAGAGCGAGAGCAGTTGGAGCAGCGTCGAGGAGATCGAGACCAAGGCGATAACCGAGAGGAACGACGAGGATTTCGCGAGGACGACGGACGAGCCGCGGACGAGACCTCCGCGACGAAAATCGAAGGGAGGCAGCGCCGGCAATCACGAGCCCGAAGTAGCCGAGGACCGTGAGAAAGCCGCGCAGCTGAGGCCCCTTCTGACCCCATCCTCCTAAGCGCCTCCGCCTCCTAAACGTATTTTCCTTTGGCTGATCCTCGCTCATGTCCCGGATAAAACGAGACCTCGCCGTGTGTACGCACTTCAGCAACACTGATACTCACGACGCAACACACACACACACACACACACACACAGGGAGTCCCGAAATACAGGAGATACCGAGAGAGAGAGAGAGAGAGAGAGAGAGGACGTGCCTCTCGTCACGAATACACCCGATGAGTTTGCGTAAATAAAGGGTCGACTCGGGTGAATCGCAAGCAAATTATTTTCGTAACTGGCGCGTATATTCGAGCACACGATGGGGAGGGTAATGTCCAAACGGCGACCTGTCCGTATATTTAGTATCGCGCAATGCAACTTTCATCCTTTCTCGTGCGCTCCGGAAGAAGGAGGGAGAAAACGAGGATTCGGCGCATCCTTTATGCTCGACGTCAACACATATATCGACATATCCTGAAATTATATTTTTGTACTTTTACTCTGCAACACCCACACACCCACACACACACCCACACACACACACCCACACACACACACACACACACACACACACACACACACACACACACATTGCACGCGACGCGACGCGACGCGACGCGGAAGCGCCGCTCTTGCAAACAAGGGCAACCAAGAAACAACCGATTAATAATAATATACCGCCAGCAAACTAATCTTTCGGCGAGTTTGCCAGCGCGCTTGCTGCTACTCACCCCCTGGTGGAAATCGTCCTTAATTTACCGAAGCGAGTTTACAGGGACTCGCGACGGAGCGGAACAAGTGAGGTGTGTCGGAAAGTTCTCTTAATAGAAAGACCGGTAACAATGTCGAATCAAAGGTGGCAACTCCGCGGAATGTTCGGACGTTTGCAATTTCATCGTGGGCCGCGGAGCTCCCCCTCCCCCCCCCCCCCCCGCCACTATTTACGGAAGAACAAGCAGATCTTTCGCATTTGTCTGTTGTCAAGTTTCGCTCGCTCAGTAGTTAATCGTGTTGCATCTCTCGACGTAATAATTCCATGGCTCCTCTTTCACCGACTGACGCGTCTGCGCGCGCGCGTAATTAGTAGCGATGTAGATGCGGTAAAAAAAAAAGAAAAAAAAAAAGAAGAAAAAACAAGCGACAATTAGAGCGTAACGCAAGTAGCCGTTGGAATTGACACTCCAAAGTTCGCGTAGGGCATATATGTGCGTACAAATCTCACAGATGTGTAATCTCAGATATCTCAACGTTATTTGGTCGTCTCGCGATTGTCACCCCACGGCAGGAATACCTCGGTCGCGACGGGGTACATTGTTAGAGGACAAATGCTGCAAGAATCGGGTCCATATTCACGCACTTTTAAAGTTTAAGTTCACTGTCGGGGAGCTTCTCCTCCGAAAGGGAGGAAAAATAACAGCGTTAGCACCGAGTCGTTACCGAGAAGAAGTAACCAGCAAACGGTATTGTACTTTTTAACTCTGTTTAAGATTTATATTATAGTTGTATACCTACGAACTCTAGTCATTCCGGTCGTGTATACTCAATCAATTTATCAGCAATTCTACCGATCATTTAGATGATAATGTGTTATTTATCATGGCGGGAGATTGCAGAAGTCGTCGAGTTGTAATCGACGTTGCTTATTGTAGCGTGAGTACGGATCTGTGTGCGTGTGCGAGCGTATAAATGTGCGTATATGCGTCGTATATGTCGGCGTATATTTCATTTATCTAACATCGTTGTTGAATATACATGTATACAGGGTGCTAAATTTCAAGCGTAACCGGTAAAAAAATCTCGAAAACTATGAAAGATATTAAAAAAAAAAAGCTAAAACACGTGTTCCGCGATTTCGAAGGGTAAAGAGAATGGCATTATCAGTTTTTTATTTGGGAGGGCATTTTCAAGGTCAGTTGAAGGTCAACTTAATTTTTTAAAACAAAGAGCCCAATTTTTTACTGCATCTTCTTTTTCTACCAATTAATTTTAACAACTTTTGTCTGAAACCTTTTTTGTTATTTGCCTAATATTTTTTTGAAATATTTAAGGAAAACTTGGTAACTTTCTCGACACTTAACTTACGATATCTCGCTAACTATTCGTCGAAAGAAAAAATAGTATTAGACTCTTTTACTTTATTTACTATCAAGAATATATTACTGCAATAGTGCCCTAACTTTTGTTAATTTAATAATTTTGAAATTTCCAAAGATAAGATGCCATTCTCTTTCCCGTTCGAAATCGTGGAACACGTGTTTTAGCTTTTTCTAATATCTTTCATAGTTTTCGAGATTTTTTACCTGTTACGCTTGAAATTTAGCACCCTGTGTATATATATATATATATATATACATATATATATCGTTACAGCCGATGCGATACTTTATTATCGTACGCACGAGACCATTGATCGTTTCCACGCGTGTGTCACGACGTCCGTGTAATTTTCGAATATGATAGAATCGCTTAGTCACGAGAGAGAGAGAGAGAGAGAGCTGCCTATCAATTCGAAATCGTCAATTAAGATCGCAAGAGACGCAGCTCGGGTGCCATTGAGGATATTAATTGCGTGTCGTTCGATCGTCGTCGTCGTCGTCGTCGTCGTCATCGACGACGACGAGACCTGAGGAACTGTCCGGGTGCGGGTGTTGTATCGATGTTAATAATATTATCAAAGTTGCGACATAAAAACAAACGATGTCTGAGTGTACGAAATTAGCGCAATAAAACGAAAAATTAGCTGAAAACTTCTCGACCAGTTGGTAGTGCCGTCAATGTGCCGAAACGGCATTTCGCCGCTCTCCTCCCTCATCTAGCATGCGGAGAGCAAGTCGCACGATGTCGTAACGCAATCCTGTTTCGCGCTATTTCAAGGAGCACACGCGGCGGCAACTTTATCAACGGCGGAGCGTAAATTCCGCTTTTGGCAACAGTTCCCCCGAAAATTCGACGGGTCATCATTTGAAATGCAAATGATGGTTATCCAGCATATGCTCGGACTGCATAACCGGATTTCGGAGACAACAATGATGTCGTCACCGAGACGCGTTCCCTATGCCTTTCTTCTTCTTTCGTCGGTGTATTATGGTGCGTGGCGCATTCTCGAAGCCGGCGGTATACATCATCTCGCGTAGCGGTAGTAGCAGTCTTCGACGGACTCTCTCGCCGTGCATTTCCCATGAGTAAATCGCGTCTACCGATTTCGCTGGGCAACCTCAAGAGTTTTGCGGCCGCATTTTCTCGCTGGTCACGCCGAAATTGCGCGGGACAGCGCGCCGATTCGATTCCGGAATCGCTTGTGTGCGCGCGCGGACCGACCGACCGAGCGTGGAATGTTCGGCTGTGCTCGGCGGTGTGGAAGTGTGGAACAACCGGTCGTCGCGGTGAGCTGGGGTCTTCAAGTTTCGAGCAGTCTCGAGGATGGCGGAGAAGAGCTGCTTAACGTGCGCGTTCGAGGAGCAGGAGGAACGAAGGTACGAGAAAGAACACGTGCGATTAACGTGCGGCCCGGCATTCACGATGCGATTCTGATATTTCTCGCTCTCTCTCTCTCTCTCTCTCTCTCTCTCTCGCGCGCGCGCGCGATGAGAGGCTGTTGAACCGTGTCATTAACAGCGTGCGCGAGAGCGAGAGCGAGAAGTTGCTTAACACTGGCCGACGGAACGCGTACATCTGCCTTACGAACATCCTGACCACGTGTCAACAACAACTGTCTTGCTACATGTGAACGACGAGACTCTTGCTTCGTGCAAAGATTGAAGTAAATATATCGGGAGATACCTCGCAAAATACACCGACTTATCGCGGGTTATTATAAAGTATCCGTGCAAAATACTTCTTGATGATCTGATACTTCCTCATGTTTAATCTCGTAAGAGATATTTTTCTGAGCGTGCGGCTTTTTACATTCAACTGAGCAACCCAAAAGCAGACCCTTTTATTCGAGCGCGTCTCTGCTCGGTTACCAGCCGTAGGCTGAAGCAGCGACGCGTTTCGTCGGTTGACGTCTGTCGGTTAAGCGTTAATTATAAATACGGAGCATGCCGTCCGTGCACAATTGAAAACGTACTTTCGTACTTTTGTTAAAATCTTTTGTGTGTAGAAAGTTTTGCGTTTAATTCCTTTACACAGTCGTGTGTTAATTTCACATATCGTTGTTGTGTTACTTAGATTTTCTTGTCTTAAGTTAAGATTGACTATTTTCAAGTGTTAAAATAACATTTCCAAGTGTTAAAATAACACAATTTATATGTAAATGCATGAATTCTTGCTACGATATATTGTATATGTTAAAGTCAACACCTAAAATGTGTTATTTTGCTCATCACAATCAGTTCATCGTGTGTTGAATTAAAATTTTTTTTATTTTTAACGCGTAAAAAATCACTCAATAAGTACGTAGGATGACATACAGATGGCGCTACTATTGACAAATCCATATGATTTTTAGGAAGTGCCAGCCTTCAAATGACACGTGTCAAAACTTCATGACAATCGGACGCTTGGTTCACAAGTTACAGTGGTTCTAGTGACGCTGCTGTTTTAATTTTGAAAACAATGGAAAAATCTGAGTTTCCTGTGTTGATAAAGCATTGCTTTTTAATGGGAAAAAATACCGTTCAAGCGAAGCAATGGCTTGACAAGTGTTATTCGGACTCTGCTCCATCGAGACAAATGGTAGAGAAGTGGTGGGCTGATTTTAAAGGCGGCCGTACAAATATCGGTGACGCTGAACGCTCTGGTCGCCCAAATTCGGCAATTATTCCAGAAAATAAAGGATTCCATAAAGGAAGTCCACAAAATAGTTTTGGCCGATCGTAAATTGAAGTTACGTGAGATAGCTGACACCTTAAAGATATCAGAAGGCAGTGTATTCACCATTTTGCACCAACATTTGTCCATGAGGAAGCTCTGTTCGAAGTGGGTGCCGCGTTTGCTCACAGTCAATCAAAAACAGCAACGCGTCGACGATTCAGCGGACTGTTTAGAGCTGCTTCGGCGCAATAAAAAGGATTTTCTGATGCGGTATGTGACAATGGATGAAACATGGATCCATCGCTACACTCCAGACTCAAATCGGCAGTCAGCTGAGTGGACAGCAACCGGTGAAACCCGCCTAAAGCGACCAAAAACGCAAATGTCAGCTGGTAAGGTTTTGGCCTCCGTATCTTGGGATGCGCAGGGTATTTTATTCATTGATTACCTTGAGAAAGGAAGAACCATCAATACCGAATATTATATGGCGTTATTGGTGCGTTTGGAGGAAGAAATTGCGAAGAAACGACCCCCAAATGAAGAGGAAAAAAGTGCTCTTTCACCAGGATAATGCATCGTGTCACAAGTCGCTCGCAACAATGGCAAAATTGCACGAATTGCACTTTCAGTTGCTTCCCCATCCACCGTATTCTCCGGATCTGGCTCCCAGCGACTACTACCTGTTTGCAGGCCTGAAAAGAACGCTCCAGGGAAAGAGATTTGACTCCGATGAAGAAGTGATTGTCGAAACTGAAGCCTATTTCGAGGCCAAAGATAAATCGTTCTACAAAAAAGGCATCGAAATGTTAGAGAAGCGTTGGAATCAATGTATCGCTCTTGAAGGAGACTATGTAGATGAATAAAGTCAAATTTTGCCTAAAAGTTGACGTTTTATTAGTCATCCTACGAACTTGTTGAGTGATGTGTTAGATTATGCCTATCTAACATATTCATTCCATCAAATCGTAGATCATTGCTTTTCCCAAATGTTGAGGTAACATTCGTTGTATGTCAATGTTTAACACAAACTGTGACATTCCTGACAGCGTGTTCAGATGTTGAATTTTTGTGTCAATTGCCGTGATATTATGCGTGTTATTTTTTAACATGTTTGCTGTATGTTAAATTAACACTAATAAATGAGAGTGGATGGATTTGAGAACACACACACGAAATATATGTTAAATTTAACACATCGTTCCTTACAGCGCATGTTCCTCGAGAGAGAAAATTCTCGATCCACGGGAGGATATTCCCTCTCCTCGAGTTGTGATCTCTCCTCGAGAGGGACACGGGTGACGTTTTCGCGTTTGCGCGTGGATTTCGTGGCTACGGTCCTGTGTCGTCGAGCGTCGAGTTGGATTCATCGCGCAGGCCCGTATCGATTTACTCGCTCAGCTGATGCGATTGCGCTGCGTGTGCAATACTGCTCCGTTTGAAACGCGTCAGAGAACACTCCGGTATTTTAACAAAGCGCGTCTTCCTGTAACGCTTGAGCACCACTGGCCAGTGCGGATTTCTTTTGCGTTCTACTATCTCGCGACACATTCAGCCGCTTTATCCACAGCCGTGGGCTCGTAAGTGCTAGTGGTTTCTTCAACGCGTGCCAAGGTTCGAGAGGCCCTACATGGGGCTTTGATGGTTGAAACGGTGTGTCATATTCCTCGAAGAGGACTTAGCGCGGCCGCCAAAATGGCATGGGATTTCTCGACACGTGCCTGTCGAAGAGGCCCGCACGAGGACGCGCGTTCGTAGATGATGAGAAACAGGCATGTTTCCCAAGTGAGTGGTCGAGAATCAATCGAGCTAGGAGCTCGCAATGGATGATCATGCCTCCTGTTGTTGTGTGTAATGAGTGGAGTCTTTCCGCAGAGAAAAAACATGACCTCCTCGTCCTCGTCCAGCACGAGTTCCGTATGCACCAGCGTGGACGATACACGCCGGTGCAACGGTCACGAGAGGAGCAAATTCCTCGATTCGGAGGACGTCGGTACCCTTTGGCTGCTCGACGATCATTTCTCTCGTGGGTCGAAGCAGATTTCTCGAGGATTTCAGATAAGCAAGTGAGTGACAATCAAGGTCATTCTACAATGAGGTTGTAGTAGTAGTATGTAGTAAGCAAATTGACCAATCACAGTCGATTATTCTTCGATCGTAAAGAGAACGGTCGATCGTGATTAGTCAATTTACCTACTGCATATCATATCACATTACATATCATATTACAACCTCATTGTAGAATGACCTTTATGCGCAACTCGCTCGAAGTATTGACGCGGTATTTGAACATGCACAAGTCACTCTGCACCTTTATTATTGTTATTATTATTACACTCATTATCGGTGGCGTTCGCTGGCTACGTTTAATATGATACAGTTATATTAACACGTCCGAAGAAAGAGAAGGAGCGAAAAATACGAGTGTATTAGATAAGGCTAAAATGAACAACAGACTGTCAATTTCCTATAATTCAGTTGAACTGCTTTCCATACGATCGAAAAAACGAGGAGTGAAAGAAATAAAAATTGAATGCAAATTGTCAGACAAACGTGAATAATCGTAATTCATTTTTTATGCATGTCGTAAATAATGACAATCGTCTAGTTTATTTTATATAATGCTGAAAACATGCAATCGCATTTATGCACACACACACACACACACGTTCATACAGATACGATCTTTTTTCCTAGTGTAACTCAGAAATTATTTAGAATTTAGATCATGCGTTATTATATATGGTATAATAAAAAGAGGCATCAGGTCATCTGAAAGATATGGCAGACACTTAAATTATTCGATTATTCAAAGTTTTGATTTTATGTGATTGTGATAACGGAGACATTTGTTCAGAATTATGAAAATTACAAGAGAAATAAATTTCAAGACGAAACAAATTGGCCGGGGGTCACTTTTTCATAAGAAACGTACGGAGTCTTTTGAGTACTTAACTGGACGGAGAAAAGCTTTCTAACACGTTAGATTAACAAAGCAGTGGCTTTGTTAATCTAACGTGTTAATGTTTGCAAGGCAAAACAATGTCGTCCAAGTAGGTCGCGAAAGATGCACGATAAAACGAGATACTACTTCGTTAAAAAAAATCTAAAAATAATTAGTCTGTATATTTCTTACCTCGTATCTATCTATATCCTGCTTGTAAAATGTAAAAGTAGAGCAGAAGAAGAAAGTAGAAAAGAATACAGGAAAAAACCTGGGAAGCACAAGAAACTAAAATCTGATTTACCTATTTGGTCAATGTTGCAATCGCGTGACGTCTGTGCGATTGTACCGATGAATCGTCTCGGATCTATCAGTCGTCGAGCGCACAAATTTCGAGATAAATTCGATCGACGACTCTTTAGTCGTCGCGATTCGTCCCGGATCTCTTCGTATAAACTCACACTACGCACTCGAATTACCAACTAACGAGTCGACCAAGCAGCTGTAGACCCAAGAGATCTAAGTGGGCAAATGAAGTGGTGCGGCCTCTTCTTGATGCCGATATAATACAGCGATCCCAGCGACATTCGTTGACTGACTGCCGGCAAACGATCGACCAAGAATTTTACTCGAATTTATTATGAATCGTGATATTGTTATCAGTTTTCAGTGAATTGTGTCTGTTATCTTTACTGACGAGATAATAAAACATGCTAATCATGTACAAAGAACTAGTTCCTACTTTGTGACATATGTAGTAACATATGTAAACATATTGCGTTATGCAAATCCTCAAGAGAGAGAGAGAGAGAGAGAGAGAGAGAGACAGCGATAAATAAAATTTACGATTATAATTTGCTCGCATTATTTTTCCTACAACGCTTGTTGCCGTCTACCTCGCGTTATCACGTTTTTTTTATCTCGTTATTAATTCGCTGGGAGGCATGCTTATCGTTAAAAATATACACGAAACAATACGCGTGTAAGATACATACAACGGTGAGCAATAACTTTCAGTTTATCAATCTGACGATATAGTATCATAACTTTTTCGTGCTTCTAGTGGGTAATCAATCATCGTTTAATTGCTCATGTGCAACTAAGAAATTAAAAATTTTTATTTCATCGATCCTATGCTCGACTAAACGGAGAATTTTATGTCGCAGGTCACGATGTCGCGTGCGAGAATTGGTGCTCATAATCGCCGCGACCGCGGCATTACTGTTCGGGGCGATTATCGGCTTTAGTATCGGCAGCATTCAGTGCATCTGCGGCCGCAGCCCGGATTCACAGAGCGATGAGCTGCTGGTGCCACCTGACCCGGAGAATCCGCAACCGCCGTCGTGGAGCGAGTTGCGAACTTTCAGGCAGAGTGCAGTTTGTGCGGATGGGGCACCGTGCGCTGTTATTGGCAAGTACGTGCGAAGCCCGCAAGACCCGCGTACTCTTTGAATGCGATTCAAACGAACGTTTGATCTCTCTTCTTTCTACGACGCGCTGAAGGTACATTATATATAGGTTAACATATATATATATATCTTTTCCCTCTTTCTTCAGGTCGATCTTGGAGCGGAACGGATCGGCGGTGGACGCCGCGCTGGCCGCGTTAATATGCAACGGACTCGTCAACATGCAGAGTCTCGGCTTAGGCGGTGGATTCATGATGACGATCTACGAGAGATCCACACGCCGAGCCCTCGTGCTAAACGCGAGGGATCGCGCGCCTTTGTCGGCGAATTCTACAATGTACGACGGCAAGCCGGCGAATGCGTCCTCCTTCGGTGAGCAGTTCGCGATAACTGCTTCTAAAATAATGCACGGACGAAACGCACTTGGTTCGTTTCTTCGTCACGCGTTAAGGGGACTGAAGGGGGTCATCAGATTGCTCAGAAAAATCTTGTGCTTGTTTTTGACAATACTTTGCGGTGAACTGAATAAATGTGCAAGAATGAAAATTTTAGGTACAAATTTTATACAACATGTGAAGAGAGTAGAAAAATTTTATTTATTATTTTATTTATTATTTTATTTATTAACAAATACTCATATAAATATACGATATACGCAGCTGAAATACACTCTCCTTTTTTTTTTCAAGTTGTCGTTTTTGCAGTGATATCTCGGCTCTCGGTGGTCCGATCAGAGCGAATTTTAGCTAGAAATCTTAGGCTTATCATTGTCCGGTGAACTACTAGAAAAAAAAATCGAGCAAAATTAACAAAAGCTATTATTAGGAAAAAGTTCAAATTTTTCTGTTCTTTTACGATAAAAAAATTAATATCTCGAAATGAAATATTTTGACGTAATTGTTCATGGTTCATCTGAGAGCCAGATGAACAAATATTATTGCTTTGAAATTTCAAATCGATACGAAGCTCAGTTTCGGAGAAATCACTGCAAAAGGTTGAACAATAAAATTTCGAGAGAAACGCGTTTGAAATTTACCTGGACATATATTTATATAAATATTTGTTAATAAACCAAACTTTTCTACTCTTCGTATGTTACACAATTATATCAAAAATTTTCATTCTTGCACACTTATTCAGTTCGTCACAAAATATTATCAAAAGACAAGCACGATTTTTCAGTAAATCTGACCCTCCCCAGTCCCCTTAAGGTCGATTCACACTATACGGCACGGATCGTCGCGTACCGGCAGTGACACGTACCGACGCGACAAAACTTTAAAACACGCGTTTTCATGAAACTATTCACACTACCCCGACACCGATCTGCACGTTCCATCAACGGGACGTACCGGCACCCGCCCGACATTCTCGCAAGCAATATTTTGACGGTACGCGCGTCGGCGCTGCTACGTCAGTCTGAATCAGTAAGAAAGCGATAGAAAACAGACGCAGCGGAGGATGGAGCAGGAAAAATTAAGCGAAAATGTTAATATCCTGATCGGTGAAATTGCCTCGGGACGGGACACGGGATGTATTTTGTTTCTGTAGTACAGGTTCAATTAATTTGAGCAAATCATAAAATTTACATCGCGGCTAATTCTAAAATACTGATAAAACTTGTCGTCATATTTTACCAAGTCTTTCAACAATGTTCTCCTTCAAGTTTTTTTTTTTTCTTTCTTAACGCTCGGATGCACCCATTTTCGATTTCTCTTTCGTATTTTTTCTCAGTTCGGCTTCCTCGTCGTCTAAAAGTAAGATTGTAAGAGCCAATTTATCGTCGCTGGATGATCATCCATCCATTGTGACCGCAACGTCACGTTGACGGACAGTTAGCGGAACAGTCTGAACAGATGCATTAATTTGTCGGTGCCATGCCGGTACGCGACGGTCCGTGCCGTACAGTGCGAATCGACCTTTACCTTTACCTTTAACCGTGTGCACATTTCGAATTATCCTCTCTCGCTTGGATGAGGACATTGATGAGAGAGCGTGTCACTTGATCGACAGGCGCGCTCGCAGTCGCCGTTCCCGGCGAATTGGCCGGCTACTGGGAGGCTCATCAGCGATTCGGTAAATTGCCATGGCCGGACTTGTTCAAGCCGAGCATCGAGCTCTGCGAGAAGGGCTACACCTTGACGCTGGTGCAGTACGACGGCTTGGGTTACAATAAGAACAGTATTTATAACGATCCGACTCTGAGGTACGTAGCGTCGGGGTGAGCGAGAAGTAAACACCGTGGACCGTTCGTTCTTCCGTGCGTGGTAACATCGTCGAGCGAAATATCCTTCTCATTCTTTTAGAGAATTGTTTGTCGATCCCACAACTAACGAATTCCGTAAAGCAGGATCCAACATTAAACCCAAGGCACTCTGCGAGACGCTGCGAATTCTCGCCGAGAAGAACGCCACGGAATTCTACAACGGCACGATCGGCCGACTTCTCGTCGGTGACTTGCGCGAGCAAGGAGGCATCATAACGATGAGGGACCTCAACGAGTACAGGTATAATCTATCTTTCAGGGCTTCGCTTGAACACGATCACTCCTTTTCAACTTCGAGCAACCTTACTTTCAGTCGGAGGTCCCCCCCTCCCCCCCCTTCAAGTATCGTCAAATGTTCATCTCGTCCCCAGCGAGACGTGGACTTGCCTCTGCTGCTTAAACTTCTTCAAGCGTATTCTTTCCTCAGGGTCTCGTGGGATCAACCGATACGGACGAATCTCTCGAACGACTTGAGTCTCTTCACCACGGGGCTGCCAGGTAGCGGAGCGGTGCTCTCGTTCATTCTGAACGTCTTCGACAGCTACGACTTCTCGCCGGCCAGCATAGCCGACCTGAACGCGACGATCCTCACGTATCACAGAATGATAGAGACGTTCAAATACGCGTACGCGTTAAGGGCGAATCTGGGTGACGGACGTTTCGTCGACATGACTCAAGTAAACATACTATTTACGGCATATTAATTTTTAATCGTCAACCAAGATAAGAAATGCGATTCACTTGATGCGCGCCGCCCACGTGATAACACACCGTCGGATAAACATTTTATTGTTCATCCTCACTCAAAACGGCTGTATCTCGAAGCTGTATTTTGATACCGCGCCTCTGTTCCTTTCTTCTCGCAGATAACAAAAAATCTCACGTCGGCGAACTTTGCGCGGCAGGTACGTGACAAGATAAGTGACGAGAGAACCTGGCAAGATACGCGACACTACGGCTCATTCGCCAGCGCCGGTTTCGAAGATCACGGCACCGCGCACGTGTCGGTGCTGGCGCAGAATGGCGACGCCGTGTCGGTCACCAGCAGTATTAACTATTAGTAAGCGTACCGCTTGTGCCCGCGAGTACTCTCGTACTCGTCCAATCGTCGAACTCCCGTAGCGCTATAATCTCGATGATCCCGCAGTTTCGGCAGCGGACTGATCAGCAGGAGGACCGGCATACTCCTGAACAACGCTATGGACGACTTCGGCATCCCGTCGAAGCTCAATTACTTCGGCGTGCCGCCCAGCCCCAACAACTACGTCGCCCCCAAGAAGCAGCCGTTGTCCTCGATGGTGCCGTCCGTGCTCGTTGACCGGCACGGCGACGTCAGGATGGTCGTGGGTGCCGCCGGCGGCACGAAAATCACGACGGCGGTGGCCCAAGTTAGTTAGCGCTCCGATGCAAAATCCTGAAACAGATCCGCGGGTTCCGTTAATTGGCATCAGGTTTGCATCGCATTAATCGCATTGGCATAAATTTCTCGTTTCCAGGTGATTGCGAAAATCCTGTGGATGGGACAGACGGTGAAGGAGGCGGTGGACGCGGCGAGGATACACCACCAGCTGTCCCCGACGAGGCTGGACTACGAGTACGGTGTCCCGAAGCAGGTGATTGACGGCTTGAAGCGTCTGGGACACGCGACGAAGCGCTACAGGGCGCGTGGCAGCGTGGCCTGCGTGATCCTGTACGAAAACTCGACGATCTTCGCGAACGCTGATTATCGCAAAGGCGGCGACGTCTACGGGATCGATTGATTCGCCACCGTCGCCGTCGCCGTCGCCGTCGCCGTCGGCGGCGACCGCCGATCTTCCCGGAGTCATCGTTGGATCGCCTCCTTTCTTAACATGACTTCCCACTAACCGCAGCAGACCTCGAACGTCGTGCGATTATTGCGCCGATGTGCGCAATGCGTCATCACGTCGGCAACGAGACATTCGCTTTGGAAAGGTCGTCACGTCGCGCTCGCTCTTGTTTAATAAAATTTTTACAAGTCTCCCGCTCGCACGCTGATTTACACGCGTTATCCTTGCGCCGGTCGCATTCTTCCCGGCGACAATGTGCCCGCGTTTTCTCGCCACCCTGTCGCCACCCTTCGACGGAATACCGTCTGGTTTTGTCTGGTATTTCCTTGTCGCGCGAAACAGCAGCAACGCGTAAATCGATAGACATGTACATCATATAGAGAGAGAGAGAGAGAGAGTGGGGCGGAGAAAGAGGGGATATAAAAGAAGGAGCAAGCCACACAATCGATGAATTTCGCTTCTCGGACGTCGTAAGTTGCAAAGTGCGTGTATTATCAGCACGTAGAGCGCGACTATGCGACACTTTAAGAGCGTGATACACGTATAGGAACGTCTCTACGGCCTTACCATGCTTCGAATAGGTCCGAAGTCGCTCGGTGTCGCGCGATTTACTTCCTATTTTGCAGCACTTTCAATTATGCAATTTCACCCCTGGAGCTGCACGATGCCGCGCGCGGAAGCAGTCACCCCCTGCTACTCCGTGATACTACCGAGTTCACTTCTCCCGTGCTTCTTTCGCGCGCTGATCGCGCGCGGCAAAAACGGACGTTAACAATGCGCGATGACCAGCGATGGGGAAGAATTCAAAGTAGCTCTCTCCCCCCCCGTCTGCTCTTATATACAAACATTCAAACGTGACGACTCACGTCGCCGACGCATCGAAATGGAAAGAATCTTACATAAACGACACTAGCGACTCTACCTCCGCCGTGCATGGTAAGCGGAAACCTGTTCCCGAAGTCAATAGAATCAAGGCTTCGACTATTGACGACACAGCCGAGCGGAGTCGACTCGCAAATATAAAAGTGTCCTATCAGAATCAGATCTGTTAACGGTACTTCACGGCCGGTATCCTTTCGCGTCGTCATCCTTCGAATTCGCTCGACGCCGATCTCCCCCGCCTGTCTGCCTATCGTTGCTCCGCGCGAACGTGCTTTTCATGAGAGCGGAGACCGGAGAGACGTGCGTGCACTCTTGTCTCTCGTCGTTGACTTTGCGAAAACAGCGAGAGCTCTTCGAGTGTCTATAATTAACTGTAACCCCCCTCCCCCTCCGCAGAGCCATCGCCCGCGTGAACACGTATGCCGCACACTTAGTCGAGATAATACGGCCGTATCAATCGCCGACCTTGAAAATTAATCGTCCTCGAGAGACCGATAGAAAGTCACTGTTTTCGTTTAAGCAGCAGTCAACTTGAACGATAAACAGACGGACGAGGCTCGCAGTCGCGGACACTTTGTTTCCGCAGCTGAGCGACGCGACTGCGTGCGCCCCGCGAATTATCGCGGTCGCTGCGAGTTATGCAAGAATATGGATGAGATATTTCAGAACTGTTTATATTATTATTATAAGATATTGTGTATCACCGCTCGTCCATCCAGCGCGATATCATTGCGCGATGAAAAAATCACGCTCAACGCTAAATATTTATTCGCTGATGACGCTGATGCGCGCGCGCGCGTGTGTGTATGTATGTGTGTGTGTGTGTGTGTGTGTGTGTGTGTCGGCGGTCTGCATTTTTCCGCGAGTGACGACGTTGACAAGCGACAGCTTTGTAAAATGCAGGACTTTCTGCATTTAATCTGTCTTCGTTGTTGTCGTCGTGTAACTCGCGACACCTCAAGCCGCGTGAGCGTCCCAATACGTCCCTCTCGTAGCGACTCTCATCGATACCTCGCCGATAATTACCGCGGGGAAAGGAGCGGGAGCGAGGGGTGTCGTCTAATTTCAAAGTTTCATCGATGTGTGCAGGACAGACATGTCTATGTCACGCTCCGATAGTCTCGTTTTGCCGCGATATTCTACGACGTAGAAACGAGCTCGGCTGATATCGCGGCTTTCCCCTCCCTCTCTCTCTCTCTCTCTCTCTCTCTCTCTCTCTCTCTCTCTCTCTCTCCCTCCTTCTCTCTGATATCGTGCGCTTACTCGCGCGCACGATACGACGACCGGTGAATGTAGCGGCAAAATATTCCACGGGAGACGGTTGTGTCTCCTTCGTCGTTGTTTGTTATCGCGCCTCCGCAAGACGGACTATAAATCGCGTCTAATTTACAAACGATCGGCGTATATAATCGGACCCGACAGTCGGCTTCGTCGTTAACATTGAAAAAGTCTTCGTTCGTGTCGGCGAACGTCATGTACGAAGAGCACCTTTGCGTCCGTTTTCGTCGATGTTCGACGGCTTTGCCTCGTCCGAAAATAACTTTCTGACTTTTGAAATAAAAGATCACGTCACTTCGGCTAAAAGTCTCTCGTAGTTTCTCGCCTCGAGATCCGAGAAGACGTCGGCGGCGTGCTCGCCCGACCTGACAACCGGGAACAACCAACACGCGACCACGCTGATCGACGCTGAACCCACACCTTGCGGCAGAAGGCAACGCACCTGCTTCGCGCCGGATGGAATCGCGCTTACGCGTTGGCATTTTCTAGGTCGCGTATCTTCCGCGCGTGTAGACCCGGCCACGTGAGCGGAGGAGCCATTGGATGTGACGGATTGAAAATCTTGTTATCGGCTATCGTGGAGAATAGGGACTCGCGTGCGCGCGGCAGCGCGGAGCTCGCGAAAGACGAGGAGGAAACCCTACGAGGCCTCGCGCGAGCGCCGTCAATCGGCTCGAGTGTGTTTACTCGGACGTAAATAGGAGATCGAAAGTATAACGTGTGAGACAAAAGAGATGACGATGGCAGGGAATGGCAGGCGGAATGGCAGCCGTGACCCGCGATCTTTGGACGCTTGAGGGACTTATCGGCTACAAGCTGACGAGTGCTCGAGCTACGGTATCCAGGTAGACGACACGCGGAGTACGCGATCCTGGAGCTCGGTACTACGATCGCTCTCTGTCGGCTGGAAAGCAGCCAGGTGTTGCTTTATATTGACGGTACTGCTTATAAAATGGAGCAACCATAAGCGACGGCGAAACACAGCTGAGTACACCGATGGCGCGCGGAGTACATCGCTGACGCGTCAACAGGAATGATCGGGTGACAAGGCGGCGCGGCAAGTGTATTGTTACCGCGTCCTGCGACGCAGTTTCGCCCGCTTAATGACGCTTCAACTTTTATTCCACGATCGATCGCTCGCGTTCGGCGAAAACGTTCTCTCGCACGCATACCGACTCGCGCGCATCGGTGCGCTCGAATCGATGCCTGTGTGTGTGTGTGTGTCTTCTTGACCGAAACGAAAAAACATACTCGATTTGTTGCGCAATTTCTCGAGAGCGCGCGATATATAGGTGGAAAGCGAGCGGAGAAATTGCACAATCTTGCTGAAAAAGAGCGTAAAAGCACTACGGCGATACGTGTTATCGGACGCGCTATCGCGCAGTCTCTCGCGATGTGCGGTTAACATTCGTCCAATATTCAGATATTGCGCTCGCTCGCTGCGCAGTTGCGCGAACTTGCGTAAGAGGCGGAATTTTCTTGTTTTCGACACGTTGAGAATCTCGAACGTTCCCGCTCGTGCGAAAAATCATATTGAAGCCCGCGCGCGCGATCGAAGAGCGCGCAAAACCCAAAACACACGCGCGCGCGCGCGCATAAAAGCGGTAAAGCCCGTGTCATACTACGAATTGAAGATCAAGGATTGCGGATTGAAGATTAAATTTCGACAAATCAACGAACTTCGGTTTTGATTTGCTTCATTCCGATTGGTCAAATTTCAATCTTCAATCCGTAGTGCGACACGGGCTTAAGGCGTCCGGCGGCGACTCCGGCGGCGACGGCGACGGCGACGGCGACGGCGACGACCGCCAGCTCGAAGCAGCAGTGGCTCATCGCGCGCATATGCACGGCGAGTTTCCGCGGGCGTATATAAACGTGGAGCGACGAGCGCGGCGCAGCCAGTATCGAACCGATCCTTCGGTCGAGCTGTTGTGAGTGAGAGAGCCTGACTCGCTGACTCGATATATATCCGTTGCTTTTGCGTCGCGCGTTTGCGACTAGTCTTTTCTCCGAGCGCAACCGAGAACCCAACTCCCGGAGCTATGTCCGAGGCGCATTTCGACGAGTACGAGCACTTCAACTACGACTACGACAAGCACATCTTCACCGGTCACGGCGGCAAGCAGAGGAGCAAACGCGAGGCCGTCACCCACACCAATCACTTCGATCCGAGCGGCCATTCCAGAAAGATACTCACCAAGCTGAGGAACTCGGAGCACAACAAGCGGCAACAGACGCAACAGACGCAGCAGACGCAGCAGACCGGCAACAAGCCCAAGGCGTAGACTGCGTGCAGGTAAAGGTCAGCGAGTGTGAGTTGTCGCGTGTGGTTTTTGCAATGTGTTTCACGAAACGCATCCATCCTGCGATAACCGTTATTATCAGCAGGAATTCAATAATGAACATTCAACAATGGAACTTTACTTCTGAGAATAATGCAGCTACGCTCGTGGTCGCTGCAGCGTCAAAGCGTCTTTACAAGCGTCGATCGTGAGAAGATTCTCGTCGAGAAATCCCCCCCGACCAATTTCTCGATATTTTGGTTAGAAAGAGAAAAAAAAAAAAGTAAATAAATAAGTAAAAGGAGCTCGTCCGCCTAGAGGAGCTATTCTCTCTGCGCTACTCGAGAGCGGCCGGTGGGCGGCTTAAATTGTTGAACAGTATAGTAGATCGAAATAACGCAACCTTGGTCAATATTCGCGATTGCGCATTTACTTAGCCTCTTTCTCGTTTCGTTTACGTGTCCTCGGCGCTCTCGACTCGCTCGGGACGGCATCTTCGCCCTTGTCTTTTATTTTTCTTTTTGTCAGTTATAAACTGGCGGTACGCAATTATCGCAAATCTCAAGTCGCGCGCACCGAGCAGTATTGCGTGAATAATTTTATTTTATCTCTCGAGCGTGAGAGAGAGAGAGAGAGAGAGAGAGAGAGAGAGAGAGGGGGAGAAAGAGAGAGAGAGAGAGAGAGAGAGAGGGAGGGAGAGGGAGAGAAAGAGACGCAGTATCGCACTCTCTCGTTTGCGCAACGCGCAGAATAATACGCTTTACATTATTCTCACGATCGGCCTCGAAGATACTCTGCGAGCGCGAGGAAACTTCAAGTCAACAACACTCACCGGTTATTCTCGCCGCACTAAGTACTATTTTGATTTCAGATTGCGCACGTTCCTATCTTCGCGGCAGGCGTTGTCAATTGGATCTCATCTCGCAGGACCTACCCTCCGCTAGGACGACTGGAATAAAGAAATAAAAAAAAAATATATATATATATACATACATATGTACACGTGTATCACACAATCTTTATTCTCTAAAAGGATGCATTTAGTCGTAGGTTCACGCAACGTAAGGTCGGCACGGTAGCTCGTGCCACATCATTCTTTTCATTTATGTCCGAAGCACGGACGGATCGTGCTATTTATAAGAGTACAAAATAACATACGTCGTACTTGGACTACTGCTTACTTCGTCTGAATCTGGAGTTTGCGCGACACTATTTTTCGTTTCTTCCTTTTCTTTTTTTTTCTTCCTTTTCGTTTCTTTCTAATGACGAGATGATGTGTATATCTCGATTTCCGCAGTGCGATCACTTAAAATGCGTTAAGGAGCGCCGACTGCGTCGACATTAACGAGTTATGATTGACCATTGGATATTTTCTTCTTCACCTCTTTAACATTTTGTATCGCTAAAGAGATGTATGTAATTTAGTAAATGACGATTAAGTGACTGTCACAAGTCGCTTATAAGTGATTAACTAACTGATAAAAATGGTTAACGAACTCTTCGTCTGTGCGTTGAGATACGCATAAGAGCGGCTTTTTTGTCATTTGTTCTCATAATGAATAGCAATTGTGTCGCGACACACGAGAGCGAAACGCATGTGTATAAGGCGAACCGATCGATCCGCTCGAATCAACTGTCGGAAGAGAAACGCGACGCGTTTGTTTGATCATCGCGACAATCGACGACTACGTTCAACAACTCCGAGAACACGATTCTTACGAATTGTATTGGATAATTCGTCATTAGAGTAGAGTTGCAAGATTAAATCTAAATTCTCTCTTGCGCACGGAAATCGCTTGATATATCGTATATTGGTGTGAGCATCGACAACATTATATTAAAGTTATATGTAATGAAAAATATCCGAGAAATAAAAATACTTCTAGCTAAGGAGAATGCGCTTTCGTTCGTTCTCCACAAAAGCGTGTAAGTATTTTGCAGATATATATCTGTTCCCGGGACATTGTCGCGCCTTCTCATTCTGTATGACGTGTCGTTTTTTATTTTTATTTTTGACTCACCTGTGTCGATAGAACCGGTCATTATTCACGCTACTTATCACACAGTCTCCTTTCGTTCAGTTTTCATCGTTTTATTGAGAAATAAATTTGCGATATTGCGTCGAGGTACTTATATATCAAAACCAACAATCTTTACATTCGCTTCACACGCGTACGTATCTTAACATACGTAAGTTACTCCAAATTTGACGCATAAATTATTGCAAAATATATATATAATAGCGTAAAAACGGGAACATTTTCGCAAATGACGCGTGAGCCATGATGTTTTATGATGTATTTCGATATAAATGTTCCGAGGATGGAGGATAATTACAGCATACTCATATAAAAAATGTATGTAGGTAACACTGGGTTTAAAATAATAAGTTTAAAATAATAATTAATATATCTTTCTTTTTTCTTTGTACTGTCGATTCCATTGGAATGCAATATTATCCATTCAATTTAAAAACAGCGTATAATTAATGAAGTGCAGCCTGATTACGATATACGACGATAGTTTAACGCATAAAACAAAAACATAGGGATTAGTTGCACTTTCTTTCACTTACACGACTTGTGAGAACATACGACGTTATATGATGACACCGTTGAATCAGAAACTTCATATGCATATCTGATAAAAGTTACACGATTTTTGTGCGATCTCGTGTTGTCTCTTATTCTATATTATTAACCATGCAAGACCAAAGATGTTTCTCTGAGTGTGACAGGAAAGTTTGAGTGCTAATACAGTTATTGATATATAAGTAATTCTTAAAATATAGCCAGATTACAGAATATTGACAGTATTAAATTGTACATTGTTGTAAAAAAGAAAGTTATATTAATTTATATTTATTATGATCTATCTCCTGCCTTAAAATACCAGTTAAAATAAATTCCGTAGATTGTACAGTAACAGTTTTGGGCGCTTTTGCAAGGTACTTTTTCGCGTTTAGCAAATCTTCCTTGCAAGATATTATCATCGCTTTTTCCGGCCACCTGGCAGGTGGACGTAATAGAGCTTTACCTCCGCAAGACGTTATCATATCTACAAGGAAAGAAATCCAATTACCAATGTGCTAAATTTCAATTTTGTACAATGTAGTAAAGAAAATGTAGTAAAGAAAACTTGCCCTTTAATTCTTCCAAAGGTGGCGGCGCGATGTTCGGCGTTAATACAATCGTGTAACCAACCAATAATCCTTTTTCCTTAGCTTTATCAAGACTCTTCCTCAATCTGAATCCGAATCTGGCTTCCGCTGCTGGATCCTTCAATATGTAATTCTCCCAATCTAAAAATTGTGCAGCAGATTCACTTTCGTGTAGCCAATCGATCGACACTATGGGTATACCCTTTCCTAGTGCACACAAGAATTTGTACGTCCTGCGAACTTTATCGGTGACCAAGATGGTGCACATATTCACGCTTTCCATCTTGCATCCACCTGTAAAGTAAAAGTCATCGATAACAAGACAAGCAGTGATCCATCTGATGCTGCGAATTTTCTGTCTAGCAGTCGAAATTTAAAACTTCGACCGCTAGACGTTAATTTCCCCACGGATTTGTTGTCCAAAGCTAAAGTTTGAGCAGCCAAAGTTACGAGAAATATATACACACATTTACCGATGCACGCATTCGTCAATTAATTTCATTAGTACAAAATGATAATCCCCATGTTGTCATGTCGAACAGATCGCATCACTCACCTAACATCTTGACAATTTTACTGTACTTGTCTTCCGCTATGCCGGTAAACAGAATTCTATGTCTCGCTGCGGACGGTGAGGAAATATTCATCGCCGATGAACTTCTGCGTGTTTTGAAAGGCGTGGAAGTGCGAAGAGCCGAATCTACGCTTGTGTTTAATGTCAAAGAAACATTAGCGTCCGCGGCTCTTGATCTGCGTGTACTTTCCTTCATCTCGATCTTCTCTGCTTTCTCTGCGATCTTTGATCTCGAAATTCTGATTCTCGGCGAAACGTTGGTCTCCAAACTGTTTTGACTTCGAGGATCACTCACTGAACTCTTCGTGACGATGTCGTTAGTCAAATTTGTCGGGTATCTATCAACACGAAGAGGTTTCTTAATTACTTCCTTCTTCTTATCCGGCCTTTGCGTCTCTTGCAACGGATGGGCAGCGCTTTTAGCGCGTTTTCCACGTTTATCTTTCGTTGGGATGATACTGTCAGGCTGCGCGCTCTCGTGATCGCTCGTACCGGGCGACACGCTTCTTTCAATCTCAGCGCAGGAATCAGTTGTCGTACTCGTGTCAACAACACGTTTCCTGCTTTCGTTGTTCAATCTGCTTCGCAATGTCCTGACAGCGCTCCCCTCTCTGATCGACGAATTTTTATCCTGCACATTGCTCGAGACTTTCCTCGTCATGAACATCTCTACCTCTGCTGATTCGTCGTCTATGGGATTAACCGTAATCTGTAGCATCTTATCTCGTAACCGAGATATCATATTTATTTTCTCGATCTTCGATTTTGCTTGCTCATTGGTGTTCTCGCTCACTATATCGTTAACGTTTGTCGTGGTTTTTCCAGCGTTTATCTTACGTCTACTTCGTGTACTAACGCTGATTTTCGCGACATCGATATTTTCGTCTGTTGTTGAGCCTATTGAGAAGGAGACTTTCTGAGTCCTTCTCGCCGCGATCTGAACTTTCTCGGGATCATTTTCGGAAAGCTTTGATTTTACAATCTCCGGGGAACGTTTGCGTAAGCCAGCTTTCGCGGTATCTTCAGGCATATTTGACGACTGTACACCTGCAGTCGTTTTTGCCGTAATTCTTTTGGAACGTCTAGAAACCGGACATTCCTCGATGACTGCTTGGTCTGCTTTACGTCTCTTCAAATTAACCTCGGAACTGAGCTCTGTATTCTCGCCCATTATGTTAAGACCTCTCTTTCTGTTGGCTGCTGTGGACCTCGTTTTTGCTTTCGTAGATTTATCAATTACGTCCATCGTGTGAGCTTCTTCCATCGGTTGAGCGTTCTCGTTGTCCTGTCTATTCGTGTAACGCGCTGCTCTTCTAGTGCTTCGTGCAAGGCCTTCTGACTCGTTCGAATCAGCACTTTGCTTCGAATTTTTGGGAACGTTGAGTGAAGAACCGGTACCTTTCTTCTTACGAGATATGGAGAGTTTGTCTTGCTTATCCAAGTGATCCTGCTCGCTGTTTAACATTCTGTCTGCCATTTGTTTGAATCTTTTGTAACTCGTTGAACTGTCCGAGTCCTCAGAGTCGTTCGTAACTTCTAACATTGTGTCAGCTATTCTGTTACTTCTCTTAGGATTGACAGCTTTGGAGCGATTATCATGCGATAATAGCGGTGACTTATTTGTAGCACTCAGATTTTCGGTACGGTTTCTCCGACGAGATGAGGTTTGCTGTTTTTCATGAATTTCGCGTTTGCTTTGTGGCCTTTCTTTCTCCTTATCTGCTGCATCATCTGGCTTAGACATAGCATGATCGTGCATGATCGACGTCAACGGACAAGGACTCGGTGGATTTGAGGGCGTTCCCGATATCCTAACGGCAGGCAGGCGTGTTAGGATGTCATCGTCACTTTCGTGCAATGTCATCGGCGTTTGCGCCGATTTTTGTTTACTTTGTGGCCTTACAAAGTTCTTCTTACCTGTTGCATCATCTGGTTTAGACACGGCACCGTGCATGATCGACGTTGACGAGCAAGGACTCGGTGGATTTGAAAGCGTCCCCGATATCCTGACGTCGGGCAGGCGTGTTAGGAGGTCATCGTCTCGATATTTATTTCTTGATGAAGAAGGTGCGCAAATGTCGAGATCGTTCGTCAAGTTTTCTTCTTCTGTATGATTGACTTCATCGTTGCATGAATCTCCTTGCGGAGATCTTTGTTCGCTCGTTTTCGATGCAGTCCTATTTTTCCGCCCCACTGATTTTTTCCTTCCAACGGTTTTTGTACGATTGACTTCATCGTTGCATGAATCTCCTTGCGGAGATCTTTGTTTGCTCGTTTTCGATGCAGTCCCATCTTTCCGTTTCACTGATTTTTTCCTTCCAACGGTTTCTCTCTTCCGACCTTTCGATCGTTTGTTTTCCTCGCCTGAGATGCTTTTGCTCGCGACATCATCGATCGCATCTTTCGTCGTTGCATCGGATTTACTTCTTTTAGATCTCGCAGTTTCCTTTTGTTTTCTGTCGAATTTTACAACTGGGCTAAATTCAATCTTCTTGATCTTCGTTTTAGATTTCCTTGGGGTTATAGAAAGTTGACAAGAAGTTATTATGTTTTGCATGGCATCTATAAACTCCCTCGTATCTTTCATGATATTTTCCTGCCGTTTTGCAGTGAGAGCAGCCAAAGATATATCTGAATTTTGTGAATCTGTCTCGTCTGTTTCACCTTTACCGTTTGTTTCGCTGTTTTTTACGTTGTGTGAGAGATGATCGCTCTTCTTCCCCGACTTTACCTGCGGCACACTATTCGTGGATGTATTGTCGTCGACGGTACTTTTATCAGAAAGCATCTCGTCGTTACATTGCGAAGACTGCAGAATATCTTCCAAACACTGAGTTGACATCAGCTGAGGCTCATGAATGCTATCATTATTTACATCGTCGAACATTTCTTCGAGATTCCGTTCTAAAGTGTCATGTAAATCCACCTTGGAAGATTTGGCAACTTTCGCGTGATCGGAAGTCGTTGAATTCCTCTTTTCGGTAACTTCGCCAATTACTTGAGTGGACGCCGTCTCGTAATCTATATTCTCGCAATCATTTAGCGGCGTGCGACTATCACTTGATCCCGATACATTGGAATTCGCATGTACAATCTGCGTAGGCGCCTCCTTATTGTCCACGTCATCTGGACCGCTTTTCCGCGAAGAATCCTTTGGACCAATCGCAGCTTTTGGAGAAACTTTGCGCGGCAAGATGAGTTGAGTTGGCGCTGTGTCGTCGATATCTGCTGATGGTACGTCGGATAAATCGTCCCGATCGCGCTTGTCCTTATTTTTCTGCGTTGGCGCCATGTCGTCGATAATTGCATCAGTTCGATTGGTTTTCGTTTGCTGTTTCATTGGCGAGTCCGATGTATTCTCGATGGAATGATTATCCGGTCGTTGCGTAAGCATATCAAACATATCGTCGGAATCGACACTTGTGTTCGGATCTACTTGTGCCAAATCTCTATTTTCCACGTTCTCATCGTGCGACTTGCTCGGAATTTCCGAAGATCCGCCCTGCTTCTTGGCAAATTCCTCCAGATATTCCTCCGCGTCCGTTTCCGAGTCGTCGTTGATTTGTTGCTTCGACTGAGACCTCTCGCGGCGTCCTTTCTTCGAAACTTTGCGCCCCGCAGTCGCATTTTTCTCTTTGTCGGTCTCAAAGTCATCCGACGAAGAGCTTCTCAACTTGCGACTGATGCACTGAGTGGGAATGTCATAGATGTTATCCTCCCTGTTTTCATTATCCGGCACACTTGCCGTGTCCCCTGAGTGACCTTTCTTCGATAACGTTTTCGAGCACGTCGGTTTCGGCGTGGACGTGTTGCATTTTTGCATTTCTTCCGATTTGTCGATCCCATCGCCGAAGTACTCCAATAACTCCGACGTCTCGAGCAAATGAGCGCTTTGGTCCAACGGAGACGACGGACAATCTTCGTCGATTCCCGGCGAAGATAAATTCAAGGATCCCGGAGTGCTGGATCTAACCGACGGCGACTTTGTTTTGTTGTCGCAATTCGTTCCGCTCTTGGAAACTTGTTCCGCTCTTAACAACAGCATATCATTATTCTTGTCCTTGTTTTTAACAGCGCGGCTATTAAACTCATTTGTAACGTCGTCCAACTCAAACTGCGTCTCCATGTCGCATATATCTTCGCCAGTGCGGTCATTGTTGGAAGGTTTCTGAGTTTCTATATCGTGAATATCAGGTTCAACGCTCGACGCTTGATTCACAATCGCAGTCAGAGCTTTGTTCTTATTATTCCGAATCTCAGTCTTATTTTTAGTGTCAACATTGTAATTTTGCGTTTCTAGATCGTGTATGTTCATCATGGATTTCTTCGCGTTTGTATCTCGAGTATTTTGAGCGGTGTCAACAGTATAATTCTGCGTCTCTAGATCATGCACATTCATCGTGGGTCTTTTTGCTGTTGTATTCGGAATGTTAATTTCGCTCTTCTCGCTACGCTGTTGCTCGTTATCGTTCGTATAATTTTGCGTTTCCATATCACTGATATTTATCGCTGAATTACCAGTTACTTCACTGCTGAAATCAGCTCTTGCCAACTGCTTCTTAGCTGTGGCATTCGCTTCGACTTCTTGTTTTAACGCGTCCACAGGAACACTTTGCGTCTCCATATCATGGATAGAGTTTGACGTCATTGGTATGCGACCTTCCTCGTCCTTCTGAGGCTCCACATTGAATATGCTAATCCTTTCGGTGCTGTTGCTATCATTAACAGACAGGTGTAATTGCATATCAATCTGCGAATCACTCTCATTCGCAAAGTCGTCGCGGGATATATTTTGTTTGTCTGCGCTTGTAGATTGACGTTGATCTGGAAGCTGTGGCCGTCGGAAGACGCAGCTTTCATCTGCTTGTGTCCCGAGAATAATAGAACCATCATCGTTCGCGGTAGATGAATTGTTCTAAAAACATTAAACATTGTAACACGATTGCACGCAATCGTGACGTTAAATTAATTTTATGTAAGGAAAGAAAAATACTTACGACAGACGAATCCGGAGTGTTAGGAATTATTGCTCCAGTAACTTTTTCACGTGTTGGTGCGGGTGTTTCCGGTATCACTACGTCGTTTGTTGGGCGATAAGTGCGATAAACGGCACGCACTTTACCGAACTCAAGGACATTTCCATCTTTCAATTCGTATAAACGTTCCGGTCGTAGTACTGACTGTACATATAAAAAGTATATCGTCAAATAAAATGGATTAAACTAACCAAGTAATTGTTTTTTTTATAAGAGCAATTTCAAGTCTGCAAAATTCTCTGATAAGGAAACATACATAAATATCTTTATCGATTTTAATGGGCTTGGAATATCTTATGAAATAGCTTTATTTTCTTATAAGAAAAAAAAACAAAAAGAAGAAACGTATTTTCTTGTTTAACATCACATTTTCGTAAAAGGATATTGTTAGATCAGTGCCATCATGATCCCATGCTTTTTGCACAACTTTTTGCAAAGTCGGGCAATAAACCCGAAATAAATATGATTTTCCAATGTCTCTTATTACTGTGCATAAAGTATACCATTTGGGTATTTCCGGAAAAAATAAATACTTTCAATCTCTAGTCGCTCTATTTCTTTAGAGCAATTAAATAGCAATTAATTCTGATATTATTAGTCCTTCAAATTAGAATGGTGAGTTAACGGAGCGAATGCTAGTAGAAAGAGAAAGTTTAACGGAGCGGGCAAACGGCTGGATACTGTTAATAATAAAAAGTAAATAAGTATACAGCATGTTACATTATTAAGCTTCGTCTTGTTAGAAGACAGTAAATCGCAGATCCATGTTTCCCCCGTAAGAACTTCGATCTCTGCATGTAATTTTGATACCGTCTAAAAAAAATTAAAATTCACATTAATACAGGCATATTAATACAAGCTAATTTTTATCTAATATATTCTATATATCCATAAAAGTAATCATTGCAAGATGCAAATAAGCGATACCAGGATCCATCTAACTATCATCTTATTTTGCCTATTTTGAAATTTTGCCTCGGCTCAGCATTAATTATCAAACTTTTGTATAGCATAAGCATCTCTGAAACTATTTAATTTTCTCATTAAAACTTCTTCAGACTTCTCACGATCGCAGCTATGACTGTTGATTATTCTGATGATAATCTTCGTCAAGCTAATTCTCCGAGAAGAGAAAAAAAAATTAATTTATGCAAAAATAAATCGAGATTACGTCCTCATCACACATGTATAATCTTTACATCATAAAATATGTACATAACATATCGTGATTGAAAATTACATATCGCGGAATATAAAGACATCCACAATGACGACGAGCGTCAGTTTACGGTATTTTTCGTACGAGAAATGTTGCATCTATCGGAAAATATGCTGATAAAATTACTGATTGCCTTGCTTTGCCTTGGCCTAAGCGTTTGCACGGATGCAAAGGGGGCTGCCCCGAGAATCAAGACTCCTTTAGGAGGGCTGAAAGGCTACTACAAAACATCGCAAAGTGGTAGACAGTACGAAGCGTACGAAGGAATTCCTTTCGCGTTACCACCTGTCAGTGAACTGAGATTTAAGGTAAACAAACATTGTCAGAATCATTTTTAAATGACATGACGTTATAGAGGATCAACTATTACTCATTAATGTTTGAGGGAGCTAACTTATCATCATCATAAATAATGAGAAACGTCATTATATAAGATCGTGCATTCATAGTGCGCTTATCTTGCTGGTGATCACGGGTGACCCCGTGATGTACTCGGTTATTTTAAATAACTATTGTTTAATATTTTCCCATAAGTGTAAGAAAATAATTAGCTACGATGTCTACGTGACATGGTATAACGGGTGTTTCAGACCACCCAGGTCATCCGATTTTTTCGTTAACGCGACATTTTAGAGAAAAATATTTCAGACAAAAGTTGTAGGACTTCAAAGGATCTATTTACTAACGCTATGAATTTGATCTTGGGATAACCTTGAAAAGTCCTGTCAAGATCCAGTGACTCGGGTGGTCACTCTGAAACACCCGGTATATCTCGAAAAATATTTAATTTCTGTAAAATATATAATGTTTTAATTAAAATCTTTAATTGTTGAATAGTGCACTTTTCTCATAATGTTGTCCAGTTAGCTATAACGTTCCAAATTTTTTCAGTTGACGATATTCATTTCGATTATTTTGAACATTTGAGGCACTCCGGTCACTAATGACCACCATGGTCCCACCAAGGAAACAATCACCGGTCACAGGTGACCAACGTGGCAGTCAACGTGTTAAACTGATTACACTGATTTTTACAGCCTCCCCAACGCGTAACACCATGGGTTGGTGAACTATCAGCTACAAAGCTCAGTTCCGCGTGTATTCAACGCACCCAAATACCAGTCAACCCTATGGAAAGAGTCGAAGGCGCCGAAGATTGTCTGTATTTAAACGTTTACGTGCCGGTAAGGGAAAAAACTCGAAGCAAGACCCTGTTGCCGGTACTCTTCTGGATTCATGGTGGTGCCTTCCAATTTGGAACCGGCACGCTGATGGGCGCAAAATATCTCATGGATCACGACGTCATATTTGTCACGATTAATTATCGTTTAGGACCATTAGGTACGTAACGTCATGATGTTCATAAGAAATATTGCTAATATGATCTTGTGATACATTTGTTACAAAAATCGATATAAGAATAACTAGGCGGATAATATTCAGCCCACAACACACGGAATATTTCATAAATGAACGTTGTAATCTCGACAATGTATTCATTTATCGTTTAGCAATACTTAAAGTTATCTTGAAAAACATCAGGTTTCCTCAGCACAGAGGATGAGATAATTCCTGGAAATATGGGCTTGAAGGATCAAAACATGGCATTACGTTGGGTATCGGAGAATATCCAGCGGTTCGGTGGAGATCCTAAACAAGTGACATTATGCGGCATGAGTGCTGGTGGTGCAAGCGTACACTATCACTATTTATCGCGTATGAGCGCGGGACTCTTCCGAGGTAATGCGTTGTTAGATAATGCGGCATAAGAAAACGATTACTAAGTTAAAAATCATACTGTCGCAATCATATCGCGGAAACTAAATTCTCTTCTCTACGCGAATTCCCATTATGTAGGAGGAATATCGGTCAGCGGTACTGCGTTAAACTGTTGGGCACAAGCCGAGAATTCTTTGGGAAAAGCCAAAAAATTGGGTGCGTTATTAAAATGCTCCACGGACAACACGAAAGATATGGTAGATTGCTTGAGAACTCGTCCGGCTCGCGCGATCGTAGACGCCGCTGGTGAATTTATGGTGAGTTTCTCACTATAGAATATCTTATGAGCAACAATGTAAACAAAGAACGTTTTTAACACGATCTAATATTTTAGACATTCTTTTACAATCCCTTCTCCCCCTTTGGAGCGGTAGTCGAGAAAGTTGGTGAGGCTCCTTTCCTCGATAGGGAACCCGTTGAAATTATAAACAGTGGGGATGTCCAAGACGTACCTTGGATTAAAAGTATAGTGAGCGAAGAAGGACTTTATCCTGTGGCCGGTAAAATAACACGCAAGATTGAGAGAAAGACAGATATACATTGAGTAACAGATACAATTTTCATCGTGTTTATTTGTGATTGCAGAGTTCATTTACGAAGAATCTTATCTGAAACAATTAAACGACAAGTGGGACGTTATTGCTCCAGATTTTCTTGATTTTAATTACACCATTCCTAGAGAAAAGCATGTCGAAATCGCTCGTACTATCAAGAGACATTATTTCGGGTCGAAACCAATAAATGCAGCAAGTACCAAAGAATTAATAAAGATGGCAGGCGATCGTTTCTTCGTGGCAGACAGTGAAAAGGCTGCACGTATGCAGGCCACAATAAATCGAAGTCCAGTCTGGTATTATTATTATTCATACAGGAGTGTGGATAGCTGGGCAAACATTCTCGCTGGCAAAAAAATAAAAGATTACGGTAAGCCCTTATGAAATCTAATCTTGAATTATCTAAAAGAAGTCTGAGGGAGTCACTTATATACACGAAACATTTAGACTTGAAGAAGAAGAAGAATCCTATCTGGAAATTAATACATCATATTTTTTTTATTTTTACACGTAGGTGTTTCTCATGGCGACGATGTGTACCTCATAGTAGATACCCCCTGGATGGATCCGACAAAGAAGAAGGAAGATAGCGATATGCAACGAGTCCTGATAGATATTTGGGTGTCATTCGCTACAAACGGGTAAACATGGAAGACTATATACAATGCATCGTTCGTAATAATAAGTGATAAAGTGAGAACAATAATCTTTATTTGCTAAATTTGTCTCAGAGTTCCGAAAGTTGGTGGTGTTGAATGGCCCGGATTGGATCCCACTAAGAAGGAGTTTCATTATCTGCATATAGCTAGTCCTACTAACATTAGCATGGACAGTTGCGCTAATTTGGGAGAGAAAGAATTCTGGAATTCGATCAATTTCAATGAAAATAAGTTCAGAGACAAGAAAAAAGTTTTAAATCTTTCTCAAAGTGGTACATGAAAATGTATATTCCATAAATCTATACTTTATAAATCTTACTTTATAAGTATTTTTGTAACATATCTGATAAATTTTTATCTTCAGTAAAATGCATTAGTCGTTCACCTGTTTATATAAATTCAACAACTTTTTTCAAGAAGCAGATAACTTGCTTATTATTTCATTTTATAAAAATGATAAGCTTAATTGATTTCAATCACAGACCATAATATGAAATTTGTCGCATCATTTATAATAATATCGTAGTCACCAAGTCCAGCAAAAATGTAAAATTTATTAAAAGCAATGAGACAATTCGATTCTGTAATATACATAATCCATATTATTTTGAAAATATAAAAAAAAATTAGTAACAAATTTTGCCAAAGTTGACAATTTTAATTATAATCAATTCTTAAAACAAAAAATTATTTAACACAAGTTCAGATGTCGATAATAGAATGTAGTTTTATATCTTATATTTGTACAAATATTTATCTGAAAATTTTTTTTATTTGAAATCAAACTATCTCTTAAGGATAATATAACAGATTATAAATACGACAGATTATTATATCTGTGTAAACGAATAAAAACACCAAATATTTACTGCAAATGAAGATATATGCAATATGAAGGTATTTAGTATTGAAGGTATTTAGTATTGAAAATATTTACATACGCTAAAAAAATCATAGCTGATCATCCAATAATATACTTCTTTTCGACATGAAAAAACGGAAGGCTCACATTGTTGTCGAATGTACATGGACATGTAAACCATCCTAGATAAGTTCGTGATTGGTTACATAATACTTTGTCACGACATTTATTTAATCTACACCCATACAATATACACCATAGAGCGAGATAATAACAATCATATAATTGAACATTTATACAAACGGCTTATCAAGGATAAGGGCCAGAGCACAGACTTCTGCATAATACACAACGCATAAGAGAATCAACCAATCAGAGTTCTTCATTTCTATCCTGAGGAGGGAAATGAAGAAAACTAATTGGTTTATTCACTTATGCGTTATGTATTATGCGTTATGCAAAAGCCTGTGCTCTTGCCCTAAGATTCAGTTCGTCGCATAAGTCGCGAGGAAGGCATTTTTTTAATGCCTGCTAACTCGCGCACTTTCAGTCGCAACGGTCATCCAATACCATTTTGTGGATTTTCTTCACCATTTCTGGCGTGATCACCTCATTTGATCGATCACTGCGATGTTCGTCTTGGCAACTCGTACGGTCTCGTTTAAAATCTGCCACTCAATATTTTACTGTTGTAAACGAAGGAGCAGACTCCCCCAGAGTAGAATCTAGCTCCGCTTTGATATTGGTTGGACTGAGGCCCCAAATTCACCGAGAGTGCTCACTATTGATGGCTACCAAACAAATACTAAACAACGTAGCGTCGTCAAACTTCAAACTTAAGCTTTTATAAGGTTGGTACTTTCCTACCATAGCCATTATTTTCAAACAACAACTGCCATCTATACATCAGGTCAGATACTTCTGGGGCTATCCTCGTAACATATCGCGATTGAAAATAGCGGTATATAATCGCGGAAAATCGCGGTATATAAAGACATCCACAATGACAACGAGCGTCAGTTTACGGTATTTTTCGTACGAGAAATGTTGCATCTATCGGAAAATATGCTGATAAAATTACTGATTGCCTTGCTTTGCCTTGGCCTAAGCGTTTGCACGGATGCAAAGGAGGCTGCCCCGAGAATCAAGACTCCTTTAGGAGGACTGAAGGGCTACTACAAAACATCGCAAAATGGTAGGCAATACGAGGCGTACGAAGGAATTCCTTTCGCGTTACCACCTGTCGGTGAACTGAGATTTAAGGTAAACAAACATTGTCAGAATCATTTTTAAATGACATGACGTTATAGAGGATCAACTGTTACTCATTAGTGTTTGAGGGAGCAAACTAGAGATGTGCGAATCAAGAATTTTTATGTCGAATCGAATCGAATCATTAAAAAATTTAACATGACTATTAAACATGCACATAATGATGGAAGATTTTAATATGAAAAGGGATATTGATATTGTAATATCATCTTAAAGTAAAATATATATTTAAATATTTAAAGTAATTTATAATTAAGTTATTAATTATAAGTTGAATTAATTACAAGTTAAGGGTTCAAACATACAGGCCCAGATGACTCGTTTTGTACCTGATGCATGTAAATATAATGCACGTTAATATATTTGATTCATAATTGAATCTTCGATTCGAAATTTTCGAATTATTCAGATTCGAATCATAGGGATTCGGATTCGAATCGAATCTAATGTAATTCGATTCGATTCGAATTCGAATAGTTCGCACATCTCTAGAGCTAACTTATCATAAATAATGAGAAATGTGATTATGTAAGATCATGTATTCATAGCGCGCTTATATTGCTGGTGATCACGGGTGACCCGGGATGCACTCGCTTACTTTAGATAACTATTTTTTAATATTTTCCCACATGTGTAAGAAAATAATTAGCTACGATGTCTACGTGACATGGTATACCGGGTGTTTCAAACCACCCGGGTCATCCAATTTTACCTCCATTAAGTTAGCCCCCCCCCACAGCGAAAATAAAATATCTAATAGGTGCAAAATTAAGTGCTAATTAGGTGCTACAATCCCGAATTTGGTGCTCGCGCGGTTTGGCAGAAAAAAAATAAAATAATGGGGGGGCTAGCTTAACGTTAACTTAGACCCCCCCCCTAAATCAGAAAAACGTACAACCAACACGTAAAATCGAAAACAAATTATGTTAAAATTAGGTGCTAATTAAGTGCTCCAAGAGACAATTTACGGATATTAAAAATATATCGCCGTTCAAAAGTTATAACAAAATAAATATGTCATTTCAACGATGACCGTCCAAAAGAGAACTTATATTATAAAATTAGGTGCTCTCGTGGCTATGGTATCAAATTAAACGTCTCTTCACGCACTGTCGAGATACCCAAGCGCCGAATTAAGTGCTCGTCCCGTTTTGCAAAAATTCGCACTTAAACATCGGCGGGCCATGCAGGTGACAAGAGAGGATCTGTCTTAAAAAATTAGATGCTCTCACGATATGGGTCTCAAAACACTCGTTTTTTTTATACATTATTTAGATATTCAAACGCAGAATTAGGTGCTCGTCCCTTTTACAAAAATTCGCACTTAAACGTCGGCTGGCGATCCAGGTTACAAGAGAGAATCTATCTTAAAAAATTAGGTATTCTCACAATATTGGTCTCAAAACACTCGTTTTTTATGTATTGCTTAGATATTCGAACGCCGAATTAGATGCTCGTCCCGTTTTGCAAAAATTCGCACTTAAACGTCGGCTGGCCATACAGGTCCAGCTGACCTTGCTGATTTTTGGAAATTTCAAAATCATCAAATTAACAAAATTCAGGGCGCTATTGGAACAATATATTCTTGAGACTAAATAGAGCAAAAAAGTCTAGTACCACTTTTTCTTCCGACAACTAGTTAGCGAAATATATCGTAAGCTAAATATTGAAAAAGTTATCAAGTTCTCCTTCAATATCTAGAAAAGTATTAGGCAAATGAAAAAATATTTTAGATAAAAGTTGTTCAAATTAATTAGTGGAAAAGGATGGTGTAATAAAAAACGCGGTTTCTATTTAAGATTTTTATGTTGATCTTGACAGGATTTTTCAAGGTTATCCCAAGATCAAATTCATAGCGTCAATAAATAGATCCTTTGAAGCCCTATAACTTTTGTCTGAAATATTTTTCTCTAAAATGTCGCATTAACGAAAAAATCCAGTGACCCGGGTGGTCACTCTGAAACACCCGGTATATCTCGAAAAATATTTAATTTCTGTAAAATATATAATGTTTTAATTAAAATCTTTAATTGTTGAATAGTGCACTTTTCTCATAATGTTGTCCAGTTAGCTATAACGTTCCAAATTTTTTCAGTTGACGATATTCATTTCAATTATTTTGAACATTTGAGGCACTCCGGTCACTAATGACCACCATGGTCCCACCAAGGAAACAATCTCCGGTCACAGGTGACCAACGTGGCAGTCAACGTGTTAAACTGATTACACTAATTTTTACAGCCTCCCCAACGCGTAACACCATGGGTTGGTGAACTACCAGCTACAAAGCTCAGTTCCGCGTGTATTCAACGCACCCAAATACCAGTCAACCCTATGGAAAGAGTCGAAGGCGCCGAAGATTGTCTGTACTTAAACGTTTATGTGCCGGTAAGGGAAAAAACTCGAAGCAAGACCCTGTTGCCGGTACTCTTCTGGATTCATGGTGGTGCCTTCCAATTTGGAACCGGCACGCTAATGGGCGCAAAATATCTCATGGATCACGACGTCATATTTGTCACGATTAATTATCGTTTAGGACCATTAGGTACGTAACGTCATGATGTTCATAAGAAATATTGCTAATATGATCTTGTGATATATTTGTTACAAAAATCGATATTAGAATAACTAGGCGGGTAATATTCAGCCCACAACACACGGAATATTTCATAAATGAACGTTGTAATCTTGACAATGTATTCGTTTCTTGTTTAGCAATACTTAAAGTTATCTTGAAAAATATCAGGTTTCCTCAGCACAGAGGATGAGATAATTCCCGGAAATATGGGCTTGAAGGATCAAAACATGGCACTACGTTGGGTGTCGGAGAATATCCAGCGGTTCGGTGGAGATCCAAAACAAGTGACATTATGCGGCATGAGTGCTGGTGGTGCAAGCGTACACTATCACTATTTATCGCGTATGAGTGCGGGACTCTTCCGGGGTAATGCGTTACTAGATAATGCCTCATAAGAATACAATTACTAAGTTAAAAATCATACTGTTGCGATTATATCGCGGAAACTGAATTCTCTTCTCTACGCGAATTCCCGTTATGTAGGAGGAATATCGGTCAGCGGTACTGCGTTAAACTGTTGGACACAAGCCGAGAATTCTTTGGGAAAAGCCAAAAAATTGGGTGCGTTATTAGGATGCTCCACGGACAACACGAAAGATATGGTAGATTGCTTGAGAACTCGTCCGGCTCGCGCGATCGTAGACGCCGCTGGTGAATTTATGGTGAGTATCTCACTATAGAATGTCTTATAAGCAACAATGTAAACAAAGAACGTTTTTAACACGATCTAATATTTTAGACATTCTTTTATAATCCCTTCTCCCCCTTTGGAGCGGTAGTCGAGAAAGTTGGTGAGGCTCCTTTCCTCGATAGGGAACCCGTTGAAATTATAAACAGTGGGGATGTCCAAGACGTACCTTGGATTAAAAGTATAGTAAGCGAAGAAGGACTTTATCCTGTGGCCGGTAAAATAACACGCAAGATTGAGAGAAAGACAGATATATATTGAGTAACAGATACAATTTTCATCGTGTTTATTTGTAATTGCAGAGTTCATTTACGAAAAATCTTATCTGAAACAATTAAACGACAAATGGGACGTTATTGCTCCAGATTTTCTTGATTTTAATTACACCATTCCTAGAGAAAAGCATGTCGAAATCGCTCGTACTATCAAGAGACATTATTTCGGGTCGAAACCAATAAATGCAGCAAGTACCAAAGAATTAATAAAGATGGCAGGCGATCGTTTCTTCGTGGCAGACAGTGAAAAGGCTGCACGTATGCAGGCCACAATAAATCGAAGTCCAGTCTGGTATTATTATTATACATACAGGAGTATGGATAGCTGGGCAAACATTCTCGCTGGCAAAAAAATAAAAGATTACGGTAAGCCCTTATGAAATCTAATCTTGAATTATCTAAAAGAAGTCTGAGGGAGTCACTTATATACACGAAACATTTAGACTTGAAGAAGAAGAATCCTATCTGGAAATTAATACATCATATTTTTTTTATCTTTACACGTAGGTGTTTCTCATGGCGACGATGTGTTCCTCGTAGTAGATACCCCCTGGATGGATCCGACAAAGAAGAAGGAAGATAACGATATGCAACGAGTCCTGATAGATATTTGGGTGTCATTCGCTACAAACGGGTAAACATGGAAGACTATATACAATGCATCGTTCGTAATAATAAGTGATAAAGTGAGAACACTAATCTTCATTTGCTAAATTTGTCTCAGAGTTCCGAAAGTTGGTGGTGTTGAATGGCCCAGATTGGATCCCACTAAGGAGTTTCATTATCTACATATAGCTAGTCCTACTAACATTAACATGGACAGTTGCGCTAACTTGGGAGAGAAAGAATTCTGGAATTCGATCAATTTCAATGAAAATAAGTTGAGAAACAAGAAAGAAGAGCTTTAAATCTTTCTCAAATTGGCACGTGAAAATTTATATTCCATAAATCTATACTTTATAAATCTTACTTCATAAATATTTTTGTAACATATCTGATAAATTTTTATCTTCAATAAAATGTATTAGTCGTTCACCTGTTTACATAAATCCAACAACTTTTTTCAAGTAGCAGATATCTTCCTTATTATTTCATTTTATAAGAATGATAAGCTTAATTGATTTCAATCACAGATCATAATATAAAATTTGTCGCATCATTTATAATAATATCGTAGTCACCAAGTCCAGCAAAAATGTAAAATTTATTAAAAGCAATGACACAATTCAATTCTGTAATATACATAATCCATATGATTTTGAAGATATAAAAAAAAATTAGAAACAAATTTTGCCAAGGTTGACAAATTTTAATTATAATCAATTCTTAAAACATTACATTTCTTGATCAAAACAATTCTTAAAAATTATTTAATACAAGCTCAGATATCGATAACAGAATGTAGTTTTATATCTTATATTTGTACAAATATTTATCTGAAATTTATTTTTATTTGAAATCAAACGATCTCTTAAGGATAACATAACAGATTGTAAATACGACAGATTATTATATCAGTGTAAACGAGTAAAAACGCCAAATATTTACTGCAAATGAAGGTATATCTTTATATTGAAAATATTTACGAACGCTAAATCGTCATAGTTGATCATCCAATGATATACTTCTCTTCGACATGAAAAAACGGAAGGCTCACATTGTTGTCGAATGTACATGGACATGTAAACTATCCTAGAGAAGTTCGTTGGTGGTTATATAATACTTTGTCACGACAGTTATCTAATCTACACCCATACATAGAATGCAAGATAATAACAATCATATAATTGAACATTTATACAAGCGGCGTGAAGGATAAGATTCAGTTCGTCGCACAAGTCGCGAGGAAGGCATCGTATCGAGTAAGAACCATGTCGATCAGATTGTCGATCACTTTATTGGTTTGTTTGGCTCTAGTGGTTCGTGGAAATTTAGATGCAGCGAGTCCGAGAGTCAAAACACCCGTAGGAAAACTAAAAGGCTACTACAAAACGTCTCCGAACGGTAGACAATATGAGGCGTACGAAGGAATACCTTACGCGTATCCACCAGTTGGAAAATTAAGATTTCAGGTAAGAAGCGGTAGGAATAACAGTTTCTATAAATAAATTATCTCAGAGATCTATCTCAGAGATATTTATCGAAACACCATGATATTCAAATAAGACGAGTCTTATCACTGATAAAAAATACGCTGATATAATACAGTTTTACACTTGAAGAAAGCGCAATACTTCGCGCTAATATTACTCATCGTTCATAGATCAATTACTAGAGGGTGATTTCTGCATTGAATATTATAGCTTTGTAGAAAATTTCCTAATTAAACGTATCACGTATGCATTACGAATACGTTTCTACTCGCAGCCACCTCGCGTATTGCCACCATGGATTGGAGAACTATCAGCTACCGCTTTGGGATCTCCCTGCCACCAATTGACTCCGATTGCGACGGACGGGGCTCAAATTATAGGATCCGAAGACTGCCTATACTTAAATATTTATGTACCAGTACGAGAAAAAACAGCACCTAAGGCACCTATGCCAGTACTCTTCTGGATCCATGGTGGTGCCTTCCAATTTGGCAGTGGCAGCGACACAGGCCCGGATTATCTTATGGATTACGACGTCATATTTGTCACGATTAACTATCGCTTGGGACCATTCGGTACATAATATTGTAATAAGAAATATTACTATATACTTTCTATATACTTTCTATATACTTTCTATATACTTCCTAACAAGTTTATTCAAAAAATTAATATTGAAGCAATTAGACGAATATTTAATCCGGAAGATTCTACAATGAATGTTATGAATGTAAACTCGACAATTCGTTCGTCCTTCTGTGTCATCGACACTATTATACAGCTACATTGAAAAAATAACAGGTTTCCTCAGCACAGAGGATGAAGTAGTACCTGGCAACATGGGTTTAAAGGATCAGAGTATGGCACTACAATGGGTATCGGACAACATCGAATGGTTCGGTGGTGATCCACAAAAACTGACCCTAGTCGGCATGAGTGCTGGTGGTGCAAGTGTACATTATCATTACTTGTCGCCGATGAGCGCGGGGCTCTTCCAAGGTAGGTTTGTGTAAGACAATAGTATAGTGCACAGGAGCGATTGGTAAAAGTTATCGTTACGTTCGCGTAAATTTATGTCGTATAGGGGGCATATCAATCAGCGGTACGGCATTCGACTGTTGGTCGCAAACTGAGGCATCTTTAAGCAAAGCCAAACAAATAAGTGAGATGATGGGATGCCCCACTATTAACACCAGAGATATGATACGTTGTTTAAAATATCGCCCAGCTAACGTTGTGACAGAAACTGTGTTTTTTTTTTTTTTTTTTTTTTGTAACTTTGACATGACGACTTATAGTAACATTTTAACTCAGGTCTATGATTTTAGCCATACCACAACATTCCCTTCACTCCTTTTGGGCCAGTGGTTGAAAAGGCTGGCGACATACGCTTTATTGACAGAACACCTATAGAAATTATTAACTCTGGGAATGTACAGGATGTACCTTGGATCACAAGTACAGTGAGCGAAGAAGGACTTTATCCTATAGCCAGTAATATTGCTCCCGTTATTGATAAAAATGTTAACGAATATTCATAAACAAATCTTTTTAATGTTATTTATTACTATTACAGCGTTTTATAATAAGGAGAATGTTTTGAAGAATCTAAATGACAACTGGGATAATATCAGCCCCATTTTGTTTGATTTTAATTATACAGTCCCTGAGGAAAAGCATATCGAAATCTCTCGTCTCATCAGGGAACATTATTTCGGAGCAGGAACAGTAGATAAGGCAAACTTAAAGCAACTAATACAACTAGCAAGTGATCGCTTCTTTGTGTATGACAGTGAGAATGCTGCAAGAACGCAAGCTGCAGTAAATCAGAAGCCAGTTTGGTATTATTATTATTCATATAGAGGCACAAACAGCTTGGCTAACTTTCTAAGCCATTCTAATGACAATTACGGTATGTTTTATGAAATAGCAATGTCAATTAATATTGAATTCATGTACAAATACAGAAAACTTTGAAGTAATTCAAAAGATACATTATGAGAAACTAGAATTTATTTTGAAAAAACAGAGAAAATATGCTATTATTGTATATTTGCTATTATTTCATATTTTATATTTTCATATATAGGAGTCGCTCATGGCGATGACGTCTTTATTATAGTGAAGACCCTCTGGATGAATCCAATATCTCAAGATGATTACAATATGCAGAAACATTTAATCGATATGTGGTTATCTTTTGCTATAAATGGGTGAGCACAAAATACTAAATTATAACATTAAGCAACAAAGCATAGTAATAAGCGATATAAATATATTGTTTAATTCTTCTCATGTTATTTTTAGGACACCAAATGTTGCTGGTGTAGAATGGTCTCAAGTAGATCCTTCAAAAAAAGAATTTCAATATCTGCATCTTGCTAATCCTACTAAAATATATATGGATAGTAATGCTAATTTCGGAGAAAGAGAATTTTGGGATTCAATTGACTTAAATGAAAATAAATTACAAAATAAAACCTACAAACAAGAAAATATAAACATAAAAATGGAACTTTAGATAAAACAGATGTTTGTATTTAGAAATATTCCTTTTACATATATTCATATAATTATAAAAATGATAATTTTAACTTGTGCATAAATTTAATATTTTTAAAAGAATTTCTTTGTATTTTTATTTTATAAAGATTGTAATCAATTATAATATAAATATAATCTAAGCTTCAGTACAAAAATAACCCAAGTACTTACTGGTTCATTGATGAAAATATCGCAGGTACTAAGCCTACCAATTTTTGTGGTCCCTTTCTTAATTTCATGTTCAGTAGAACCAATACTTAATACTCCAACCTGAAATAATATCGAAGGATTAAGCAGATAGACTATATCATATAATATTAAGTATAACATTCAATGTAAAAATAATACAGTGGAAGAACATAATTAGATAATAAAAGAAACATAAATCGAGAAAAATAACTAACCTGAATTAATTCATCTTCCTCAAATGTTTGTGAAATACTTTGTGTGCACTTGTCTTCCTCGTATATTTGTGTCGCCGCGCAATCCATTATTACCAAAGATTGTTTATTTTCTCAAGTAATTTCACTTTAATCGTTATCGATAAAAAAAATATATATATATATATTTACGTTGAACATTCCTACATTTTCACAACCTAACCTTTACTTCGATTATCAACGGTTAAAACTGTCGTGCGAGCATGTATTCTTGTTCTTAAATAACGTAACAAGTATTCTTGTTCTTAAATACACATACACATAAAACCTAAGAAATAATAAATTACTCGACAGAAATAACAAATTAACATAACACGTGGTACATTACACAATTTTTAAAACAATTGATATAGCACGCACAAACAGAGCTCACGCCATGATACAGATAACATGGTTGGCAATAGAAATATTTTCGTTTCAAGTAGAGACCTAACATTCCCTAGATACTGGATCGGAAGAAAATAAAGTCGTAATGGTGATTTGTATTGTGTAAAATTGCTATGTCCATAAATCATTGTTATGAGTAATAAAGATTCTTGCCACTGATTGGCGGTTCAAATTAAATTAAACTCTTACATTCCTAACGCTGTATTAAAAAAGCAAAATTGTTTCAGGTTATAACTTCTCACATTTGAAATAATTAGTCTGTCCTTTGTAGCTGTACTGTTAAACTGGTGCAATAAGTTAAAGTGAGACAAATATAAGGTTTTCTCACTCTAGCTTATTGCATCAGTTCAGCAGTGCAGCTACAAAGAACAGACCAATAAGTTAAGATAAGTTAAAATTCTAATGTAGATATATGTATCACACAAAATTATGTAAATATACATTTTGCAATTCAGAGCTTCAAAAAAATGCGTTCCTTTCTCACATCTGAGATAAATACTTTCGGTTTAAACAGTCATTTCCTGTTTCGTTTGGTCACAAATAAAACATACGAGTCAGGAGAGGTCAGAAATCGCAAGCGCACTATTATTTTCAGTTTGCCTCGGTTCATGAATCAAAATGTGACTTATCCCACTGCGATTAATCGGGAACATGTGACGGTTCGAGACTGCTGATGATCCAAGGCGATATTTCTCGTCGGCGAAAACGTACTTCCTTCCATTCACTTTCGGCATTCCCGACGATAACTCACAAACACAAGATTCACAACGAGACGAACTTCAAACTACAACACGGCAACGAACGCAAGACATTTGGTCTGTTCTTTGTAGCTGCACTATTGAACTGGTGCAATAAGTTAAAGTGAGACAAATATATAGGTTTCCTCATTCTAACTTATTGCACCAGTTCAGCAGTGTGCAGCTACAAACAGACCAATTTTTTTCGATACTCCCGACAACCTTTTTTGCGACACGTTTAATTTACTTTTGCCGGCTAATTTGTCACGGCGAAACGCGCGAAATTACTTTCGGCATTCCCGGCGATAATTCGCGCGCGAAACTCTTCCGACAATTCGTAGTTGCAGCAACGGTTTTTCTCACTGTGCTGTCCGCCGTCCATTTTGCAATTAATGCAATTCATGCAGCATCATTTGCGATTCTCGAAAAGTCGAAAGCGGCAAACTTCACTCGACATTACGATGCTTTTTCGACGGAATTTCGCCACGATAGCAACACGTGAGCTTTATTTTCGACATATCCGATGATATTTTGCATACGAGATTGTTTTATGGCATATCGAAAACTTCGAAAGCAAAAACATAGTTTCCAATCTCCCGAAGAGCGATGCTCCTCCGACGTGCTGAGAAATGTACATTTTCGGCGGATATTCAACATAGAATACTTTACAACAAGCGTACACGAGTTATTTTTGACACTTTTGACGAAAATTTGCGCAAGAGACATACCTCTGGCAAGCCAAAATTGCGAAAAATGCAGAGCGACGTTTCGAAATCGTGTTGCAACGTTGCGATCCATTTCGGAAAAGAACATCAAGGTGATACGTAGTACGCATGCGTACGCCGATTCCTTTTATTATGATTTACTTATTTATTTATTAAAAATCATGCAATTTATGGAATGCAACACGCTCAGGATGACCTTAATATACGACATATTGAAAAGAATAATGTTATTAAAAAGTGCATGTATATTTCAATTATTATATTAAAAATACCGTACTACCTATTCAAATCTACCGCGTTCTAACGTGACGATCGTGACAAATCGTGGCCGTTCGTGTCGTTTGGCAACTGTTTGAACTTGGATAGTGGGCACTCGTTACATTAGGCCTGTTCGTTTTATCTGCACTGTTGAACTGGTTGCATTAAGTTAAAATGAGACAAACGTAGGTTTTCTCACTTCAACTTGTTGCACCAGTTCAGCAGTATAGACAAAACGAGCAGGCCTATTATTCTTTCGACATTAAGAACGACAAAGTGCATATGATTCACTAGGATGTAACAGGAATACCAGGTAGTCTTTTGTCCGCCTTCGTGGTGGTTGGACGTGGTTCCCATTATTACGCATATTTTTTATCTTGAGGACTGCGTACGCGTTGTCCCTGTTTTTCTTTTATTTCCAAAATCGTTGTGATTGACGTAAGAGAAGGAATGTGATAACTCTGCTCAGAGCCATATATTGAATGAACGAGGAATACCAGGTGTGGAACATTTTAACCCGTCGATGAAGTCAGTTATATGCGATTAAACGTAATATGTTTTAATAACTAATGTTCATGATATTACATCAAAAAAAGGGTCTTGTACCAGTAGAAATATATCATAATAGAGCTATACATTTTGTACTTAGATGAATAGCAATAGTTTTACCATATAAAATCCAGAGAAACAATATCATATACTTATATAATATAAATATAATTTTGTAGAATAATTTACAATGATACAATTGTTAAAAGTATAGTTTACAGGAATTTATACACATTGATTTTTCAATTGAATAGTAATTATCATAGATGGTTCTTCTGTATCTTCTAAACTTTGTCGAAAAAGTTGAGCATGTTGCCAAGCGGATTCATCTTTTCCACCAGATAATATTACATGTAAATTTAATCTCATAGCTTTCTCTACTTTTTTCGTATGAAAGCTAGTGCATTGTGTAATAGGTATTGTAACAGTTTTATTATCATTAAAAATAGCTTCAATTTCCCAGGATACACTAGCTCCATGAAATACTTGCGACTTAGCTTTCAAGTTAAATGTCTCGATGCATAATTGAGGATTTGCAACTTTGAAAGCCCATGTAACATGTCCGTTTGATGTTCCCTCGGATCGTGCCAAGTAAACCATTTTCCAGTCTTCCTCTGTTTTACGAAACATTCCACCACATGTAGAATTTATTCCTTCAGACCATTTATGTATTTGCTCCAGGAAGGTGCCATCATTATGTACAATCTGGTATATATCTTTAATGATGTTGTACCGCAGCTCGAATATTTGTCCATATTTAGAGACATCCCAAATGTAGTCCTTATACATACACTTATTCTAATAAAAGGGATAAATTCAATAAATGAACAGTAATAAAGTCCTTGGTAACAATCTTTTATAAAAACAAAAAAGCAATTCTCAAATATTTGAATGTTTTATTCTAAAAATAAGGCAAGGCAGAATTTTTTTGCATTTTGAAAATCTACGCGCGCGTATGCTATTCTGAAAACTTAGAATATATTCATACCAAGTAGTCTTTGTCTGCAGACATGAGCTCGCCTCGTGCCAATCTCCACACGAGAGAACCCGAGGTTCGTCCTTCATAGGTCTCTTTAGAAGAATCCTCACTTAAACTCTGACTTTGTGAGTTTGGTATATATATCATACTGGCGAGCTCACACAAAGTTCGATTAACGACGTATTTTATACGTATTGCGCTATAACCAACAGCATTTTGTCGTTTATTGCTCAGAAATCGAATTAATCTTGTTAAAATTTCCTCAGTGCACATTGTTCTTCTTTTAAGGACAGCTTCTGGTTCCCGCGTGTAACGCCATGTGACATCCTGCACCTCATCTTTCGAATAAGCTATTATATATGAAAGCTTTTTGTGCCATCCTTTCTCGTACATCAGCGGCTTATTCACCACATTTTCGCACGGGTCTACGTGAATCCATTTCTTCTGCATCGGCGACCATACCTGAAGATGGGGAAATCAAGAGTTACAAGTGGTATTTCAAATCGTACAAGGAAATTTGCTGAAAGTATCGAATATATGATAATTTGATATACCTCTGTCCACACGTGATCTGTCTCGTCAAATACAAGTCGAGCGTCGTATTTTAAAGATCGACACATAAGTGTGAATACATTAGCCCATTCACCACAACGACCGCGTCTTGTACTTAACAGCGGCTTTGGATGCAAATAACGAGGAAACGCGACACTTTCCTTGCAGCTTGTGCATCTACAGTTGAATTAATATCAAAATGACAATTCTGCAAGCTGCTTGCAACTTCTACTAACGATTGTTAATTATTACTTGCACTCTGGCTTAGTGTGTGATCTTATTGAAACATACTTGAAGAACCTTACCTATACATTTCTATCCTTGAACATTGAATATCAGGAGATTGTACTGTATCTGTGTATATACATGAGACAGAACACATCGGGCATATTGGACTGTCGACCCACTTGAAAAATTCTTCTTTAAACCAGCTTGTGAATGTGACTAAAAGAAAGTCACGGAGGGACAAATCTTCCTCAATATCTGAGGAAATACCACTTGCTGAATTGTATGCTTTATAAGATCTGCAGAATGAAAGATGAACTAAAATAAGTTTCACTGTAGGAGAAGTTTGTGAAAAGCAGACCTGGCTTGGTTACCTTTGCAGTTCTCTAAATGTTTTCACTGATTTCATGCTTAATGTATCAATAGGTATCAATCTCATAGCTTCCTTTTGCAATCTCTCATCCTCATAAAGCATAACATTATCAGAGCGGCTGATAATGTTTCTAAAGAATATTTTTTTCACCTCAGGTTCCTTACTTTTAATTATAGATTTCTTTAATTTGGCAGATAACATTTGCGACAAATGTTGGATCCTTGAGAGGGATGTATCATGTGGAAAAAATAAACGCTCGCCATCCTATTATATACGTTTATTATTTAAGTATTACAAAAAAAAGTATCAAAATATTCTCATAACAAACGTGCCAGCTTATCAAACATTCATTTTATTCATTACAACAATTAAGAATACACTGGAGAGATTCAAAGTTCTCTTCGGATTGAATACAGACCTCGACGTAGCCGACTTCGACCAGACACTCGATAGCACCTACAGCAGGCAGAATTTTCTGAATGATGATTTCATTGTCGAAACGCACTTCGCGACATTTGTCATCGTCTGGAGACATCAGCAACTTATGGCAAATATTTAACAGTGCTCTCTGCGCTTTATCGCATATGTCGTATTCATTCTCCTCCAAACATCTCAGCCAATATTTTAAATTCTCGTCCATATTTATGTGAATTCTATATTCTAGCAGCCAGGAATCACCTGTTTATCGGAACTACAATAGAGTATCTGCCACATGAGCTGAATGTCATTATTGCTGACTCCTCGTTCAGAAAAAAGATGGGTTAGTGCGTCACCGACGAGATACTATAAAGAAACTGTTACGCCTTACGGGATTTACCAGAGAAATTTCGCTATGCACTAGCGCCCTCGTAGGAATATCGTAGCCGAAATATGAAACATAGCTCGAAATAAGCATGGATGGTAACAGATATGGAATAATAGGAAAAATGTATCGGAAGATATCAAAGGCCACGTTCAATAGAACAAAATGATCAGAGCGCTTAGTGATTATTGTCTGTAATTGGAGCATTCTTTTAGATTCTTCATAGACCCAGAAGTATTTACCAATCAGGAGCGAGAATCACTGCTGATCACTTTGGTCTGCTGAACGCAGTCAAAGACTATTGATACAGAAAACAGGTCGAATATGTATGTGTGTACGTCTCTTAGGATTGCAAGACGTGAGAAAATTTAGAATAATTTTTATTTTAAATATATACACACGTTGGCATTCCCTAAGTTAATAATTCGAAGTTTAAATAATACTAAAATTGCAATCTGAAACACATATACAGAGTGTTTCACAAATTCCTCGCTCCGAGGAATTCATGAAGACATAGAGCGGATTGAGATAAATATAAAATTCCCATAGCATTTTGCGATGTTCGCAACAACCGAGCTATTAATTATAAAAATCCCATAGCGTTTTTTGATATTTGTAATAGTTTATTAATTAGAAAAATCTAACGATTAAGCGCACCGGTAATGACAATTACTTCCGGACCCCTTCGGGCCCCTTTAGTTGATACGACAACTTACTCAGGGCTGTCAGTCTTTATATTACTTTGTCGGTGGCGTAGCTAAAGCAGTCGGTATTATCACTTCAATTCCCTCTGGGCCCCTTGGGGCCCCCTTAGTCAATACGAAAATTTATCCAGGGTTGACAGTCTTTATATTACCTCGTTGGTGATATTGTTAAGAGGTAGTTAGCGCTCAGCGAAGTTTCTCTGGTGCCCGTAAGTCCAATGGTCTTTATTAGCAGAGAGGAACGTGAGAGCAGCCAACACGGTGTTTTCCACGACACCGATTTTCCGCACTGGGAAAGGGCGCTATCTGCATCCATTTTGAGAGGGGAACTACGATGCTACATCCACTTTCAGGTTTCGGCGGTAAAACCTGTATGTGGTGGCAGTCCGTGCTACATCCATTTTTAGACGGTTTATGTCCGCGTGCTACAACCATAATAGCGTACTCGACAAGCACGGTCTCGCACATTGTTACGCGCTTATAAGATGAATTAACATGTTGACATGTGCAAAAAAAAAAGAATTGACATTGTGTATGATTAATATCATGAAGATCGTACGAAGTGTCCGGTAATTAGCTGCCAACCCGAAGTGTGAGGGTAGATTGGGTCGAGACAAACATAAAAGTCCCGTACCGTTTTGCGAGATTCGCAATAATTATCGAGTTATTAATGACAGAAATCTGAGGAGTAAAAGCACGCCGACATAGATGATTCGAAAAGCGTTGCAGCTGCTCGGGGCAGCGATCATGAATCTTTTTCCTAACGTGAACTAATAAAAAGTGAAAGAGTTCTGTGAATCAGTGAAAAATGAAAAATTTTATATGAATTTGTGAAAATCGAAACATTTCACACGACAATTGAGTCGTTCAACATGGTAGTTGCGCGTTCTGGATAATTCAATGAATACCAAAGAAATCAAAATGATCAAAATAATAATGTCCGTGTAGTCCGAAGGATATTGCGTGACACGCAAAATCCGTTTGATATAATATCCAAAGAAAATGTTTCAAAATATGTATGTACAGGTAATATAAACCTTATGCACCGACGAGATATACCACAAAGACTGATGGCCTGATGGACGGGATTTAGCGTACCAAAGAAATTTCCCTGGTGAGGCACCTGGGCGAAAGAGACCGTCTCGCATTTAGCGCAGTAAAATTTAATGGGAACTAATACTTTTCAATCCTTTTCTTCGGATCAAAAAGATTCAGAATTCAGACATATTCAAAATGTCAATACCTTTTAATACGTTTCAATTCGACATTTTATGCAGGGAAGCAGGACGAAGGGAATGCGATACATCATGCATCTCCAGACGTGTCAAATCGTTTATTATAGAGGAAACTTTGATATGGCAACATGTATTCGAATATTTAATCGTTCCATGGACCACTTATATATAATAAAAAAAAAATTAATGCGGATAAATAAACGATTCGTATCAATTTTTTCCTTTCTTATAGAGCAATGAAAGAGTAAATCAGTACCGAAAATCGAATATCGATCAATACCGTAAATCAACGTCAGAAAATTGTCCACGTGCAATTACAATTTGTTCTTATTTTTCAGGTGCATACCCCCCTAATCTTATTCAACAAATTAACTCAGATAAACGAATGATTCGTATCAATTTTTCTTGTCTTATAAAAAAATGATAAAATAAATCAGTACCGAAAGTCGAAGACCGTTCAATATCTAATTTCTTCGTCAAATTAACGCGGATAAATGAACAATTCGTCTGAATTTTTTCTTTTCTTATAGAAAAATAAAAGGAGAAATCAGTACCGAAAATCGAATACCGATCAATATTGAACTTATTTATCAAATTAACGTGGATAAACAAACGATTTGTATCAATCTTTTTTTCTTTTATAGAGAAATCAAAGACTAAATCAGCACTGAAAACCGGATATTGATCAATACTATAAATCAGCGTTAGAAAGTTGTCTAAGTGCAATGACAAGTTGTTTTCATCTTGCAGGTACTTACCCCTCTTTTTCTAATTTACTCAATAAATTAACTCGGTTAAACGAACGATCCGTATCAATTTTTCTTTTCTTATAAAGAAATGAGAAAATAAATCAGTACCGAAAACCGAAGACCGATCAAAAATTTTTTCATCAAATTAACGCGGATAAATGAGCGATTCGTATTAATTTTGTTTTCTTATAGAGAAATGAAAGAGTAAATTAGTACCGAAAATCGAATATCGATTAATACCATAAATCAGTGTCAAAAAATTGCCCACGTGCAATGACAATTTGTTTTTATTTTTCAGGTACTTACCCCTCTAATCTTATTCAACAAATTAACTCGGATAAACGAACGATTCGTATCAATTTTTTTTGTATTGTAAAACAATGAGAAAATAAATCAGTACCGAAAATCGAAGACCGTGCAATATCTAATTTTTTCATCAAATTAACGCGGATAAATGAACAATTTGTATCAATCTTTTTTTCTTTTATAGAGAAATCAAAGACCAAATCAGTATCGAAAACCGGATATTGATTAATACTATAAATCAGCGTTAGAAAATTGTCTAAGTGCAATGACAAGTTGTTTTCATCTTGCAGGTACTTACCCCACTAATTTACTCAACAAATTAAGTCGGATAAAGGAACGATTCGTATCAATTTTTATTCTCTTATAAAGAAATTAGAGAATCAGTCAGTACCGAAAATTGAAGACCGATCAATATTTAATTTATTCATCAAATTAACGCGGATAAATGTACGATACGTATGAATTTTTCTTATAGAGAAATGAAAGAGTAAATCAGTACCGAAAATCGAATATCAATTAATACCATAAATCAGTGTCAAAAAATTGCCCACGTGCAATGACAATTTGTTCTCATTTTTCAGGTACTTACCCCTCTAATCTTATTCAACAAATTAACTCGGATAAACGAACGATTCGTATCAATTTTTTTTGGCTTATAAAAAGATGCGAAAATAAATTAGTACCGAAAATCGAAGACCGTGCAATATCTAATTTTTTCATCAAATTAACGCGGATAAATGAACAATTTGTATCAATCTTTTTTTCTTTTATAGAGAAATCAAAGACCAAATCAGTATCGAAAACCGGATATTGATTAATACTATAAATCAGCGTTAGAAAATTGTCTAAGTGCAATGACAAGTTGTTTTCATCTTGCAGGTACTTACCCCACTAATTTACTCAACAAATTAAATCGGATAAAGGAACGATTCGTATCAATTTTTATTCTCTTATAAAGAAATTAGAGAATCAGTCAGTACCGAAAATTGAAGACCGATCAATATTTAATTTATTCATCAAATTAACGCGGATAAATGAACGATACGTATGAATTTTTCTTATAGAGAAATGAAAGAGTAAATCAGTACCGAAAATCGAATATCAATTAATACCATAAATCAGTGTCAAAAAATTGCCCACGTGCAATGACAATTTGTTCTCATTTTTCAGGTACTTACCCCTCTAATCTTATTCAACAAATTAACTCGGATAAACGAACGATTCGTATCAATTTTTTTGTCTTATAAAAAGATGCGAAAATAAATTAGTACCGAAAACCGAAGACGGATCAATACCATAAATCAATGTCAAGAAAATTGTCGAAGTGCAATGACAATGACAATGAAGTGCAATGACAAGTTGTTTTCATCTTGCAGGTACTTACCCCACTAATTTACTCAACAAATTAAGTCGGTTAAAAGAACAATTCGTATCAATTTTTATTCTTTTATAAAGAAATTAGAGAATCAGTCGGTACTGAAAATTGAAGATCGATCAATATTTAACTTATTCATCAAATTAACGCGAATAAATGAACGATTCGTATGAATTTTTTTTTCTTATAGAGAAATGAAAGAGTAAATCAGTACCGAAAATCGAATATCAATCAATACCGTAAATCAGTGTCAGAAAATTGTCCAAGTATAATGACAATTTGTTCTCATTTTTCAGGTATTTATCTCTCTAATTTACTCAACAAATTAACTCGAATAAACGGATGATTCGTATCAATTCTTCTTGTCTTATAAAGAAATGAGAGAATAAATCTGTACCGAAAATTGAAGACCGATCAATATTTAATTTATTCATCAAATTCATCAAATTCATCAAAACGCGGATAAATGAACGAGTCGTATAAATTTTTTTTTCTTGTAGAGGAATGAAAGAGTAAATCAGTACCGAAAATCGAATATCGATCAATACCAGAAATCAGTGTCAGAAGATTGTCCAAGTGCAATGACAATTCGTTCTCATTCCCGAATCTTTCCCGAGTCGAAATATTAATTCTACATTGATCCTGCAAATTGCATCCAACTTGAAAAATCAATGTAGAATATCTAGGTGCGCAATAGTGAACAAGCTTTGTCCTACCTGAACGTTACATCTGGCTACTCTCGCAGTCTCGCCCGTGATGAGTCTTCAACAGCGACGTATTCCGCAGTTATTTAATACTCGTTTATTTCGGTAATGTATATGTATTTGATCCTTACATTCTTAATTTAAATGAGCAATTTTTGTTGATTTTGTTGATTTTGATTATATATTCGCTTAACAGCGCAAGAAAGAGAACAAAGATAAAAACGTAAATAGAACTGCCTTTGTTAGAACTGCGCGTGAGATAAATATATAAGGATTAAATAGTCATATGAGAATTAGAGGAAATGGGAAATGAAAAATACTTTTTATTCTCATCATTCTTAAAGTTCTTTTTTCCTTTTATCTTTTCTTTTTTTTCTTTTCTTTTTTCTAATGAGAATGATGAGAATTGTAGCTCTCAAAAGAGCTGAAGCTGCAAAAAGACAACGGTTATGTCTAATAATGCTGTTTCACTAATAGAGGTTTTAATTCAGATTCGGTACAATAAGAAAGATAAACAAGAATGAGAAACGGACATTCTAGCAAATTCTAAACGAAAACAGCAATCTGAGCATTATTAGACGAATAAAAATCTACACTTGTAAAATTGTTATATCAGATTCTAAGATCATTATTCATAGTTTTTTAAATTATGTGCAATTTTTCATTGAGAACGTAATTAAAAATTTGTATTCATAAACCTTAGCTTGCCTCAGCAACCTTGCTTGAATAGACATTCATATTTTACGAGAAAAGAAAAGTAGAACCTCATGTTACGTGAAATTAGTTTAACGAATAATCAAATCTCAAGCTATTTTATCATTTTTCAGATGATAACTATGAATGCTGATCTAATTTCGACTCGGGTATGTCCTTACTTCGAGTAAGGTCCGTTAAAATTAGAAAAATCCTGTGTAATAATAATTACTCGAGGTACCTCGAATACCATATATGATGTATCGCTGTCCTCGGTTACGTCTCTCGGCGCGCTCCAAGTCCTCTCTCCATCCTGATTTCTCGATCCGACGTTCTCCTTCTGGTTACTCCGTCGCAGCACCCCCGGATACTCCATCGTAGCACTGGCGACGACACTGACTCTAGCTCTAACACTCGCGCAAGTAAGATTCGGGGACAAAGAAACGCGTATTAACCGACACTCGTACTATTCTGCGTCGCGGTATGCGCGTCGTTCGTCGGCCCGAGGCGCAATGTCCTTTCCGCAATCACGGAGTCATATATAAGCGTACGAAAACAAACAATCGGGAAGGCACGGTTACCCCCCACCTTGCCGATCAATGTTAATGCCTGCGTCGTCCGTTAGCTGAAAATGAAAACAACTCGTGTTGTCAAAGCATGCCTGAGAGAGAGAGAGAGAGAGTCGCTTCAAACTTCACAATAATTATTTACGTCTGTTCCAAGAATCATATTACGCTGAATTCAAACTGTCTCTATTTTGACATGACATACACGAGATCTGCGGTCGCATCATTGATCTTTCTTTGGACAAGAAAATCCTGAGAGGAACGCTGTTCGAGAATATCACATTTTATGTTTCAGGTTTATGTTCTGCCTTGCAGATTATCGAATCCGATGTAACAGATCAGAGAAAGTATGAATGCGTCGCTATGAATAACACGCGTGGGCACGGAGTACTCCAAGTCAATCATGTTATACGTGAAACGTACGTGTATTTAATATTATATAAAATTTACCTTTTTAAAAAAGGTAAAAAAAAGGCGCCAAGTACAAGCGCAACACGTATTGTGTTATTTTTAGAAGTATCAAACTCAAATTATTTTTTTTATTGTATATATGTGTACATAAGTTTTTACAAGTAAAACTTATAACTATAATAAAACTCTGCAACACTTTTCTACTGTACAAAAGAAGTGACATATTAGAACAGTAGCGCCAACTGAGAAATTCCGACTTCTTATTCCCGGAAAATTCGTCAAACGTCAAACGAAGGGCAAGAAGTGTCGTCGCTCGCGAGCCGATCAACACAATCGGCGCGATGTAAACATTGCGGGCCTCGGCGGCGGTTGAAGCAAGAGAGACTTGTCCTTGGGCATCTTTTCTTTTCTCGAAGGTTCCGGGACAACGGGGGGAATGCGAGGAGGCCTTTCAACTGTACGCGACATTGATTTACTACTTATTGCTTACTGAAAATAAAGAAAATTATTCTGTCGAAGCATCGGATATTTGTTAGCTTTATGTTAATTAAAGAGGAATGTGTACGATTAGAAAATATGTTAGCAACTAATTGTACAGAATGTCAAAGTTGTTCTAACGCCGTTTTCGGAGAATAATTAAAGGTCATGGTAGCGTTAAAGAGTGGAATTTCATCTCATGCGAATTTTGTCTCGTTCTTATTAAATGTTAGATTATCCGCTGCTGTAGCACGGACTTCCACCACATGCAGATTTTACCACCAAGACCTAAAAGTGGATGTAGCATCGTAGTTCTCCCCTCAAGATGGATGCAGATGGCGCCTATTTCCAGTGCGAAAAATCGGTGTCGCCGAAAACGCCGTATTGGCCGTTTTCAGCTTCCTCTCTGTTATTAGTGTCTCGTCGATGGTTCATGTCAAGGATGTAACGTAAAAGGGGAAAGCAATGTCCGCCCACAGCTACGGGCTGGTGTTTGACGGTGTGGTTTGAATATATCGTTCTGCATGCTGATCGTCAGAAGACGCATCGTATATGGTCAGCCGTGTAACCGGTACAGCTTCAGCAACTGCTGGGTCAGCAATTGCACGTTATTCGTGTACACTCGCGCCTGGAGTACGCACTTCGTCTGACACGTATTTCCTACAAAAGAGAATCAAGCGCAGCGAGTAATAAGATTACCGCTGTGTGTTGGTGTTACGAATATGGCTATATTTAGCGTATGACGACTAGCCGTTTGGGAGCACGAACTGTGCCGTCGCTTCTGATATACTCGCTCGCGTATCGCTTGTGTTTACCGTCAGTCTATGATATAACGGGAGAAAAGAATGGAAGATATATTTCAGTGGTGTCGCGAGGGCAATGCCATGCAGGTCCGCGTCTGGCTGGATGATACGGAGCATGACATGAATCAAGGGTAATTACCTCAGAGCTCCTTTTTTGGATGAGACTTGCAGTCGGATGTTGTGGTTTCTCAGATTCTATAATTAGGCTTGTTGGAGATGATCACATGGCTCAGTGAAAAGTATTTTCTATGAAAAATGTTTCATTAACGCACTAGGAAGCAGGCTCTGCTCATAAATTTGCATAAAATTTTATTATCAGGGAATATTCAAGAAGTATTCAACAAATGATTGTAATTAAATAGAAATGTAATTTATGACGCTTGAATCTTATTCTTTAGTTAACATTTCTGAGAAACTGCTTGTATTTGTCTCTGCATATGATGGCAGTCCCCAATGATATAAACTTTAAGCCCTTTTTGTTATAGAATGTTTTATTTTATTTAAACATGCGTTCACAATTGTTTTATATACATAGTGATGACCATGGGTTTAGTCCACTTCACTGGTGTTCTAAGGAAGGTCACTTAAAATTGGCTGAGTTGCTTGTCAGTAGAGGGGCACGTATTAATGCTACCAACAGAGGCGACGATACACCTTTACATCTTGCTTCGGCGCACGGTCACAAAGAGATAGTACAGTTGGTAAAAAGACATTTATTAATACTCTATTTGCTTTGGTTCAAGTTATCTTATTCAAAGTAGAAAATTTAAATAACTTTACTTGCAGTTACTTAGAAACCGTGCCGATGTAAATGTTACAAATGAACATGGAAATACTGCCTTGCACTATGCCTGTTTCTGGGGAGACCAAGCAGTTGCGGAAGAATTAGTTGCCGCTGGTGCTCTTGTGTCCATTGCTAACAAGGATGGAGATACTCCCCTTGATAAAGCCAGAGGTGTTGTGGCTAAAAGACTGCATGGTATGTAGAAAATGATAACAGGAATTAATATCTTTTTATGTTTGCTTATGCAATATGTTTTTTGTTCCTGCCAGACTTGGCAGTGGAGTATGGGCAAGACTTGAAGAAAATTCAGTTTAAAGACCAGAGCTGGCTAGGTTTGAAGACAAGGAGCCGTAAGTCTTATATCTCAAGATACAATATATCTATCTATATGTTTAAATCTTGAAAAGAAATTCTAGGGCATTAGGTGGGGGTAAATTACATTTCTGTATAATTTCTATCAGGAGATGCAACTCTATCAAGGCACAAAGGAATCAGCATGGCGGATCTATCGCTCCATACGCATCTTGCAAGTACACCGAGTGGTGAAACTTGGAGAGGACGATGGCAGAACAATGATATCGTGGCTAAAATCCTGAACATTCGCGAGTGCACCGCGCGTATTTCCCGGGACTTCAATGAGGAATTTCCGAAGCTGAGGATCTTCTCGCACCCTAATGTTTTGCCGGTTCTCGGCTGCGTGAATCAGCCACCGCAACTGGCGACCGTTTCGCAATACATGGCGCGAGGTAGTTTGCATCGGCTTCTTCACGGTGGAACCGGCGTTGTGGTGGACACGGCTCGTGCTCTTCGGCTAGCTCTCGATGTTGCCAGAGCTATGGCGTTTCTTCACGGTTTGGATCGACAGAACAGGTGCAGATTTCACCTGAACAGTAAGCATATAATGGTGAGTTTTTGATATTCATAGCAATTGTATAAGAATAACTAAAGATACTTAAGTATATTCGAAATCTGTAATGTTCCATGCGGATTTTAGATTGACGAGGACTTAACGGCTCGCGTGAACATGGCGGATGCGAAGTTCTCATTCCAAGAAGTCGGACGAATTTACGAGCCAGCGTGGATGTCGCCAGAAGCGCTGAGCAAGCGTCCAGCGGACATCAATCTCGAGGCTAGCGATATGTGGAGCTTCGCTGTTCTGTTGTGGGAGTTGGCGACCAGAGAGGTACCATTTGCGGATCTGTCACCTATGGAGTGTGGAATGAAGGTGACTATAATTGTTATTTTATTAAATTATAATAAAAGTTTCTTTTATTTTTCTCAACTTTTGTGGAAGAACACCTGGAACACGTGGAATTATTTCGCACAACAATGTTTTATCATAAGATAAATTCACAGCATTAAATTGAGACTCGATAATCTTTATTCCAGATTGCGTTGGAAGATTTACGCGTGAACATTCCACCAGGGATTTCTCCACATCTCGCCAAACTCATCCGGATTTGCATGAATGAAGATCCGGGTAAGCGACCGTCCTTTGATATGGTCGTGCCGATTCTCGACAAGATGAAGCGCTGAGATATACACGACGAGTGGAGAGTACATGAAAGATAATGGGAGGACCATGTGAACTATGTGTCCGGAGGGATTCCGTCTAAGCATCTTAACGAAAAACTGCCTCGAAAAATTGTTATTAACAATGATGAATGATATTTTTGTATCGTTGTGTTTTACAAATAGGAAAATACTGCCTTTAGAAGCCTTACATGAAGTAGACTTCAAGATACACTAATCTTTTGCTACTTATATACACATGTATATGTATATAAAACATGAATTTATATTAATGTTCTGTGGAAACATGACTATATATATGTACGCTATTGAGTTTCTAAATATATAACACAAACATAATTTACACATTTCGCTAGCATTTGAAGTAAAAAAAAAAAAAAAGAAAAAACCAGAATAGCAATAAATTTACATCAGAGAACATATTTTTTTGTAAAACTTTTAACAACACGTTAAGACGTATCTAAGTAAATAAACTCTAAAAACGCCGGTATTGGTTGCCGACTTTTTTCAATTACAATCAATTTCTTAATTTATCAATTACATTTATTTTTTTATCAATTACATTCAATTTCTTCCATCAATTTATTTATGTGTGATTTTTAAGATTTTAATTTTTATATATATTATATGCATTGCATTGTTTTACATCATGTTACATCGTATAACGTTGTATTGTAAAGTATATTTTGTATATCATATAATATTACAATATATTGCAGCAAAAACCAAGAATAAAAGTGAGTTTAAACATGAAGTGAATGTTTTCCTATGCGTTTATATTAAAAAAAAAAGGTTCATCGCTTTCTGTCATTTTTGAAGGCTCTTATTGATACCACTGATGACATAAACACGCTTGTCGATGAACTCTCGATGGTTCAGCGGTCTCTTCTGCAGCTGGGTTTTTTCAGCGGGATTCGACAGGAACACATCCGTAGCTGGCGGCAAATTTCCACGTGATTGTCCCTGCGTTTTACGGAGCTTGAAGAACTCCCTCACCGAGAGATAGACCAACTCTATCACGCTCATCATGGAACCGCCGAGGCACAGCCCGAAGATGCCGCCGAAGGACGCTGAAACATAAACGCGTGCAACTTTATTAGAAAAAAGTGAAATTAAATATTCGAGGATACTTTTGTCAGTTTTTAATTTTAATAATATTTGATCGTTCTCTGTTCGTGCTTGATTCTGATTTCATATTTGATTTTGATTTGACTGACTCACCCAGTAATCCATCCCAGCCGAGGATACTCTCCTTGCGGTATTCGACGTACGAGATATCGGCGAAGAATACGTACGCTAAGGATATATTGTTCAGATCCAAGCCACGCCTGCAAAATACAGATATGACCTTGCATGTCCTTTGAAAATAAACTCCCTCGATGTCCCATCGATTGCAGACGAAATATCCCGTGGAATGTATAAATGGACTCACGTTAACTCCGATTCGTACCCCACAGCGTCCATTTTAATATCCTCCATATCAATGGCGTACATGATGTCGGTGCATTGAGGCAGACATTTTCTGCAAGCTCCTTTGACCAATATATCTTTTCCTGAATTTCCTACGTAAAACGTTCAAAATATACGTAACTTTGTACAACCAGCGAGTCGATTGAAAGTTAATAACGAGCATTGTGGAGAAGAGTTGTCTTATCATAATCATATTTATTAAATATTTATTAAAAATTTATATTATATAAAATTATATTTTATTTTAATATTATATTATAATATAATATTATATTAATTTAATATTATATAATATTGTATGAAATATATTATATAAAATTTATTTAATAATTTTATTAAATTGGGAAAAACGTCCGTCTCGCGATACAATATAATAAAATATCCTCCTACCTTTTCCTCGGTGGGCCAAGATACAATCTACGTCGGTCAAGTAACACGTTCTTATCCCGACATCTGTCAACACACGGGAAACTTTAATACGTCACAGTAATCGGAGCAAAAATCTGGAAATATTGTGTATTTTTATGAAAATTATAAGACTGGGGGGGTCGTCTCCTCTATCGATTGCCGATAAAATTCGAGGCGAGCCATCTCAGATCTTTTCGTGCGAATACCTGCGATCCTCCGGGCGACTTACGTGTTTCCGGGTAGTAAAACGGCAAGCAGCCGCATTTGTCCTGCAAGTGCTCGGCTATGCACTGGGAGACGCAGGACTGGAAGCTATAATGGCTCTCGCCTGGCACCTGCGGTTTCGTCCGTCATAAATGTACAGAATTGCGAATACTTGGTGTGTTTTTCGCGAGAAGAAAGAAGCAGCGTGTTTCGCGAATATATCGAAAGAAGAGACCGACGAGCACGCGCCTACCTCGTTGTCGAAGTAGCACAAACGCTTCTCCAGGGGCAGGTTGCGCATACTGTGCATGCTCTTAATGGAGGTGCCGGAAACGGGTATCGCCACGATGTGACTGGGCGACACGATTGCATGATGCGCGCCGATATCGGGGAAATCGATGGCGTCGTGTATGAAAATCGACGCGCCTACGTAGGGTCGCACCGAGTACTTGTAATTATGACGGTCGATATTTACGGCGATCGTAAGTCCCAAGTCGCGACCGCTTCCTGGAGCCTTCTGCAAAGAAGACTTTTCTACGTTCAGCTCGCCAATTGTGCGCTCGAAAGCGTATCCAACGTCCGAATCAATCGCGACGAGTCTCCTGGTTGAGAACGTCAGAAGCGAGGAGGTCCGCAGGAATTTTTAGCATGAATTTCCTCGCTCCTGATGTCACCACTCAAGATGGCTGTGGCGAGGAAACGGGAGCTTTAACCCTTTAACGCCCGACTTTGTTGATAAGTGTTTTAAGAATAAAATTTGAGTTTTTCTTCAACTGAGACTATAAGTAGCGATAACCGAAAAAGATATCAGAATTTTATCTCGCTTCTTTTTCGTTCGTTCGTTTTTTGTCTATTGGTAAATATGACCTGGATCCTAAAAGCATGTACGAAATGAGCAACCTATGAACCGGAGAAAAATGAAGGGTAATCTGTACGACATAACTCTGATATTGAACTCTCAAGTTGACATTTTTCAAGCTGAAATTTTGCTATATTTGTGAGTGAAGTTTATCATTCAGAGCGTCAAGCTTACTATTTCGGGAGAATATCTTACAGATCACCATCTAGATAGTCCCTTCATTTTCCGCCGTATGAAAAGCGCTGTAGGTCACTACTGCAGGTTTCACGAAAATAGCTTGATTTCTTGATTTTCGTGCCCGCCGTATTGGATTCGCCATTTTGAATTTCTGTATTCTTTTAATTTCACACTTTGCATCTGAGAAAGCTTCCAAAGGTATTCCAAAGGTAAAATTATAACAGATACCGATCTATCCATTTATAGCGCACTTCTAGACGTCAGTAACAATGCTAACTATGCCTACTTGGAATTTGACGAAACACGTTATCATCAAAAACTGAGCTAAAAACAGACTAAACCGAATCTACATGCAATCTATATGCCATTTTTTAGAAGAACAATTCATCTTTACAGTGCCTTTACGGGTGCAAAGAAAACGAAAATATCTCCTTTTCTAGTAGGCTTAGTTGTGTGGATCCTTAAATGCGTTTCTGGCAACTATAGTATTGGCAGTAGGCGTTGAAGGGCTAAGCCCCGAAAAAATCCTCCTCTTTTCGCGAAAGATTTGCCTCACCAGAATCTTATGCACCCCCGGTAGATACTCGAGAGTAACATTGAAATCGGTGGAGTCGTCGTGAACTTCCGGCTGAACGCTCTCGTCTTTGTATCTGCCGCTAAAATTACACGACGTGCTCTAAACTTGCGAAACGATCTCGACGCGCTTGCGACTTGCGCGCCGTTAGACTACCTTTTACTCAAGCCGTAATGAAAGTTGAATCCGCAACAGAAGCCGTCCTTCGACTTGACCGTTTTGAAGATTTTGCTGCAGTTGTAAAGCTGCCCGAGCCAGCCGCACCGCACTAACAACGCGCTGCAGGGATGCATCAGCTACCATGGTGATATCAAAATTGCCTCCGTTAATCCTCCGAATTCCTCGCGTCCTCGCGTTATCAGAACGAATCAGAAAGTACTATCGGCAAATGGCAATTTGATCGACCGATAGAAATCGCGCGGGAGTACATCACCTTGCTCATCAACGTTTCGACCGTCATGCCGAGTATGTCCAGTATGTGCGTCGCGGTGGTGTCGTTGATCAGAACCTTGTCGGGCCGCACCAGTCTCAGGAGGGAAGAGAAGAACAGCTCAGTCTCGTTTACGGCGATTCCGTTCATCTGCCTGTCGAGTCGAGTAAATCGGGACGTGGGGGACCTCAGTGTCGCTAAGTCGAAGTTAATGAAACGAGACACGAAACGGGGAAGAGAAGTTGAGAGAAAATCTCTCAGGGTAGATTGTTCCAAATCCTTGGTAAGTTAACTGATAGATTAAATCATACGTCTCTCTCTCTCTCTCTCTCTCTCTCTCTCTGTCTTTGTCTAAGTTGCAGGAAAAACAAAGACAAACATATGATTAAGCTATCAGTTAACTTAGCAAGAAATTGGATCAACCGACCCTCATAGTCTTCTGCTTCATGTCTTATCTCTCGGGTACAACCAGTGGAATCCCTCTTACAGTTGTTTAGCGATCATCTCGGCATGCGGGCGGTAAATTTTGTTATTGTTGCACAGGGTGACGGCCGGAAACGGCAGATCCCAGATCAGATTCGACGTGTCGATGGTGGTCGCTATCGGGTTCCTCGAGTAATTCTGCCACAGACGAAGCATAAGCACGACGCAGAACGTGACGCTGAAGGTGCAAACCTGTCACAAATCGGGCATGTATGTGAGCGTGTAAAATTTCTATTTTCAACATCGAGCGAACGTTACGAGATGCAAAGTACGCTCGCTGAAGTCATCGTGATGTCCTCACCACAGACCAAAGGGCACTCTCGAGTATCGTCGAGCCGGCCGCGGTTATGTAACGGAAGCCGTGCAAGGTCGTGTTCTTGCAATACACGTAAAACCATCCGCTCAAGTACTTTTTTATGTTAAACGTTAGGCATTTGTGATATCCTGTAACATTTTTTAACACGCCACATGGCTGTAATATCGCTGTAATATCGCTGTGTCTCATTAATTTACGCGTAAGATGTGACCAGAGAGTCGCGATGAATAACCAGCTAACGTGCGAATATATATCCATGAAACTCGAGCGTTGGAATAATCAGAGGATGTCCGCGTGGCAGTCGAGGTGTTTTAGAAAATACACGATATGGAAGGATATAAAATCCCGGTAGAAATGAGCAACAACTTTGTTGGTCACTTATAAGGTCCAACACCCAAAAAAAGTAACGCCAAAAGAGGAATCATCTAAATTTTAAAAAGGATTTTACTCTCATACACATCGCCTCAAGAGGATTCCTCCAAGATCAAGAGGATATCTAATAAATTTGCGATGAATGGTTCATTCGAATCGCTTTGTCGGAAGAGGAATCCCCTCTTTCTGCGAAAGGCGTCGCTCAAGTTAATATGAGACCATGGGAAAAATCACTTTACAAATAGAACACTTTCTTTTGGGTGAAGGATACTCGTAAGGTTTGAAGAAGAAGAAGATACAATGATTCTTTCACTCAAGCTCGGAATGGATTCTCGATTCTGCTGCTTGAGCGGGATTCCATCCGAAGGATTTCCGAGATCATCGCGGGTCATCAATACATCTCACCGCGTTTCAGGTCTTCCAGTCTGCCTGCTCCCTTGCCGCCGCTGTGGATTCTCATGTTTGCGAATTCTCGAAAGCCGCCGTGTGAAACACTCGCGAGCAGAGCCGAGCACGCACGTGTGTGCCAGGAGAATCGCCGAATGACTGAAAATATCGTCGCACAGGACGAGACTCCTATAATTTCTCTCCGGCCGCGGCCGCACGATACACACATTTTATTTGCCGCGTTCGGTCATTACCCGCAGTCGCCGCGTTCAATTTTCTAGCAATATCCCTAAGTAAGCTCGATGGAGTGGTTTCCGGCAATAATCGTTAAGCTGCCTTTCAGAGCATTCGCTCTTAAGCAAATTTCGATTGTCATGCCGCGAAGCGTCGCGACATTTATCCTGATAACGTCGAGCTACACACGACTTAATATTATATCGCCGCACTTTCTTCGTGAACAATAACACGGAGCTCACGTCTCCGCTGACACGCTCAAACGAGACTCGAATAAGCGCATCATCTTGTCTTGCTTTGTACTAACTTTTATTTGACAAATAAAAAGTATCCATTACAAATAATTGTAAACTGTATATATCTTATACAGTACACGCACATCGTGATACGAATGAGTGTGTAGCGCTCGCTTTCTCTCTCTCCCACTTATATGTGATCATGTTATATCTCGCACGCTATTTTTCTCTTTCAACCCTGTCGCGATTCCGAAATTACCAGCTGTAATAACCGGCTTAATATATATCTGGCTACGATTTTGTCTCCACGCACACGTTACTCGCACACGCATTTACACACGACACACTCTTGCTCTCGCTCTCTCTCTCTCTCTCTCTCTTGCTCGCTGTCATTCATACACGCGTGCTTGTGTGCCTCGTCGTAATGAAACGGGTTACAATTAACAAGTGTGTGTGTGTGTGTGTGTGTGTGTGTTGTTAGACGAAAAATGCATACACGCGGACGAAGCTTCGCACGGAACAGTTTTGATTCGATTTATCTCATCGCACGCTTGTGTCTTAATAAAGGGGGAAACCGCGACTCCCACGTGGACTTTTCGCCGGGCCAAGGCGATTTCGCAAGACTGTTCACAGATCGATAGTCTCGTTATCATTTCTTCTTCTTCTTGCAGTCTGTGTGGAAATTATTACATTGATCGACGCCGAGCGAGTTGCAGAGTTTGAAAGAACAATCGGAATAAAAGTACTACAAAAAAGAAAAAAAAACACACATATATATATATATATATGTATAATGTAACATGATACGCGCGCTGCATTAAAAGGCCAGTGAGAGGCTCTCTCCCACGTTTGGTGTATCCTCTCATACTTCAATTCGAACAATAATAGGAAAGCGGGGAGCGGATTCAAAGGAAAAAAAAAAAAAAAGAGATATATCAATGATTGTAAAAAAGAGAAAGAAATCTCGCAGCGAGCCTCACGGACGATCGCGTGATCCTCCTCCGCGAACAGTCGATCGAAATCTTGCCCTGTGAGAATGTGGGAGATCTCTAAGATCTACAAAGCCCGCCGTCGCGCCGCGTGGGTCTACGCGTGAAAAGCGAAGGAGTCGTGCATGAGCATCGGCAAACACTGTGCGACAATTTCAGCCTCGCACTCGCGCTCGTAAAGCCCCACGTACGTAAACCCGCGGCACGACGACGATCCTAAGTGCGACAGACTGTCAAGTATCATGCCTGCTACCGGTCGGTACGCGCCTCTGTTAACGGACACCCTGCTGCTGCGATCAAGATGCTTTACAAATGCCCTTTGCTTTACAAATGACCGGGTGTAGCCCGGTAAAGGGGAGCTGACGGTTACTGACCAGACTATACATATGTATGTGTTTAGGGATCGGAGGAGAGAGAGAGGAAAGGGTAATTTACGAATTAGCTTCGGGGCCGACCATCGGTGGCAGGAAAAAGGATTGGAAACGGCGATCGAGGTGAATACGTGAGTACAAAGGGCACGTAGTACACACACGGGCGGTCGTCACATTATACATCGACCGCGTTCTTTCTCATCCACCGTAAGTTTGTATGCGCTTTCACAGTACAGCCCAGTATATATATATATATATATATATATATATATATATATATGTTGTCATCGATGACTCAATCCTCGGACGGACGGACACACGAGCGCTCGCCCGAGAATTAAACTCGCTGTTCTTTCTCTTTTCCCATTTTTTCTGCTCCTTCGCTCTTTCTTTTCTTTTTCTTCTTTTCTTTTTCTTTTACCGACGGGCGGTTCTTCTCGATCATGATCGCTCGGTCGGCCGCGCCGAAGAATGTTTCTTTTTTCAGTACAATCGCGGTAATTGCACTTGGAAAATTATCTAAATTGGGCGCTATTCGTCGAAGAGCACGATCGACCGAGCAACCCGGGGTATGTGTGTATGTACGTGTTATGTGTGTCGTGTGTCTCAGAATGGTTACACGGTAGAAATATATGTATATTTACAGATCACGTTTGTATGCTGAGTTCGACTGTCTCGAGACTTCGGTCGTTTCGTACTTTGCGTCGTTTCTTTATATAAGCGGAGATTTCGGAATGAGGATTGTACACATCGACGAGGGCGATCACGGTGAAAATCGCGCGTTTTTCTTTCTCTCTTTTCCTCGCTGCCTTGTAGCGCAGCATTTATAGTCTGAGGGCTGACTAATTTATACATCAGTTGACCAGGTCTCGCACTTACAGGTTTCTCGTTTAGTAAGGCTGTACAATATAATACAGAAGAGCGATTGTATAGGGCGAGAGATAATCGGAAAAAACCAATCGGAGATTGTGCTTCTCATTCGCGCTTATCAGAAAACAGATCGCTCACGCGACAAACGTCGATCTACTGACATGTTAGATAGTTTTACGTTGCTAATGCGACGGAATTCGTTGCAGATTCAATTGCGTTGCAGCTTCTTTCTTTTTTTTATGCTCTCTCTCTCTCTCTCTCTCTCTCTCTCTCTCTCTCTCTCTCTCTCTCTCTCTCTCTCTCTCACTCACTCACTCTCATTTTCTTTTTCGTCGTCGCCTCTGAATCGACGATCGTACAGTAACGGTTCCCTCTTCGCCGATGGTGCCCCCCTAACTTATGTTTCTTCGTTAATCCTAAGTATTCTTTTTCGTTTAACTCATTATCGCGCATAACACTAAGAACACTGCTTATGCGTCCGCTTGTGGGGTGAAGTCATCATTAGTACAGGTTTCGGGTGGGATATAATAAACGCAAAAAATATGTTCCTATCAGTAATCGTATAGTAATAATAATAATAACTAAGAATATATAATAATCACTATATAAAATGTAATAATGCAACAGCAGAAACGTTGTACGTGGCAATTGTGGAAGGAAGAAAGGGCGTCATAATGGTCTTATGTACATCATACAATTCGGGTTTCTCTTTTTCTTACTACACATTCGTCTAAGTAAACTCTTTGCCCCCTCCCTCTCTTTCACGTTCACTTTCACTTTCACTTTCTCCCTCCCTCCTCCTCCTCCTCTTCCTCCTCGCGGCGGTCTTTTCGTCCGCCCCTGCACTCATTCTATATGCGCGTTTACCCTTACTTAAAAGGAAAAAGGCCAAAGAAAAAGAAGGGATCGTGAGGTTGAATAAAGTAGAATTTGTAAAGAACTTATCAAAGAACAAACGCAAACGGGAAGAAGTGTGCGTTGTCAGGCCTCGATGCTCGGGAGAGTCGCTCTGCGCGTGTTCGCGGTTTCAAATTGGCTCGTGCACGTCTCGATCGTTTCGTTGGCACACACACTGCATAGCTCCGAAATTAAAACACATTGATCCACAACGCGAGTTTTCGATTTCAGCGAGAACATATCGTAGACCGTATGAACGAGCAAAGATAGAGATAGAAAGTCTAAAAGAAAGAAAGAAAAAACGAAGAAGAAGGAAGAAAACACGTACGAGGCTCTTTGCAAAAAAAAAAAAAAAAGAAAAAAAAAGAAAGAAAAGAAAAAATAGCGCGTGCACTATTGCGGTAAAAAAGATGGATCACTCTTTGGATTTTTTTTCAAACGACAAATACGTTTCTTCGGGAATGCTAAACGTCGGGGAACACGGCGCGGTCGTCCGCCAGTTTGAAACCCCCTGACCCTCCACCATCATCACATCGACAGTGTTGTGTGATTCGGACACGATGCACAAAAGAGAGTTTTTCTATTGCTAGTAAATAAAGGCCGACATCGAAAACATTAGCGGTTCGCAGTCGATGCATATCAGATTTATCATCAGTTAGGCACGCGAGACACGATCGCGAACGACTGGCATGTCTTTGAAGAGATGTCGATGATTATATCAGCTCGCCACATCACGCTTGCTCGCGCAGCGTGCATAATTCGCATCGACCGCGAAAAAAGCGTCTTATACTCTTCTCGGGAGAGGGTGATTCTCGCGTGTGTGATGTGTGCGTATACAGATCCGTCATCGTCATCGTCGTCGTCCTCCTCCTCTTCGCGCACGCACGCGGGCATGCACGCGCTCGTTTCTGCGGGTGCATACATCATGTACCATCGTGGTGCTTCAGTTTCAGTTCCGCTTTTAGCGTTTATTATATGTTTGCCCACAAAATATGTCTAGAAAAAAAAAACGTTATGAAAACGCATCTTTGGCTCCCCCCTCCCCCCGAATGCATCCTTCACCACGTCTTAGTAATGATCTGCATTCTCGTGAACGCTGGAACAGAAAGAACGAACGGGTCGTGATTAGTTCACACACATACACACACACACACACACACACACACACACACATACACACACACACACACGTCGACGAGGTCGTCGGGGTCAAAGGATGAGCGAGGAGTAGCGGAAGAGATGAATGATTCCAGATATAACATACATTTATATACACATTTTTTTTTTATTCGCATCGATTTCTCGAGAACTTTGTCGCCGTGAATTGTCAGTAATTTCGCCTTCTCATTAACACGTTGATTGCCGCATGGATCTCTCGTTGTTCGTGTGCGAGAGCTCGATCAAAGATACATTGAACAACATTCGAAGCGTGCAGTTCTTTTTTTATCCCGCCTCGTTAGCTTCCTCTTAGCCGTACGATCAATCTATCGAATTCTTTTGATCAATTACTCAACCATCAATAATTACTCAACAATCAAATACTCTAACACGCAATTCTTAATGACATCATTATGACGGCGTTCAACGTGTTAAACGCAACCCCACAGAGGATCGAGAAAGAAGCGCAGAATGAAGAAAAAATGCATGCGTCGCGTGGTGAAAAGAAAAAAAAAAAAATCGACCGTTATAGAAAACGATACAAGGAGAAAAGAGAAAAATCCAGTCCTAATGATGATTGAATGGTAATACAGTCGGCTACGTCGCAGTAGTAAATAGTCAATAATCAATATTATCCGATTATCCATTTAATTGTGAACACATAAAAACATACAAGTTGATTATGTAATGGAGTTACGTAAGTTGTCGCAGTTCTCCCGACTATATAGGTGACTATACTATAATGTATATGTTTGCCTGCCGAAGGAGAGATAGTCGCGCTAGTCGGGCGAAAATTATGACGCGTCGACGACGAGCGAACGGAGCGCAGCGGGATTGGTGTTAGTTCCAAAAGCCAGGAAGTCTCAGGAAGCGACGTTCGTGAGCGCCTTTGTAGGATGATTAGTGATTCCTTGTTACATCGAAAGTAGAACAACAAAATCACTAGTCTTCCATACAACGGCGCTCCAATTCCCCTCACGCTGGGCCAGAGGGTTTCCCTCCCTCTCCACAGCGCGCGTCCTCCTTCCGTCCGTCTTTCTCTCTCTCTCCCTCTCTCTCTCTCTCTCTCTCTCTCTCTCTCTCTCTCTCTCTTTTTATCCACCTCAACACTCCTCCACCTTTATGAGTGTTATATGTCTCCTCGTTCGTTTGGTTAGTCGGATTGCATGTTAGTTCTTCGCAGGCAAGATGAGATGACCCGATCGGCGACGCGATCGGCGAGGTATGGAAGCGGAAAGTATTAACTGTGCGGCTGTCACGTAAGAATTGTTATTATCACGCACGACAGAACGGCGGAGGAGAGGCACACGCACTCCAATCGATCGTATAAAAGCGACGTATAAAATCGAAGGAGCTGAATATACCACACACGCACACACACATCATATATATACACATGTATCGTTCGCGCGAATTGCGATTTAATTTTACCCTCGTACGGCGAAAGAGAGATTTGTACGATTACTCGTCTGTACGTTCTTTCGAACTCTCGTAACGTAACGCCGTACATTCATACATGTGAATACGGTGATTCTCTCTCTCTCTCTCTCTCTCTCTTTCTCTCCTTCGATTTTATTGACAATTGCTCCTTACGTAAGTCGCAGATTTTTATGCAAAGCGGACAAAATCAGGCCAAAGCAGCGGCACACGACACAGCGATGACGACGACGATATCGTACAAGTTTCATCGCGTGTGATCAAGTAACAATATGCGCTTAAACGTATGCACTATGAATATTAACGCTCACATTATACGTGTTAATTCTTCTCGGCGACGCATTTCCAATCGGCGGATTCGTTCGATTGCAAGTTTTGTTTTATAGGACGTAGGATGGAGATGGGAAGTTTAGAGTTATTAACGTGAGATGAGAAGCGGATATCTGTGTTTGAGAATCAGGTTGACGCGGTGAAGATATAATGTGCACAGATTGCGACAATTACCTCTGCTGCAGCAGGTACTGGGCCATTTGTATCTGACTGGGTATCCCGGTGATAGTAATGATACGATCGTTACTGCCGGGCAGTGGCTCGTCGATAGTTATTCCGGCACCGCTATCGGACCTGATTTTTCTGATTCTCGCACCACCTTTGCCAATTATAGCCCCGGCCAGCTGTAAACGCAGATAAGGCGATCTCTTTACCACCGCGAATCAGGCCGCGTATATCTCGTGTGTTAATTCACATGGCTCGGGAACGAATGTGTTTAAAGCGAGGCGTAGCCTCGCGACCAAATGCGACCGAAACAGAGCGAATACGCTCGTCGAAAACGCGGGCGCGTTTTCTCTTATCAACTTCCCCCGTGGAGAAGGAAATGATGCGCGCGCGCGAATACGAGTATATACGGCAAGTAAAGCTCAATCGACTCACGTCCTTAGGAATGGTGACTTGAGTGCTGGTTTTGTTTCCACCCATGTTGCCCTGGTTCCCTTGGTTGTTTCCACCCATCGGTGGACCGCCCATCCCCGCGTTACCGCCGCTGCCGCCGCCTAGGCCGTTGGGCGCGCCTCCTTGCATTCCCCATCCATCACCTGCGACAAAAGGAACTCATAATGGACTCATATTTCACGCGCGCGCGTACTCCCGAATATTTCGCCGATGTTACTCTGGCAACTCCGAGCTGAGCGTAAGTTGTCGTCGATATCGTTAGCGTCTCGATACCTCGACCGCGGTGTTTCGACACGCTCGCCGTGTGCCACGTGTTGGCTCTGTCGCTCGCAGCAGTATAATAAAGCGCACCCCCCCGAGGAAAATGGTGTTTGCTGGATTTTAATTTCAACGTGCGGACGTGTGTGTCTTTGTTATCGCCGAGCACCTCCGAGTTCGCGATTGAAGCGCGAGAAACGGTGACTCGTTAAGTTCCGGTTGAGTCGATCGATAAATTAATACCCGGTCGACAGTGAGTTGTCAACACAGAGTGGAAAATACAAGAGAAGGCGTTCGAGACACACCATTTTGCCCTCTTTTCACGAGCTCTGTTCGAAATTGCCATCGGTCGAATATTATCCGCCCTATTTGTGCGCGGCACGAAATTACAAATTTCCCGCTACCCTTCTTCAAACGACGGGGACTCTCGAAGGATTTTCAAGGAATTCTCAGCATTTTCAAAGGAACATTATGCTCCTTTGAGAATGACGTTTCCAAAATTGCACAGTTAAAGATTGTCGCAACCCCACCAAAGAAAGAATTCTATTTGTAAAGTGATTTTCCCCATCGTCTCATATTCTAAGCGAAAACCTTCGCAGACAAAGGATCCCCCTTTCGATTAAAAGCGACTAAAGCGAACTATTCATCTCAAATTTATCAGATATTATTCCAACTCTATTTCTCCTCTTATTTCCAGAGGATTCCCCCTTGTATCAATTAATTCTCCCCTTGTACGAAGAGGAATATGTTGATCCGAATGCTCTTGAGGCCATATATATGAGTAAAATCCTCTAAAATTTAGAAACTGATTCCGCTTGTTCCGAAATCACTTTTCCTCGGGACTCTGCGCTCTCCCGCTTCCTTCCGACGAATTCAAAACGCTCAGCACGGCGATGCTTCCCACGCGCATAAAATCGACAATCGAGGACACAAACGTACCGTTGTAATTCCCACCGCCATACGGTGGCGGCCCGCCGCGGTTTCCGCCGCCGTATCCACCGGCTCCACCGCCGCTGCCGCCGCCGCCGCCACCGCCGCCGCCGCCACCGCCGCCGCCGCCGCTGCCGCCGCCGCCGCTACCGCCGCGGCCGCTGTCGTAGCCACCGCTGCCGCTACCGCTGCTATTGCCGCCGCTACCGCCGACACGCGAGTTACCGCCGTATCCACGATCGGACGGACCGCCGCCGGACATTCCGCCAACGCCTCCGGCGCCGCCGCCGCCGCCGCCGCCGCCACCTCCACCGCCGCCGCGTGGTCCGCCTCGAGGTGGCGGAAAACCGCGGTTCATGTCTCCAAGGCCGCCACTGCCGCCGCCGCCGCCGCCGCCCCCGCGGTTGTCACGACGCGGTGGCATTCCACCCCCGCCGCCGCTGCCGCCGCCACCGCCGCCGCCACCGCCGCCGCCGCCGCCGCGGCCACCGGGCCCTCCGAAGCCGCCGACCTTGCTCTGGCCATCTGCGTTACCGTAGCCACCGTAATCGTCGGCGTAGAAGTCGTCGAAGTTATGCGGATCGTAAGGGTTGTTCACGCCCTTGAGCGGTGACTGTGGAGGGAGAAAGCACGCAGCGTGTTACTTTACTTTCCTCGTAATTTCTTACAAGGACCACTCTTTTTCTTTTGTACAGCAAAAGCTAATACCGTTTGTATCTTTTCCAATAAATAAATAAATAAATAAATAAATAACGACGCATCTTTGGACGGACGTCGAGCAGAAAGGTTAGGTCAGGTTAGATGTAGAATTGAAAAAGTATCTTATCGCCCGGACGATATCGTGGGATATCGAGAGAGGACCGCGCAGGAGCAGAAGATCACGTTCTCTTTCGCGCGCGCGAGAACGAAATTCACGAGGCTGCACGCGTGTGATGGCGAGGTACGAAACGAGCAGATATCAGCGGGCGACAGCAAAAGGACAAAAAGCATCGCGCCATGATCACACACACGGTGTATACTCACGGTCTTAATGGTGGCGATCAATTCGCGTATGCACTCGATGCACGTCGTTGGTTTGCCGCAGATGCTGATGAGGCGGTCCGTGCTGCGGGGGCAGGTGTTGGAGTAGATCTTGATCCTGGCGCCGGTTTTCTGCAACACAGAGAGAGCATTCGGGCGCGTTAGACGAGACGCCGTATGGCCGGCCGAGTCGGAACGGGAAGTTCCTGCGGAACTTGGCCGATTAACGAGAGCCCGATGTGTGCGAGGATCGGATACAGCAACGTGTCGGCGAGCTTCTCGGTCGCGGGTGCAGCCAGATCGCGCCCAATTTCACGTGTTTGCGCCGCCGGCGGAGGAGGCGGCGGCGACAAATATCGTCACTCGCGAGCGCGACCAGCGCGAAGGCAGGGGTTGCAAAGTTGTTTTCGAAAAGTGAAACTCTTTAAGCGGTCGAACGAGAAGCGAAGCAACGACGACGCTGCCGTTTCGTCATTGCGCGAGATAACATCGTTACCGCGCGCGCCATCGTTACGTCGCGAGCGACGAGCGCGCGAGTCGCTCACCGCGCAGGCGAGACTTCAAGTGGCTGGAAGTGACTTCACTCGGAGCGCAAGTAAAAATTCTCGCTTCGGTCGATTAGAATCTCGACTTTCTTCTCGCGGACCACCGTCGGATTCGCTCTGCTCAATTGTTCGGCTGGAAATCTCCGCTCCACATTTCGGTGTGGAGATTTCCAGCCGGCGCAAGAGTGAAATTCCGCTCGAGAAGCAAAGTGAGTGCAGAGTCACTCGTGACGTTCGAGTGATTGTTCGCTCGTACAGGCTGAGAATTTTCCGCCCCGAGTGGTCGGGAAAAAATATCACCTCACTTTCCGCGCGGGATTGCACCCAGAAAGAGAGGGCGAGAGAGAGAGAGAGAGAGAGAGAGAGCGCCTCTGCGACTTGGCGCGAGTCTTTTAATCGCTCGATCAGGTATGCATGAGTCACAAGGGTGGGTGCGCTCGGCCACCCTCTCGCTCAACGATCTCTGATGATACCCCGATATTTTCGTAGTAACGCTGCTGCGCGCTAATTCGCGGCGTCGCATTCTCCGCCGCCGCTTCTGCGGGCTTCTGAGTAATATCCTGAGACGACAATCGCCCGATCGCGTGTTGATAGCCGCTTAACAATCCAGCCCCGAGATCGCGCGATCACGCTACGCGTGCTGCGCCAGTCGAGACGGCTACGAGAAGGAGAAAACGGCACAGGGATACGCCGTCAAGTCGTTTTGCAGCGGCTCTTCAATTTTTCACCCGGGCTTCGGCTGGCTCGAGAGAGCCGTCGCGCGCGCGCGCGCGCGTCGTTAAGTAATCAACGCGCATCCACCCGTCTCTTACGAGTGAAATTTACGGCGACGCGGAGCGGAGCTCCTTTAATGTCCAGATGCGGAATTGGCGAGTAACTTGACGCGTCACTCGCTATGTCGTCGCGGTTACTTCTCTTCCGCAAGCGCTCGGTAATTTCGAGACCTCGCTGCTGCGCTGCTTCTGCTCGCCGGTGACGACGATAACGATAACGACGAGTTGCCTCGCGCAAAATGAACAACACGGGTACACCGCTGTGTCCTTTTCTCTTTTGTTTCTTTTTCCTTTCTGTTGCAACGGCTAACGAGTCGCCGTTCAAAAATAACTCTTCCAATCCTGTGCACTCGCTCGGGAGAGTAGAACGAGACGGGACGAGACGAGACGCGAAGCGGCGCGACGTAGATTTGACGCGCGAATAACGCAAAAACGAAAAATTGCCGATAACATCGACAGCCGGGCTCAAACGCGAAATATCCAAAACAGATAACGATCTAGACCGGCGGCGCGCGCGTATACGCGCGGCGTCCGCCGAGCGTGTCATTGTGCGGAGAAATCGCGCCGTTTAATTACGCAGATCAAAGCAACCCTTCCCTACCGCTCCGAAGCCCGGCAATCCCGCGTACAGGCCCATTCAAACGCTTCCGACGCAGACGCCCGGCAACATTGAGGCTCTTTCGCACGCGTATCCGGACACGGCGTTAATTCCGGAGTGATAGAATCGACAGAGAAATAGAGTAGCGGCGCGGCAAAAGAAAAACCTACCGCGCGCGCGCGCGCACGGCTGGCAAAAGCGAGGAGGTTTATTCGGGAGTGCTCGGGTTGCTCTTTAAAAAGCATCGTCGATTTTGCAACGGGCGCTATATTTTTCGCAAAGTCGCGTTCCGACGGAGGTAAAAACTCGACGGTGGCCGCGGCCAGTCAGCCCGCGACGTCGCCCATAGGTGATCAATGAGATTCACAGAAACTCGAAAAAAGAGGCGAAGAGAAAAAAGCCCGGGAAAAACGAGGTATGTAAAATAAAAGAGGGCGCGAGGTTTCAAAATCCGGCCGTTCGCACTCGCGTAGCTCCAGGGGCCGAAAGCGCGATTTCAAAGAAGAGAATCGACGCGCTGGTGGAAACGAGTTCGCCGGTGTTCGCGCCGCGAAATATGCGCGCGCGGTGCGCGTCGGGGGAAAAGTTAAATTTGATTTTAATCGAATTAATTAATTTCGCTGATGCGCTCGAATCACAGCCGGATTAATCTCGACGTGAATGGAAATGAGAATAAACGCGACAGGGCTTTCGGCGGCCTTGATGAATCGAGTTTTTCCGCAGGCAGCCTACACTTGGTAGTATTTTCAACAACGCGCCTCGTCCGCCCTCTCCCCCCCTTCTCTCTCTCTCTCTCTCTCTCTCTCTCTCTCTCTCTCTCTCGCTCTCTCTCTTTCTCGTTTTGCGGATATCGTCGTGTCAAAGTTTTTCATTTGCGTCGGTGGAGAAATGCCGAGAAACGATCCACCCGTCTTCGCGTTCTCGTTGGAAATGAGTGTTTTGCTTTATTTATATCCTCGTAATGCCAAAGTAAGATTTATTAGAGAGCCAGCAGCGACTTTGATAATTAATCAACGAGGCGCGGGGAGGAAGAGGAGTGAATGCGAGAGAGAGAGAGAGAGAGAGAGAGAGAGGGAGGAAGGGAGGGAGGAAAAAGAGAGACGAAGAGATGAAAGCTTCTCGTTGTAGCGCTTCTTGACTCGCGTTTCTCGCGAACAAGGCGCCCTGAGGGAATCTCGAAAGAAAACTTCCGCTCGTCTCGCCCGGACTTTCGGCTTCGGACATTCGATATCGGTGAACTCGGAGGAGAAAGAACGCGCGCCGATCGATCGCTCTTTGAAGGAATCAACACGGCCGGAAACAGCGCCGCACACGCGCGCGCAGCAATATCACGCTCGAATTGCGTCATCTTGCAATTACTCGAGTAATATACATATACGCCAAATTATTATACATTACGCAGTAATAACACACTCCGCGAGAGACCCAATCTCGACGTTAAACACCGGAGGAAAATATCGGACGGAAAAAAGTGAATCTCAGTGTTACGTAAATCTCAGGGTCTTACGTAATCTCAGGGTAACGTAGTCGTTGGAACTGTAAAAAATTAGTAAGACGGCCGGGAATTAAAGTTCACATTGACAATCTATAAATTTGAATTGCAAAATCGAACCAGCGATAAAAAGTTGATAAGACCTGAACTGGAATATGCATCAGGATAAATATAAGTGTAACGTCAGAGTCAGCTAAATTATAGTATCATTGAATCGAGTTTCAAGCTCGTCCCGCACAAACGAGAGCACAAACCTCGAAGAGGAACGCGAGGAGGAGGAAGTGGCCGAAGGGATCGCGGGGCAATCTCCCCGCACATAGAACAATCCTGTGAGACCGAATTCACCTGGCTCGTTCTTGGCGCCGAGTCGTTCTGCGGGCTGGTCTTCCTTTACAGTGCCGCACGTTTCCCGCCGCGCGGTCTGCTTATAGATTTTCAATTTTTCGGCAACTTTGTCTCCTCCGGGGCAGCTGCGAGACTTTCTCACCGACAAGTTCGACGCTTTCTTGAATATTCAGCAGAAAAGTGACCGGACTGTTTCAACAAGTGTCGCCGGTCGGCGAAACTCGAATTAATTACGTTCCGTCTCGCGCGATTTATTTCGGATTTACGCTCGGATTTAGATCGATCCAATCTTTGTTCCCCGAATAATTCCGATCGGCGTTACGCGACGCCGCGATTACAGCGCAATAAGATCTCGGCGTTATCAGAACACCGAGGGGAGCAGCAGTCGCCGGTAGTTCTCATGCACTTATGGTATAATTCGGCGTGATTCACATTCGAGGGATTTCAAAGTCCGCGAACCTGGCGAGAGACAGAGAGAGAGAGAGAGAGAGAGAGAGAGAGGGAGAGATGGGGAGAGGAGGATAACCGTGCGGGAGCGGCTTTGTGAGAATAAACTGCGTCGCGTCCAAATTCGCATTTGCTTAACAGTCCCCTTCGCTGCGGCGGCATCCGCAGCAGAAGTCTGGAGTTTACAAACTTCCACGTGGTATTACCAGCGGCGTGATGCACTAATCTAAACATGAATCGCTCTATTCAATTCAATGCGACAAAGTTCCATCCTGCGGCGAAGTTCCCGCTCGCTGCCAACTGCACTTACGTAAATGCTAAACGAGTTGAGAATGCCGCTCGCGAGTCTCGATGTTCGGAGCGCGCCTATCGGAGCGCCGAGAAGAAGCATCGCGCTGAAAAGAAGCGCCGACGATTAATCGGGAACGCAGCCGGATATCCGGCTAGTGTCGCGTAGTTTCTCGCGAAGAGCGAATTTTCACTTCGCGGCACCTCCTCCAATTGCGTCTCGACGTTTACGAATTCTCGAGGACATTCGCCTGAGGATGCCTGAGAGCAGGGAAATCCCTGCGAAGCGCGACAGTTTGGGCAAACCGAGACGAGTCGCGTCGTCGCGGACGCCGCGGCGAAAAGCGAAAGTACACAATACGAGCCACATACCGGCGATTAACGGTGCTTTTGGATTACCGCGTGAGGTTTTCACCTCACTCGGAACAACGATAACTCTATTCTGTGCAAATCAGCCCCTCCCTCCCAGTCAGCCGACGGCGGCGGTGGTAAAACACCTGATGCATTTTCATGAAATCGAAGGTTCACGGAGGTGTCGTGTCTCAGCTCGATTCCACTCGCGACGTATTCTTCGTCTGGGAGGGAAATTATTCGAGCGAGCTCACCGCTCGCTGATCGCGAGTGATTCGCGCTGATCTCCGCGAGTGATACGCGCTCGACTTTCTCGAAAAACGAACGAACGAACGAACGAACGAACGCGACGAGCGCGAGGAGGTGCCACCTGCCAAGCTAACGGAGAGCTGATCTCTGCGCGGCACTCGCTGCTCGACCTACGTAGGCTTCTTCCGAGCGAGGTAAGTGAGAGAGAGAGAGAGAGAGAGAGAGGGGGGGGAGAGAGAGAGAGAGAGAGTAAGAGAGAGAGAGAGAGCGGCTGTGTCACAAATCCCGGGAGCGGGATCTGTGTAAATATTCCAAACTCGACGAACCGTCGGGCGATAAGCGCGAAACAAGATTGCAAATCGACGCCACCCCCGTCGCCAAGTAGATTTCGCGCGCGCGCGCGCGCGCGCAGCTGGCCCGATCTCGTTTCGGCAAACATTCTCATTCGGCCGGCCCCTGACTGATTTAGATCAGCGGATGAAAATTTACTCTTCCCGCAGCGGAATATCGCGCGTGTCGCCGCGCGCGCCGCGGGCTAAAATGAGCTACGGTCGTAAATGAAATATCACGACGGAGACTGAGCCGATCTCGACGAGAGAGGAAATTCGCAATACGCGAGACTAGCGAGCGCGCATAGAAAACCGCGGCGCGTTCCGCCGATGTGACGAACGACAATCCGGGGAGACCCGCTTTCGCCGCCGACATCCGCGGCTCCGTGGAAACGGAGCGGCAGCAGGAGCAGTGACTCCGAATACGCGCGAGAGACACCGAGGCGCGACTCTTCGTCGGCCGGAACTCTTTCGCTCGTCGTTCTTCTGAATACAGCCTGTTCTCCCTTTCAAAGTTATTCCCGTGCAATCTGATTGAGATCGGGTCAGGATAGTCGTGCGCACGTGCGTCGCCCGAAGGTGACTCGAGCGAGAGAGAGAGAGAGAGAGCAAGAGAGGGAGACACAAAGAAGGAGAGAGAGAGAGAGAGAGAAAGAGAGAAAACAGTACGTGTACAAAGTGATTTTCACGATGTTCAGGGTTGCAAAGTTGCCTCCTCGCGGTAACTCGTTACTCTTTTGAAATTTCTCCGAGTCAAGTCTCCGCGCGTTCGCCCGAAGCGACTTGCGATGGCATCGCAAGATGCGCAAGAGTGCGCCAGTCGATTAAACCTCGCAACCTGAGCTTGAATCCCACCACACAGAGACTTAAGGTTAAGGTTCAATCGACACCGGTAGAAGCGGACACCGGCGGAGCGGATTCGTGTGACCCGGAGCGGGCGAGTGAGTTTTTCAATCGATGCGACGAGCGAATTCGACGCGGCGGCACAGGCTCGGCTTCACTGTTTGATTCTGAAAGGAAATACTCACTCGACTGTTTCATCGCGGAAAAACGCGCTTTCTGCACGAGCGAAAAGTCAGTCGAGTCCGGGCGACTCGGCAGTCGCTCTACTTTCCGAGCGAGACTTCGCTCGGAGAAATTCAACGAGCGCTAGTCGCGATGCGCGATGCGGTGTGTCTTAATTGAGGGAGTACGCGCTGCGACCGCGACAAAGTCCGCAGTCCACCCAGAAAAAAGAAAAAAAAAGAGAGAGAATTTCAGTACGGGCGGAATCAAATAGAATAGAAAAGAAGAAATAGAATATTGAAAAAAAAATAATACCAATAATAATTCTACAATATAATATAATAATTTTAATAATAATAGTATAATAATTTTGATAATAATTATAATAATAAAATAATAAAAGTAATAATTTATAATAATAATAATAATAAATAATAAATAATAATTAATTTTATAATTCTATTCTATCTTAAATCGCTCTATCGAAAGAGGAATCCTTTTTCCGTAAAAGCCTTTACTTGGCATATACGTATAAGACTATGAGAAAAATCATTTTACAAATAGAATACTTTTGGGTTTTGGGTTTTGGGTGTTGCCGCGAGGAAACGCCATCCTGTCGTAACACGGAACAATCTTTCGCCAGTTCGCCATGGGAAAGACCTACACGGCGGAGGAGATCGTCCGTCACAATCACAGCGAGTCCTTGTGGATAGTGATTCATGGGAGCGTCTACGACCTGACGAATTTCTACAGGAAGCATCCCGGCGGCGAAGACGTGCTGCTGGACTTGGCTGGCAAGGACGGGACCGAGTGTTTCAACAGCATCGGTCACTCTTTCGAAGCGATCACGCTTCGGGACACTTACAAGATCGGAGAAATGAAGAGAGACATGAATCTGGACGGACCAGACCGAGAGGCTGAATCAGGTTTGGTCAAATTTTTTTTCTCGCTAATCCTAATGCTTGCGTCTATACAACAGCTTTCGTCGTTTCCAATAGTATCCAAGTTTTGTTGGACGTACTTGCTGGATTTATTTACAATTCTTACCTATCTTCTCATTGCTATTCCTCTTCGCTTGTCATTGTTATCGCGACTTTTGTTAATCGTAATGAATTCGTAACGGTAGAGCGATAGAGCAAGCATCAATGATGCATTATTAACAGTGTGATAATGCAGTTACGGTCACGTTATTATATTGGCTCGCGTTATTAAGTGAGAAATTATTCGGAAGAAATATATTTCATTTCTTACGTCGCCTTTTCCGCGTTAAAAAACTGTATCTCTGTATTTACTTTGTAGAGTCGAAGGAATCAGTGGAAGAGTCTCAAGACGAAGATTGGCAGGCTCGGGAACAATATGAGATGGAGAAAGAGGAGAAGGAGAGAAAGTCGTTTGTTCCGTTGATCGGCGTCATGGTCGTAATTTACGCGTTTATAGTTTACTACGTATGGTTCTGATAAAAATAATTGAACCACATAATGACTCCCCCCCCCCCCAAGAAATTCACACGACGAGCGTAATTAATTAAGCGGAATGCCAAAGTGCGTACGATATTATACGTGATATTGCGTGAAGTTCATTAATGTCAACGATAAATGTCGAGTCATTTTTTCCTTCTTCTGTCTTTACACGAAGCTCCCGGCGATTCCAAGTTACGCGATGATTGTTCTCTATAACGCCGATGAAGAATGATTAAAGGAGAATTACCAAACTCAACCGAACGCTTCAGTTTACTCTGCTCTCATTAAGGCTCACGAAGGTTCAGCAAACTTCATCCGCGAAATCTCTCTGAACGATCGTCGCGCGCACTTCGCGGACTCGGCAATACTCGCTTACCTAATTAAATGTGTGTACGTTATAATGCGCGACGATGTACAACAGTGGGAGATCGCCGGGCAAATAAATCATAGCCACGCGAAAACCGCGGCGTTCGATATTCTCCGCACGTGTGTTCACCTGCGCGACGATACAAAACGACGCTTATTCGAACGGATGTGTCAAGGTGATGCATCAGCATATCACCCGAGAAACGAACTTAAATACGCACGTATACGTTCGTACAGCGTGTGGTAGATTAGACATCAAGCGACGTTATCACATCGCAAAAAAATGATTTCCACCGAGCGATGACGTGGATTTTTAATTAATTATAGCTATAAATAGTTGGCGTTATTTTTCAAAGAGCATCTTTTCGTTATGGCATCCAAGGAAAGAGAAAGAACGGCAGAGACGCGGGAGAGACGAAGAAAGGAATACGAAGAGAGAAAAGGAAGAGAGAGAGAGAGAGAGAGAGAGAGAGAGAGAGAGAGAGAGAGAGAGAGAGAGAGAGAGAGGGGGGGGAAACATATTCAAAATACTTGACTTGTTTGTTGACTCGACGTAGCAGAGAGGCGCTTGCAAAATATGCTCCAACGACTATCGCACTTATCTCACCGCGACATGCGAGCATGCGGATAAATAAGCGGCGTCACCGTGACTAGACGCTTCTGTATACGAAATGGCACATTGCGCGTGTGCAATGCGCAACTTTATGTCGCGGCGCTGGAAATAGCGAGAACCATTTTCTAAAAGATACAATAAACAGTCATTATCGTTTCGCTCGGGCAATTATCATATCGGGTGCTTCGGCGAATGATATCTATCACCGATACTGTCGTGTCGTGTATGTACTGTCAAGCAGATAGGAAACCGACTACACGGCACTGCGAACTCGCCGTTTATCTTCCCGATCCCGCAGAAGGAATACGACTTTGCGTGAAAATATATTCTGACGCCGATTTCGTAACTCAAATTCGTCACCGCAAAAAATTCGTTAAACGCAACCGCCGGTCGTTCTCCCGAAACATCAAACATCAAAATCGACGTCGCTTTATAACAAACAAATATAGAGAGGCGGCCTCGATTCGCGGCCGATTGCGCCAATATATTTCTCTCTCATACGAATATGAAATATCATTTCGTCTCTCGTGCGTCGCTTTCCCGAATTTTCCGGGGAAGCTCCGCGCCGATTAATCGACCGATTAATCGGCGATCGAGGAAATTACACGGAAGCGTAAAGTGGATTCACACTGTAACGCGAGAGCGAGGTCGTTCCGTGAGTGACGGCTCGCCTCGCGTGTGTGTTCTCTTCGGCTGAGCCTGCTCAGCTGGATAACGACGCAGGGTGTGAGGAGAGCTATTCGAGCAAGGCGAGAGTTCAGACTCGAGGTGAGGAGCTCGAGGTGGTCCGAGATGTAACGAGCAACGAGTCGAAGCGGCGGCGGCGGCGTCGTCAGGACTGATCGTCGGAGGCGAGGAGAAGGCATGTGTGTTTAAAAAGTCTCACTTCGACTCAGCAGCGACTCGATCTCGACCGGTCGACCTCGTCTCGCAGATGCTGATGAGCAGCGGAACGACGAGCATTCGAGCATCATTGGAGCGCGGCTGACGCGAGTCTTCGTCCACATATATGCGCCACGATGGAGCTGTGATTACACAGTTGGCAGCGCTGCAGCTAGTCTCCGGACAACATGTAGCTGACGCGGTGGGGCTGAAGAGTACGTAAGCGTACATCGCGCGAGCGGGAGGGGACCATAAAGCTACACGTCTGACGTGTTAGAATCCGCAGTGTTCGTGCGAGTGCGGCCCCGAGGAGAAGCTCGCGCGATAGTCACACACATACACACATCGATTCGCACCTGCGTTGTCACCTGTCGTCTCTCCTGGCGCGTTGCCTCCGGAAGACCCGAAGCCGTGGGTGCCGCGCGCTTCGCCAACACCCCCGTTCATCCAGCAGCCTCGCTTAGCGCTCGACGACTGGCAGAACCCGGCGGAGAGAAAGAGGAGGTACGTTTGGACCCGCGTGTGTCTTCTCACGCCGCCAATTCTTCTTGAACGAGAAGGCTCCTCCCTCGCCGAGAAGGAAGTGAGAACTCGGCGAGAGTTTCTGTTTGTTTCAAGGAGGACACGCTAGGAAGCCTCATAGCGGTCCGACACGTCTTCCGAATCCGTGTCTTGTTTGCTCGCCGAACTCTTTCATCTTCCCCCCCCCCTCTCTCTCTCTCTCTCTCTCTCTCTCCGCTCCGCTGAATGTTTAGCATGAGATGTCTGCAGTTTTAAATCGCCGCGTGTTTTTCCTTCTGCTGTTTACGAAAACGTGACAACGAGATAACTTCGCGATGGAAAACAACGCGAGTCAACTTGTACGGTCAGTTGAGATAATACTTAAAGGTCGATTATTGCTGGGAGGAATGGAAAAAGGGGGAAGAGGGGGAGATCGTTCGACGAGTCGAACGAGATTATGTCCGCAGTGCCGTTATTCTTTGAAATCGCGCGTCGATTGCTCCTCGGTGAATATAACGGGAAGTAATACGTAACTCTCGCATTGAAGAGACTGAGAGAAAGAGAGAGAGAGAGAGAGAGAGGGATTTCTTTTAACAAGGTCATCACTCACAAAGAGAAACACCTTCGGCCGCTTGGGACGAACGTTTGCCGCCGCGTGCCGGGAGATTTCCTCAAGTGCCCGTTGTACAAATTTTCCGAAACCTGTTAACTTCGACGCTTTCCCGATTCTCGCGAATGACGTCGGCGGGACGTCGCTCGCTCGGCTATGTAATTGGCTCGGCCAAATGAAGGTTCTGTTGATTGGGATTATGCCGTTGCAGAAGGCGCATCTAACTCAATCGCGTGTAGAACGAACTCGTTATCTGAACTTGAGGCCGAAACTTCAATTTCCAAATATGTCAAGTCACGACCAGCAGTCACAAAGTCACGAAGACTGGTTGGTGTTCTTCGAGAGCGAGATTATTGCTCGTCATTGTCTCAAGCGCTGATATAAGAGCGGTTACCATCACCATCGCACACCGACGCTACTATTACTGTGTTAAAACCGCGCTGGATGTTGCGCAATCAATCCTCGTTGACCTTATGTTATCATCCGAGCTATTAGATCCGAGAGAACGCTTCTCCGCAGCGCTCGCAATATCGCGCATGTTCACGAAACTTTTTACAACTCGGGCCTAGCAACGGGTGATAATTTCGCGTTAAGGTAATCGGAAAGTTTACTTGAACGCTCGCTCTCGTGATTATCTTTACCGTCGCTTCGAGCGAATCTCCGTTCGTTTCCTGCGATACTTCGGCCCGAGAGAGAGAGAGAGAGAGTGCTGAAATCTCGCCGAGTAACGGACGCGGCAAACAATGACCTGAGTAATATATTTATATATAATTATTCCTTTTCCCTGCAGGTCGCGATCGTAAGGATAAGCGGAGGAACGCCGGCGAGACATGGAGAAAGCGCAGGAGAAACGGTACACGAGGAGAGAAGTGACGGAGAACAAGGATCTCGACAAGGTCTTAGTGATTCTGCACGACAATGTGTACAACGTTCACCCTTTCCTCAATGAACACCCGGGCGGCGAGGAAATCCTGCTCGACCACAAAGGCACGGACGGCTCCGAGGACTTCGATGACGTCGGCCACTCGCACGACGCCATAGACCTGATGAAGAAATACCAGGTCGGCCGGCTCGTCGACTCGGAAAGGAGGAACAAGCAGCCGAAAAAGGGCTGGGTGGCAAAGTACAACAGCAAGGAGCCGGAAAAATACGTCCAAGGACCCGGCATGCCCTTCTACTTGCTCGTCGGCGGGATCGTGTTCGCGGTCGCATTTTTCTTCTATCAATTTTAACGGACGATCGTTCATTCGTCCAGCCACACGCGATGCGTGAAAATGTGTGACAAAGCGGACGGAGGATGCAAGGTACAAAACGTGAGAACGTACTCGCGTCGTTCCGCTTTCGATCGGCGGAACGAACAGCGCGGCGACAATGGCGGCGATCGCTTTTCCGGAGGGGGCGGCGACCCCCGACATGCTTTCCGACGCGACAAATCTGCCTCCGATCGCTAACGTATGATTGTTTTTTTCCCTTTTTTTTTTTTTTTTTACGGAGGTCTCGCTTCTGTGGCAAGGATAAAGTGTACGTGGATTAAGGTCGATTATTCTGTAAGAATTTGTAAGGGTACACAATTTTATGTTTATATAAACGTGAATGTTGCATTTACGCAAACGCCAGACGTTGTATTGCCCCCTCTTGCGAAGCCGCCGAATGACGGCGAGCCGAAATCAGGAGAACCGTCCGCGCGCGAATCGAGCCGAGCCGAGCCGACTCGATCGTCGAGGATTTCGAGCGTTCTTATTATGTAAATGGGTCGAGTTTATCATCGCGGAATGGGAGATTTCGCCCGGCGTTGAGCCGATCTTTAGCGGATGCAATCGCCGTGAATCGCAAAATATTTGACAAAATGGCCGTGCAAATCGAATAACGAAAGAAGCCGGCGAAACGACGACGGCGCAAACAGGAACGAACCGACGAAAGTTCGCCTCTACTGTAGCTTCGAAGTCGATGGGGAGAGAGACACCCGACTTTTAAAACTCGAAGAAAAGCACGAGACGGTGGGGAATCGATTATTGCCGAAATATCGAAAATTTGCCGCAAGATTTCTACGCGCCGCGCGCGCGGAGAAACGTCGAGCGTTTCGCTTCGGTTCAAGTTCAAGACAAGAAGACACTTCGGAATAGAATTTACGACGTTCTCTCGATAATTCACATACGGATCGATCGCTCGGTATTAATTCACAAGTCTCCATCTTATCAGCCGAAGATAGCGCTATCGTAAGATGTATAATGTATCGCTCTTAATCCCGTGTTTACCCATAAATCCAATAACTGCAAGTAATACAAACGTCGCTCCCGCACGTAATAAAATATTTCTGTCTCTTATCTCGAGGCAATGACTGGCGACTTGCAAATGTTTCGCAAAACAGCTTTTTCTCAAAGGCAACTTTCGGAATATATTGTATCGTTCCCTTTCTCTCTTTCACTCTTGCCACAAATGCTTGCCGCTTTGCAAAATAACATGAAAAAAATTTCTAATTTCTCGCCTTGTGCGCTCTCTCTCTCTCTCTCTCTCTCTCTCTTCCTCTTACTCTTCGACTATTCATAAAAAAGGGAAACGGATCGACGAGCGGACACCTAATTGGAGCAATCGCAGACACTAATGAAGGAGACCGAGTATTGGCGTCAACTAGGGCGTAATAATTTAACAACACACGTATGTGCGATCGAGGTAAAGAGGGAGAGCGCGGGTGATGGAACTTGTTGGCAGATGGGAGACACGACGTATGTATATGTGTGTCACCGACTAGAAATATCGTCCGCGACACGATGATAACGATGATAACGATATATCTGTGTACGCGTGCAGTATCAGCGAGAGATTTTAAAGAAGGCTTATCCAGAGCTGAATAAAGCGCGCAGCCATTTCGATACCTCCTCGGCGCGCGGCTCTCGCGCAGTGCGACCTCTGTACTGTAGCCTCGCTCGCGAGCCGACAAAAGTAGAGACACGTACACAACGCGCCGTAATTGTCGCGCACCATTGACGCTAATTGCAGCTCGGACGTTACTCGGCCGTCCACGTGCGGTCGGCGCGCTCGCGCTCTCAAACGGACCAACGGTAGAAAGTGCTCGCATTGTTGCATCCGTCCGGCTTCCCGTGCTCAACTTTGCGTGCGTGCGTGCGCGCGTGTATGTGTGTGCGCGGCCGCGAGTCGCGCGCCTGACATATGTGGAAAACCGCATATCCTTCCTGTCAACCGTCGGCCATCTGCTTTCCATACCGACTTCCGGCGCCGCAATGGAAACTGAAACACATCCAACCCGACAAGCCAACCCTCCAGCCGGGCTTCCCGCGGCTCTCTCTCTCTCTCTCTCTCTCTCTCTCTCTCTCTCTCTCTCGGTCTCTCTCTCGGTCTCTCTCTCGGTCTCTCTCTCTTTCTCGGCATGTATGTATACGGTTCTCCTCAGCTTCGTCTCTCGCCGCGAGCTCTTTGACGCTGAAGCAAAGGATGACACTCTCCCTCTCTCGGCAAGATGACGGTCTTACGCGGTGGAGACACTACATCATCGCGCGCGCGCGAACCGCGCCGCGCTGGCATTGTCTTGTTACTTCAGAGTCTGCGACGTCGTAATGTAGTCGCGCGGCCTCTTCGAGTCGACGGAGGAGCGCGTCGACAGGCGGCCGACAACCGGCTCGAAAATAACAACCGAGTGCCAACGGGCGCGCTAATTAAATTAAGTCAGGCTCGAATGAGGTCTCACGGGGCGATTTAAATGTGAATCACCTGGCCCTGGCCTCCGTTTCGCATCGTGCAACGCGCTCCTCGCGTCCGCGTTATCATCACGCGCGGTCGAGAGATCTTTTGGACGCTCGTCGCGTCTCGCGTCTCCCCCCCCCCCTTTTTTCCTCATCTCTCGACTCCTCGGCAGCGGCGGCAAAGGATCGTTTACATTTAGAAGCCGCGGCGGAGATGCGATTTTTTTCTTGTTTCTATTTGCCGACCTCTCCATGCCGCGCCGTCCCTCTCTTTGCGAGGAAGCGGAAACTCGATACGAACCCCCGATGCCTTTGAAGGGTCATGATTCTCTGTCGTGTGCTTTCTCTCTCTCTCTCTCTCTCTCTCTCTCTTCGCTGTCTGTAACCCTCGCCGCAAACGCAGCGTCGGGGAGAGAGCACCGGTGCGTGCGGCGTCGAGCGTAAATTTTTCAAAGGATGCGCCTAATGCTCATGACCATCGAGCAACTGTCGCGCCGACACGCGTGATCTGTCGAGAAGCCGCCGCGGAAGGTGAATCCCCCGGCCGCCAATTCCGCCATCAGCGTGTCACTGGGAGCCGCGTCGCGACGACGAGATATCAATCGACAGGTACAGAAAGAAGACGACTGACGATTTAAGCTCAGCTCACTTCCCGACGAGCGAGGAGGAAAAAAGTAAGGCGCGAGGACAGCGAGAACTGTCGGGGGTCGTTTCGCACCGGCGCGGCGCGACGCGCCACCGGAAAGAACAGAAGGAAAAGTGAGGCGCTCGGAGAGAGGTGGCGGGGAGGGATGGGACGAAGGAGATTCTCAAACGGACGTAACGAGTTCCCGGCAGTTTCCCGGTTGCTTCTTGCTGCTGCACCCGACTCTCTCACTCTCCCCCTCCTCTCTCCCGCCTAGATCTTTCCCGCCGCTCTTCCTCGGGAAACAGTCATTTTTCCAGTCATTCTCTCTTTCTCTCTTTGATAAAGCGCTTTAGCGAAGCGTCGTAACAAGATGCTATTTTCCTCGCCGGCGGTAACGGTGAAGGGCGAAACCGGGTATGTATATTCGGCATCCGCGTCTTAAGGCCGTCTTATAGCCTGCGCGAGCGCGCGGGAAAGGGATACGATAAATATTCCGGTAAACGGCCCGCCGCCGCCGCCGCGCCTTCGAGGACGGCGATATTTCATGCGCGAGCGCGAGACGAGCGCGCGGCACGCACGCACGCGGATTTATGCGCGCTCGTCGCTCCGAAATTGTTTCCCCCCCTCCTCTCTTCTCGCGTGCACCCCCGCGACGAATGCGACGCACGGATGAATACGACAAAAGAGAGTTAATTGCTCGCGGAATAACCAACAAGTGTGGGCAATTGTTTGTCTGCACTGGAAAAGAAAATTTAGTATCTCTAACAAAGAACTCTGTTTGGTTGAGGCATTTTTTTTTAATGGCAACCAAAAATCTTGTTTTATATAACAAAATATTTTGTTGTCTCAACTAAATATATTTTTCTGCTTTGTTCTCCGGACCAAATGATTTTGTTCTTGGACTTTATATATAAAAATTAAGCATTTTTGGTTATTTTATCCATAAAAATTACATAATAACGAAATATTATTTTACATAAACTAAAACAATGCCCAATGGATGATGCTATTTTGTCTCTCTGTGCACTAAAATTTAAATTTTGTATATTAAGAAAAAATTATAGTATTTTCAAAATTCATATAGTTCAAGCTTTTTGGTTGCCATAACAAAAGTATTACGGTTGTACGAACGAACCGTAATCAAACAGGAACTAAACAGTTTTATTTAACCAAATTATTTTGTTGTTACAACAAAATTTTGGTTCACGCAACAATACATCTTTCCTAGTGTGTTTGTGCCGCGCGACTCGCGATCTTTCGTTCCTCTCCGAGAGCGACGCGGGGACGGCTCTCCCCGGCGAAAGTGTCGACGGAGGTTGTTATTTAAGACGATCTTTCAGTTTCAGTCAGCTTCAGTCTCTTTGCGGAAAGGGGCCGCGAGCCTCCCGAGTAAAAACTCCGTCGAAGCAGAGTCCAGCTGGACGGAGCTTCTGGTCGCTTCAGCTTTTAGAAGTCGCGAGTTGCGGAGCAGTCTTGTTTCGGAGCCGTGGACCAACGGGAGAGATTTAGCGACAACGTAACGTAACGATTGCGTCCGCGTCGGAGAAGCGTCACGACGCTGCAGCGCGCACGCACGTGGTTACAGAAAGAGAGAGAGAGAGAGAGAGAGAGAACGTTCTCTCTCTCTCTCTCGCGCTCGCGCGCGCGCGGCCGAGGAGGAACATCGATCGCCGCGAAATTACGGCACGCTCGGTCGCCGTTAGAGCGGAGGAGTACTTGAAGTTTTCAGAACACGGGCAAGTAGAGAAGGAAGGCAAGGGAGAAAGAAAGAGAAAGAGAGAATAGGGTGTAGGACGTAGGTAGGAGAGGTCGAATAATGGGCGCCAGCCATTGGCTGTGTACGCAGCTTCTCGAGTGGTGTTTTAACGAACTCCAGACGGCGTCGTCTCGCGCGCGCGCGCGCGCGCGCGACGAACAACGGAGGGAAAAGAAATAGCGGGGAACCGATTCCCACTCGTCGAGAGGACGATGTCCTCGAACGGTCCGGATTCCGTCGAGTGTCGAGAGACGATACTCGCTGATCGACCTCCTTCTCCCCTCTGTCGAGAGAAGACTATGCTCTTCTATGCCCGGGTAACTCTCGCGGTTCACATCCGATTCACGCTTCGAATGATGATGTCTCGACGACGACGACGATGATCAAAAGAGAACGAACAAGTAGCGGAGAGCTCGTTCGTTCTCAGGATGGGCGGGTGAGCTCCTCGCGGACAGTTTAATATCGCTAAAAGCTTTTTAATAAACAGCTTAGAGTCTGCGCGCGACGAGCGCAGAGCGCACCGATGTGTCGTGCCCTGTGCGCGCGCGCGTGTGTGTGTATGTGTGTGAGCATGTAACACGCACGTACACACACGAGAGAGGACGAATCGCTTCTATACGAGATTCCCATGGGAGTGGGCTGGCAAGGCAGGAACGGCTGCAGAGGGGAGGGAGGGAGGGAGGGAGAATAAAGTGACGCGGAAGCGAGGAAGTGTCGCGGAAATTCGCCTTTCGTAACCTGGCAAAGACGGCGGACGCGATGTATGAAAATGTAGTGCCGGGTAGAAAAAGGAGAAGGGGGAGAGGGGGGGGGAGAGAGAGAGAGAGAGAGAGAGAAAGCAAGAGGAAAGGAGAAGATGGAGGCGGAGAATATAGGCGAAAAGGACATAGGCGAGGGTGAGGAGGAGGGACTGTTTATTTTACGGAGTGAAGCTAAGACGCACGATATTGTTCCCCCGGCAAAGTGGTTCTATTTTTGAGGTCCTTACTCACCTCTCCTCGCGTCGCCACCCCTTTGTATGCCACCGTCCCCTGTCTTTCCGCTCGCACACCCCCTCGCCGAGCGTTTTCCGCGAACGGCATAAATTTCCGCCGGAGAAGTACGGCGCAATGACACGCGAGCGAGCTCTCGTTCGCTTCTCTTTTTCTCCCTCCCCCCTTCCGCCGTCCGCGGAGTCCAGGCACGAGAGCCTTATCACGAGGAGTAATTCGATGATCGCGTCGCACCTCTCGGAAGGCGGCA